TGCAAACTAGCTGAGTTATTCTGAGGTTATAGAAGTGTGTAGTAAATCTTTGGGCCAACCAGTGAACTCTGGCCAATTAACGGGGTCAACAGAAATCACACAGCTCCTTTGAGTAAAAAGAGAAGACCATCAGCTCTCTTAAATTCAGGATTTGAACTGATAATTCCACATTTGTTGCAAATTAGTTTCTTTTCTTTTGATTTTTAAATACAAACTGAATATCTTTTATAAGAGTCTCAGAATGTTTGACAACCAAAAGAAGTTACAATGAGATTTTTGCAGAGAATCACTGATCACAGTACTATATTTTAATAAATATTAAATGTTTTGAATGTTATTTGTGTATTAAAAACACCTCTGGAATATTTTACTTCAACATTCTTCCAAATAGCAGCTAATTTCAGTCTTGGAGTGAGTGATTAAACGAGTCTCAGTGCACTAGCTGTCATACTGATGTGTTTCCTGCAGAGGGCACACAGGAGCAGCATCAGTGCGTCAAACCCTCAAAGCAGATCATTGTAACTGGACCAGCTGTTTGGTCATTATAACATCCATGAACTGATTTCTGCACATAAATGGGGTTTAGAGAAGATTTTACAATGTAAACAAGAAAGACATTCACCTGAGTCAAAAGTTTCCTGATATCAGAAATTGTATTTGAACACATACAGCTGTGTTTAACACTAGTAAAAAATACAATATGACCTGTAAAAATTAAACGCTACAATAAAAACTGCATTGGAAATGTAAAACATGCTATTCTCACATGTAGGCACAGAATGTTTACATGTAACAATTCAGTTTTCACTGCTTAGAAACATCAACATTTATTTTTACTTCTAAAAATTGAACTAATACATCTTCATATTTAATTCATACCACTAAAAGTGTTTCCTTTCATTACAATGAACTGTGAAAACTGAATTCTTCCTTTGCTAAAGTATTTGTCCTACTAGTCAAAAAAAGTTAAATTGTGACATTTTAGAATTTGATTTTGTATTTCCATTTTTCCATTTTTTCATTTTTACCAGCACTAATTTACTTGTTCAGTGTGAATTGAATGTATCTAAAATTAAAAATTAAAAGCTAAACTTTAGGAAGGCTGGTATTATTTTTCCTTGTGCTATGGTTCTTTTCTATTGCAAAAAAAACAATTCATATCATTAATACAGTAACAGAATAACAGTTGTATACGTTAAAGCTCAGCCTTCACATATCAAACTGAATTTCTTTGTGAAACATCAACAGAGAAACAAAGAAAAGACAAAAAAAGAAAAGAAGAAGAAAGAAAAAACAAGGTAGATACCATTTGGGACACAAATAAGACTGAGGCTTTAACACAGCAAAATGTCTTGTTGTTCCACATGCATGAATTCACAGATGACAGTAGACATGTAATTACACAGATCTTGATATGTAATTACACATATCTCTGTGTACAAAGGTCATATGTAAAGTTATTTTTCATCTTATGTAGATAAAATTGAGCTACTATTGTGATCAAGTTTGTTAGAAAGTGCTCATCTGGGTTAAATAAAGGGTGATCAAAAAGTGGTAAGACATACAGATTTTAAGAAGGCCCACCCACACAGACCTGAACCACGAAGCCCACGTAAAGCCAAAATCCTCCATCTGGGGGGTATCACCATCTAACAGGCTTATTATTCAGCAACTACACAGACTACAATGCAAACTAGCTAGTTATTCTGAGGTTATAGAACTCTGGCTATTTAAGGGGTTACAGAAATCACACAGCTCTGTAAAGAAAAATCTTCTGTGATCTTGTGATGACCTTTTAGTAAAGAAAGAAGACCATCAGGGATCGAGTCATACACACGCTTATATTCAGTATTTGACTGAAAATTCCAAATTTGTTGCTAAAGTCAGAGAAGGTAATGAAATTATAATTATCATCAAGTAACTGGTGAATCAACAGAATGTTATTATTAAACCACAAATGTGAGAATAGTGCTCTTTCCTTATAGGGCAGGGGTGTCAAACTCCACCACTAAAAAGGCAATTTTAAAAAATCTCAGGTGATCTGTGGGCCAGCTGTGTTTTATTTCATTTTTACTTAACATTTTGCCATGACCCAAATGGCCCATTCAAAATATGCCAAAACTGCAACAGCAAAATAGACATTAAATACTTACTCAAAAATATTTCCAAATAAAAATAAATTGTTTTAGGTATTGTTTTAAAACTGCCTTTTTGCTTGAATTAGACACCAGGCGTCTTTTCTTTGTGTGTACCCACTGGCCCATAGACTGTTGTTGTGCGTCAGAATGCGCAACATGTTGCAGTGCATGCTGAGGCCTGTAGTGCATCTCAGGGTGAAACAGGCGAGCAAGAATAGAAAATAAAAATAATTTCGTGGGACGAATACAACTGTGTCACGGGCCTGATTTGGCCCGCGGGCCTCGTGTTAAACACATGGGTTATAGGTAATGTGTTCATTCTATGTGGATTTTCCTCAGGATGAGTCGCCACAACCCTGCACCACCAATTTTGTATGATGTTTCAGACTCTGTAGTAGGTAAGATTTGTTTTGACTTAACTGTCGAAAATAACCATAGACTAATTTGTTCTCTTTTTCAGTCTCATGCTGCATCAGCACCTTATGTAACATTCTATTGGTTTCCACATAATGTGTGCTGGAGAAATGTTTGGCTCATGCCACAATTTTTCTCTTGACAAACAAGATGAGGGAAATATCATAAAATTTTTAGTTAACACTGCAAAATTTTATGTGCACTAAAGAACTAGCATGTAACGTTGGTGTACTAACAGACTGTGTTATCAGTTTTAGCAGTCATGTCAAAGCAGTCACTAAATCAGCATTTTATCACCTCAAGAACATCAAGATCTGAGATTTTCTGACTAAAGCAGACCTGGAGAAACTCATCCACACCTTTAATTACAGCATTACTGATTACTGTAATGGTCTCCTAACTGGACTCTCAACAGAGAACAACAGCTTAAATTGATTGAAAATGCAGCTGCCAGTCTCACTAGGAGTAAAAGGAGGGAACACATCACCCCTGTTCTTAAATCCTTACACTACCAGTAACTTACAGAATAGACTTTAAGGTATTTTTACTGAAAACGTTTCTATCTGAGCAGCTCTCAGCTCAGTTTAAAACTCCAGCTCTACTGCACTTCTCTCCTGTAGCGGCACTTTATTTTTCTAATGTAATTTTTATTTTGATTTTTAATTTGAATGATTTTTCTTTGTTAAAATCTATTGTTTTAATCATGCTTAAACCACACTTTTAATTTCTGTTCTCCTTTAATTTGTTACTTTTTAAATTATAATTTGAATTGTCTTTGTATTTGTATTTGAATGACCGCAGAGTATGAAACGTGATCTATAAATGGATTTGCTTTGCCAAAAATAAATCCACTAATTGCTATTTTGTGATAGCCAACCTGAAACGGTTCTCCATCTCCTCTGGTACTGTCTATATTCTGAAAGACTGTGGCAAGACATATTTAGATCTATAATTGATCGGCTGTGTGAAGATTTCTCCCTATTATGGAAGGATACAGTGCTTGGGTTAATTGATTATGACAAAACCACAGAACAGCAGTATTACTTAATAAATGTAGTGCTGTTTCAAGCTCAATTTCAGATTCAAAAAATTCAAATATTCACACTTTATGCCTTCATATATAGCCTTTAATAAGGAATTTGAGCAGAATCTGAAGCTTCCCATATGGAAAAAATATATGGACATGTATTTTTACATTGCAGTCCATGCCAAAATTCATTCCAAACACCAAAACGCATTTCAGAAAATATTGCCATATTAACCAAATATACTTTAAAATACATTTATTTTAAAATGTAAGGGGAAATATGACACACAGAAATATACCATAGAAAAAAAACATGAAAATGTACAAAAATAGCCAAAATACTTGTCTGATGCACTTTATTGTTTGGATACCTTTTGAAATGAATTTTTATTGCTGTATCTTAATTTTATGTTTAAGCAAATGAACCTTGAACATAGCAAAAACAGGTGCTGTAGGTATTGATTCACTGTGAAAATTCAAACAGATTTTGTGTGAGTGCTGTCTTACCACATATGTGGTTAATGCAAAGTCAGTACCGTTCATTCAGCTCAGGTGCATTTTAGTTAAATCTGTGAAAAATATAATAAATACAAAAATACAAATGCATTTTAAAAGTATATTTAACAAGTACATTTTTGGCCATTTTCATACATTGCAAAAATAGTATGCAAAAAAAAATGTATTTGGAATGTATTTTTTTCTATATGGGTTGTTTGCTTATCTGACAACAGAAAAGCTGTGAAAACTGTGACCTGTGAGAACTGTGAATTTCCAACTCTCTTGGTATTGTTTCATCAAAGCTGTAATTAGTTTTCTAAATCATGGATTTATTTTGTTTCTGCATCTTTAATTACCTATGTGCAGCGCTATTGATATTGTTTCATTAGAATTGTAAATATTTCTTAGTTAAGTATTTGATTACTACGGAGCCCTGCTGGTGACATCCTGTATAAATGAAAATAATGCATGGCCACGCCTTATTAATGCATGGGAACGAGATCCTAATACGTGGCCACAACTTAGTAAGGCATGGGAATGAGATGGTTAAGTTGTGGCCATGACTTAGTAAGGTGTGGGAACGAGACCACAGCTTACTAAGTCGTGGCCATGCATTAGGATCTCATTCCCACGCCTTACTACGTGGTGGCCATGCATTAGGATCTCATTCCCATGCTTTACTAAGTCGTGGCCACGACTTAATCATCTCATTCCCATTACTTACTAAGTCGTGGCCACACATTATCACCAGCGGGGCTCCGTAGATTACCCTGGCTTTGTTTTGTCTTTTTTTTCTCTTTTTAGTTTTTTTTTTTTTCTATCCTTTTTTTTACACACAAAGCATTGTTAAAAAGAAGTTTAAAAGTTGTCGCTGGTAAAAAAAAAAAAAAAAAAATCCTTCTGAAATCTCGCGAGAGTAGGTGGGTCAGCAGCGCTTCATGGCCTGTCGCTGTGAGCACAGCCGCCTTCTTTCTGCAGGAGCTTCTGGAGAGAGAGCAGCGGAGCACACAGCGCATCATGGTAAAGTCTTTTAAAGCCTTTAGCTTCATATAAACCTTACATAAAACTCGAATATCGGCGCCTCACCCTTTACCAGTGCTTTAACTGCGCTGCAGGCAGAGTCTAGCATATAACTATTGTAGATAAGCCATGTTTAAGTTTCCTTGTATCGCAGCGTGGCGCGTTTAGCTGTTACCGTTAGTTAACGTTAATTTCTCGGTTGTTTGTGGCTGAAAGTCCCTGTTAACTACATTAGTAAGTTAGATAACCTGGTGACGTCGGTGTCTTGTGTAGGTTAGTAGGTCCAAAAATAGCTTTTGCAGTGAGTTAAGTGATCTTACTGTCCCGCTGCTAACAAAGCTGACATCAGCTTTTTGTTCGAATTTTCCGTTCCACCTTAAATGGTGCAGCAGTAACGTTCTGGATCAGGCGCCGGAATGCAAGTGCAGCACGATTTAAGGTGGAACGGGAAATTCGATCACGATGCCAACTCGAGCGTTGTTAGCTGCTACTAGGCCTCAGCCTGGCAGCCTCCTGGGTTGTTTGCTGACACAGCAGCCCAACAAAGGAGAATATGCACTATTTAGGGATTATCGTGAGAGGTTTGTGTCCTTTCTGTTGTGCATTAAAGCTTTTTGGAAATGGCAGCGAGTTTAAGGTGGTGTGAAGAGTGGAGAATGAGCTCCACAGGAGAAACACGTGGAACATTTGGCTCAAGCATGTGTTAGCTAGGTTAGCTAGCTCCTGTGCTAATGAGTGTTGAGGCCTGTGCTAACGGGATACACAGCCTAATTTCTCCAAGACCAGGATTTAAAAAACTGCTTTGTGTACATTTCCCAATGTGTTGAATTATGAAGATCTGAAAGCTTTCCAAACTTCAGATTTCAGTTCGTTCTGGGGGTCAAATGTCGCTACAGCAGCGTTAAGTGGAAACCACGTGTTTGCGTTTCTGCATTGACCTGCGTTCCGTACAACACTTAAAAGGGAATTACACGAATTCTGTCCTTGATGTAAACATTCAGAGGTTTATTGTAAAATTATTAATTATAGAGTAACTGACCAACCCTGATTTTTTTACAGTGGTGGTGATGGGATCCAGGGGTCACCATGTCTACAACACAAATATACCCATTTTATTTACTATCCAAAACCAACACGTGTTTTCTGCGTTTTTATATGTAATGTTGAGGATTTTCTTTTGGGGCTGTTTTGCCTTAGAACGCCCTGCAAGTCCTTCTCCACTGTGAATGGATGAAAATAAATGGACTAAATATTTCAAATCAAAACTTTATCACAAAACTATCATAAACAAGGTGTCGGGCATCAGGCAGCATCTTTCTAACAGTTTTACTCTGTGAGGGAGCTTTTGCAGTCATTAAACTCTTCAGACGTCTGGCTGTCACCACCACTGTGAACCATTGACTTGGCAGATTTCTCTAAAAAAGAGCATTTTGCACCACTCTGAATAACTTTGTTTACATCTCAACCAATTAATTATTGAGATTTTTGAGACGTTTCCCCTTAGTCAAAAACGGAAAGTCAGATGTTGAATAAGATTCAGTCTATCTGTTTAGATTAATAGATGCTTGGCTTCCTTTTACTGGGACACTTTTTAATCCTTTATGCAGGGCGAAGTGGGGAAACAGTTTATATATCTATATGTCTAGTGACGAATCATTTTCAGCATGGTCGTATTGCAAAAAACACCATTTTTTTGGGCCTTGTTCAAATGAGAATCACAGTACCTTGGAAGCACGTTTAAGCAGGATATTTATAACTGGAGAGATGTTGATTTTTTTTCTCTCTTTTTCTCCACACCAGGTGCTCTTACACGTGCTGTTTGAGCATGCGGCTGGCTATGCCCTATTTGCCGTCAAAGAGGTGGAAGAGATTGGCATGCTTTTGCCACAGGTGTGTATTTTTTGATGGGGTAAATCTGGCTAAAACATCTTTAATCTGTAATGCTGATGAGGCTTAATTCATGTTTGATTTGTTTTTTCCCCACTCAGGTTGAGGAAAGTGTCTTAAACGTTGGGAAATTCAACAGTGTTGTTAAACTGGCAGCTTTTTTCCCCTTCAAGTCTGCACAGGCTGCACTTGAAAACATAAATGCAATTTCAGAAGGTAAGTTCAATAGTTTTGTGTTATTTATTTATTTATTTTTTTGAGGAAAGGCTCAGATGTTGTGATGTACTAATAATCTGTCAATCCACTGAATTATTGTGCTGACAGCATACCATAAAACTGAACATCTGAGCAAAATAAATTTGATGCAGCCTGCTTATTAGATTATTAATATGGCTGAGATTGGATAAATGTGGCTAGTTATTAATGAACTTTTTCATGAACTTTTGTTAGGAGTCGTCCATGCAGATCTTAAGCTGTTTTTGGAAACTAACTTGCCTTCTGGGGGCAAAAAGAAGGCCCTTCTAGGAGTGGCTGATGGCAAGATTGGTGCAGCACTGCAGGAGGAGTTGGGACTGTCTATCCAGACTGGAGGAGTGGTGGCAGAAATACTCAGAGGTTTGAAGAATTTACTTGAACTTCTTGTTTGTTGTACAAGTATGCAGTGGCTTCTTCTGTGGTGATGTGTCTTTTATCCACTGACGTCTGATGGTTCATACTGAAAAGCTGAACAGTTGGGCCTACATAACAAAAGCGTTTCTCTAACCTCACCTTGGTCTTTTACTAATGTCTTCTCTCTTCTCAGGTGTGCGTCTGCACTTTCATTCCCTGGTGAAGGGCCTCACAGCTCAGGCAGCCTCCAAAGCCCAGCTTGGTCTGGGTCACAGTTACTCTAGAGCCAAGGTCAAGTTCAACGTCAACAGAGCAGATAACATGATCATCCAGTCCATCGCCCTTCTCGATCAGCTAGACAAGGACATCAACACGTTCTCCATGCGCGTGCGGTATGCAGGTTCTGTTGTGAGTGGAGTTGCTGTGCTGGTAAACTAATCTCAGGCTCGGCTGGCTGTCTCTGTGTGGTGTGTGAGCCTGAGTACTAACTGATTTTTAAAGGATTTGCCACTTAACTTTAACTATTGTCTAATCATATTTGCACTCCCTGTGTGATCCATAGACAGAGTGCGAGCAATATGGCAGAATCTCTAAACTCATAGTGCAGTTTATGCATCCAGAGAAGCGTTTCATGAAGGGTCTGTTAGCCAGATATTGTAAGCCTAAAAGTCAACGTTGTCCAATTAAAAATAAAAAAAATAAATAAAATAATGAAAATTGCAGGTAGATGTTTTTTTTTCTTGTACATGTCGGCCCCGTTTCTTAAACCAGGGCTATGGTTACCTGGATTAGCTTTACAGAAAAATACTACATTAGTTCCATAAAATTACAAAGAAATAAGGTGCACACATTTTAGGACAGTAGCATCATCTAAAGATTGTCTTCTCTGCTGGAGTACAGTCATAAAATATAGACTCGAAGTACCAATCAAATCTACACTTTTTTTTAATACAATTTTTTTTTCCCCTGCCATTACTGATATGGTTGTGTACCTCTAATTTTTATATAACCTGCATCCCTAAATAAGAGACCAGGGACATGACAGTCTTCATTCAGTCTTCTGTCTTGTGAAATGCTTCTCTGATCAGTGCAACAAAATGTTGCTCAAACGGACGTGGAATAAATTGCACGTTAAGGCTTTAACTAGTGCCATATTGCTGGGTTGTCTGCTTGTGTGCATTGAGGTGTTGTGTGTCAGTGCTGTTCACATTCTTTGGCCTCTCTCCGATGGGTTTTTAAGCCTGTGGAGATGGCGGCGCTCCGAATGTGACGTGCACTCAGCAGCCTCCCAGTGCTTACCGCAGACAGCGCCCCCTACTGCGCTGGCTGTACAGAAAAAGGAGGGACACTAAAGCCCGTTCTTGGGCATGCTCAGTCTGTCAATGGGGCAGACCACCACCTGAGGCGGAGACAGTCAGCCTGGTTTGGATTAGCCAGCAACCACACTTGGTTTGAGATTTCTTACTAATTCTATACTTTTGAGGTTAATTCTTTGTTTTTAATGCTACTTTTTTCATTTCAATTTTCAGTGAGTGGTATGGCTACCACTTCCCAGAGCTGATTAAAATTGTCAGTGACAATTCAACATATTGCAAGCTGGCCAAGTTGATTGGCAACAGAAAGGAGCTGAGTGAAGAGAGCTTGGAGGCTCTGGAGGAGGTCACCATGGACGGTGCTAAGGCACAGGCCATCCTAGAGGCCTCTCGCAGTTCCATGGGTAGGAGTCATGGCTCTTCGTGCTTTTAATGTTCTCCAGCTCAGAAGTTATGATGTCTTTATAATCTGTCAATCCACTGAACCCATGTGCTGACAGCATATCATTTAACTGAACATCTGAGCAGCTCTAGGATGAGCTTGAATTTTGAAAATCTTGTTTGTCTGAAATGCAACTGTGACTGATTTCAGGTATGGACATCTCCCCTATTGACCTGATCAACATTGAGAGCTTCTCCAGCAGAGTTGTGTCCCTCACTGCTTACAGACAAGAACTGCAGGAGTACTTGCGCTCCAAAATGGGCCAAGTGGCCCCCAATCTAGCAGCCCTCATTGGAGAAGTGGTATGTAAATTTTTATTTGCTTGTCTGCTTTGCTACAGACTTGTGGCTACTTGCTTGAAATTAAGAGATTTATATAATAAGTAGATTTATATTTATATATATATTTGTATTAGTAGATATATGTATACTGTGTAACATTGTGTTCTTAAGGGTTATACTTGTTTTACAATGCCTAAAAATAAGCACTTCAATAAACGTGACAGAGGGACATTCCTAAAACTAGCATTTGATGTTTTATATGTAATATTCTGTAGCACAGCATTACATTCAATACATTCAATACAATGAGGCTGAACTCATTGATTAGACGGTGCTTGATTTGGTGTTCTTATTGTGCATCATTATACAAATACTTCATATCGTTGGGATTCTCTCACAGCAGTAAAGAACTCCACTCATGTAGAGGCTAATAGAGATGAGACATTGGCTTCCGGTCAGAACAAATGGCTTGCCCATAGATATCTGCTCCAAAGAGCTTACCTTTTCAAAAGTTTCTTTAACCTTCAAGATACATTATCAGAAGGTGGGTTTCCTAGTCATTAGACCCCAAAATCTCACTCTTTAAAGCTGTTTAAGCCTCGCTGTAGCACACGTTTTATTTTGGCTGAATTCTTTTTGCCCTATAGTTTAGTTAAGGTGAATACACGATGGTTTGCAAGCTTCTGCATTTAGTCATAACCTTCAAAGTTGAATATGTTGCGAGTCACTCTTCATGTGATCAAACTGATGAGCTTTAGCTAATGAACTCTTGTTGCTTGATGCTTTTAGGTTGGTGCTCGTCTTATTTCCCACGCTGGCAGCTTGACTAACCTGGCCAAGTACCCGGCCTCCACAGTGCAGATCCTGGGAGCGGAGAAGGCCCTGTTCAGGTACTGGGGCTCCCCTTCCCTGCTGGGGTTTCAGGCGGCTGCAGTGATGGCAGGGCTGGGGCGACGCCGCAGTGGTTGATTTGAGTGTGTTGACATAAATGCACACCAAAAGTGATACCACTCTCCCACGCTCCCCCCAAGTCTGAGCAGCCGCCCAGGGCTTTTGGAGGTAGCTATAGTAGAGTTAGCACCTGTGTAGCTCCTGTGTTCTGGGCCATGGTGTCATTTTATTCAGTACACTAACGTTTTACTTTCTAGACTGCTTTAACTTGTTCCATAAATCTAGGGCGCTGAAGACCAGAGGGAATACGCCAAAGTACGGCCTTATCTTCCATTCCACGTTCATCGGCCGCGCAGCCGCCAAGAACAAGGGCCGTATCTCCCGTTACCTTGCTAACAAGTGCACCATTGCCTCCCGGATTGACTGCTTCTCAGGTGGGCTTTGCTGTTTACAGAACGACAGTTGGAGTTTTGATTTCTTGCTATGATGCTTTTTATTTTTCGTCATCAGTATTCCACCCCTGTGGGGAGTGGGTGTTGAAGAAATTACTCTGAGCAAAGCCATTGAATCTAATAAGTCCTGCGCTGTTTAGCTTGATATCACTAAGTCTTTCATTCTGTATTACAGAGGTTCCAACGAGTGTTTTTGGAGATAAACTCCGTGACCAGGTGGAAGAGCGTCTATCTTTCTATGAGACCGGCGAGACGCCAAGGAAGAACCTGGATGTGATGAAAGAGGCAGTGGCAGAGGTTGGTGAATCTTATTTACACTTGCATTTCTCTGCTGTGAGTGATGACTCATCTTCCCTGACTCCAACGTGGAGGCAAAAACTGATTTAATGAGCCTGACGCAGCACTTCATACTAGTAACAGTTTTAAACTCTTCTGGGCTATTTGAGTTTGAAACGGTGCGCTCTTTCATCCACAGGCGAGTGAAGTGGCAGCAGAGATCAAGCGCAAACTTGATAAGAAAGAGAAGAAGAAAAAGAAGCGTGAAAAGAGGAGACTAGAGGCTTTGTCCACAGCTGAAGGAGAGGAGGAGGAAGTTGAGGTCAAGAAGGTCAAATCCAATGGAGATGCTGAAGCCCATGTAAGTGAGGTGTTACTGCGGTGTAGGGATAGGCATGGTTATTTAAATGTGCCATTATCCAGACTTATCATTGCTTTATAAAGCAATTTAAATAAAAAAATGGATCATTTTGGGGTTTTTTTTTTGTTACTGACCTTGCAACATATACAGTGTAGAGACACAAGTGCCTAATATTTAGCCTCATGTTAAGCAAAATGGCAGCATTAAAGAGCTACATATGGAAAGAGAAATCCAAATGTAGTGCCGTTCTAATTTATAGTTTAGGAGGCTGGTATGTAAGTGATAGTATGTAAAATCAAGTTCCTGGAGAGAGAGATCACCATCTGCTCTTCACCAAACCCTGCATGACTAGACTAGAGCCAGGACCTTCACATGGCCCTGTCTCTTTAAAGGACATGCTAGAGAAAAGCTCCTCCGAACCATTGACAAACCCTTCTCAGTGGGTTTGTTCACTGAAGTGAGCAGGACAGCTTTTGAGTCAGTTTGAGACTTGATTTTTTATTTCTTTCTTTGTTATTTATGTACTTGTTTCTTTTTCTGTGCTTCATCTCAAGGAGAACGGAGAGGGTGAGGCGACAGGTGTGAAGAAGAAAAAGAAAAAGAAGGCAGCCGCCGAGGACGTAGAAGTGAAGGAGGAGGAGGAAGAGGTCATGACGAACGGTGTGGACGAGGCAGCTCCGGCTAAAAAGAAAAAGAAGAGAAAGATTGAGGCAGTTCAGCCTGAGGTTAAGGAAGAAGAGCCCGAGGTGAAGGAAGAGCCTGAACAGACTGAGAAGAAAAAGAAGAAAAAGAAAAAGAAGGCAGAGGATGAATAAGATGATCCGTCCTGTCTTTCAATACTGAACTGTTTTTTTGTATTAAATACTGTACAGCTTTTTTTTTTGACTATGAATGCCCTGATAGTATGGATGATGTATGGCAAGAATGTGAGAGGAACCTTGGTGTCCTCAGTTTATAAAGCTCAAAAGGAGCATTTAACAGAACATTCAAAAATACAATAAGCTTTGTTATGCATTGCCTTTTGTCTTGTTCCTAATGACTGTGAGCACCTATGATTTAATAGATCATTCAACTCTGTGCCTTGAGTCCAAATTAGTTTTGCCCCCTTTGACATCAGTGATCAGACTCTTGCTTTTGTGATGCTTCTCAGCCAAGATGTAAGAGAAGATTGTGCATAATCATGTTATTATGAACATTCTGCATTAATAATGCATATTCAGAATTGGTGTCTTGGGAAATGCTATGAGACCTCTATATGCTTATGTAATCTGTCTTGTTGCAAAATATATAGGAATACTTGACTTTTTGAACTGTCAGTATTTCACAGCTGTGAAGGTTAATACTTGGTGAGCTCAAATGACTGATCACTTACATGGTGTTGAATGACTGTGTTATGGGGGTCACTGTATGTAGTCATTGCTAAAGTTTTTTTTATATTAAAATGTTTAAAACATTTTTTTTCTATTTCTTCATGCAGAATTACAGCATGCAACTCTTTACCCTTGTAGAGACTAATAAGGGACAAAAATAACAAGGAACTGGTCGGATATTTTATTTGAACGACAAGGGTAAAACCAATGTTAAAATGATTCTGATTCAGAACTGCTACGTTTCAGCCAATTAACAGGATAAGGAGGGGTTCACAAATGAGGGGGGGGTGAGGAAATAAAGTCAAGCACTGAAGTAAAAATCCCCCCCAAACAGGGAAAAAAAAATTCACAGGTCAATGGGGTGCCAGGGGGCAAACATACAAAAACATTTTAAAAAAGGCTTCACCATCAAATGATGCTTAGCAATAATGTACACCATTATTAGGTTTATGTATTTATACAAAAAAAAATCTCCATCAAATGATGCTTAGCAATAATGTACACCATTATTAGGTTCATGTATTTATACAAAAAAAAAAAAATATCTCCCACATTTTCATGATGCTGGGTCTGGTTCAAGTATATTCACCTTCTATTTTTAGTATTTAGTTCTCATCCTCTTTGTTTATTCATATCCATTTTGAAATTAACAGTAACATCCTTCAAAACAAAATGCAGTAAACCACATTTCATATCCTACCAATACATATATACTGTATAAATACATACATAAATATATTTTACATACAACAGCCAAAACTTTGAAAAGGGGGGATGAGAACTAGGGGAGGGGGAGATGGTAGTGTGTGTGCACGTGTATATGTATGTGTGTGGGTGTGTGTGTTAAGCACGGTGCTGTGTGTAGTTGTCCCTCTGCTCTGCTCTAACGCTGGCCGCAGTGTTGCATGGTAACGTGGCGTCCATAGGAGGGGCATGGGGCTCTTGCACTTTTCAGTTGCCCCAGTAGGGGGAGCTGCCATAGCTAGACTTGTTGACCTGGGCCTTCTGCTGCATGCTGCTGGTCTGGCTCCTCTGACTTGGTCCACCCTGCACATACCAGAACACTCAGTTCACTCAGTTCAACATTTCTGAGCATGTAGCAGATGTTCTGTGAACTTGCAGGTGTTTTATTTTAAAAACTACACAAAATGCTCCTAAAAAGTCTAAACCTCAGTACGTTAAACAAATATTAAAATTGTGAAAAGAAAGCAGCATGTAAAAGATTTGTATTGTAATGCTCATTTTGGGAAATGTACAGCAAATAAATTCTCCTCAATAATTCAGATTCCCCACAAGGGGGTACTGTTAGCACTCAAGTATGCAGTCATGCGTGATTGTAGTCAAATTTAGAAACAGTAAAGGTAAGGATCAGTGTTATTTAATATGCATTTCAGCTTATGCTAAGAATAGCATAAAGATAGTGTATAGGCTAAAGGTAGCAGGGGATGCCTCAACTTTCAAATCCAGAGACATGTTTAGGAGGACTTTCTTCCAGGTGACAAACCATAAAACCTTATATCCTTGCTGGCTTTACGTTTGGCATTACAGCCCCAAATAAACAGCTTTTTGGCACCATGTACATCGTGAGGCCCTTTGTTTACAAACATCTGGACTTATGTATTGTTTATTTCCCAATGGACTACATCTAACGTAAATACACTAACTTAACCTTTGTCGTAACTGAGCAGAAGACCTGGGCGATGGGGTAATGTTGGATCATATGCACCATATAGAAGAGCTCACAAATGACTGACTATGAATAGTTGACTGCAACGTCTATGAACACTTAGACAAAATACAGACATGCACATAGGAAGGTCTATCGCATGAGGGCGAGTGATTTTTTTGCATTCACACTGGATGCATTTGTCCTAGCATGTACGACAATCCTGTCACAGCTGTTCATACTGCTATATACACTTCAGTACTTGGAAGTGACAAAACTCCCATTGCATATACTTTTACATTACTCACAGCTGTTTGTGTTCTTTCTATCTAGCTAATACACATTTATTATTCATCTATATTTATTTCATAGGATTTAATTTTGACACCTACACCAAAAGAAACATCTGTACATCTGTTAATTGTTTAAGATTCTGATTCTGACTGTACAGCCTGCTGGTAGGGATAAGAATGTGAACATCTGTCATGTGAATATCTGCATTTTATAATAAATAGTATTTGTATATCCAAACAAGATGTTTTATAGCATTATGGAAAAAAAAAAAGTTAGGTTTAAAATTCTTTTACTGTACGCTGTATGTATGTATGTATGAGTATTCATTTGATTTAGTGATTTCTACTTATGTTTAAGGTATATTTGCCTCTCTTTGACACTTCTAAATGACTTACATAACATTAACTTGCACAACTGATGGCAAATTCACACCAAGTGTGATTTTTTTTTTCCAGAATGACAGATGCTGCTTTTAACCGTCACATTAGGTCCAATGAATTTTTTTTTTTTATTCTTAAACACTTTGAGAACGACCGAAGAAAAAGGAAAAACTGAATTCCTTAAGCAGTAGCAAAAATGAATATCATTTTTCTTTTAAGCACTGCAACTAAGAGCTGCATACAATGGGTACAGCCCATTCTACAAAAAAGACCAGACATGAACAGACTAGGATTCACCTAAACCAAAAAAGGCTAGAAACAGTCACTGTTATCAGCCTTTCAGCTATATGGTGTGTTGCTTGTCATATAAGCCTTTGTATGCCAAGCAAGATGAGCTGTTCTGCTGTCATCTTGATACACATTTGCTTGAACTGCAACCAAGTCAGCAGAGCTCTGATTTTTGATGCATCTGTACAACAGAGAATATAAGCTGCTTGTGTCCTGACATTTTCTGTGGTCCTGTGTCACATACATAGCCAACAACAGATTAAAAAATAATTTATAATATACTTTTATTCCAAACCATGCATGCCTTAATCTAACACCCGATTAAGTAAACAAGTGCTGAGCCTGGACATTTGTATATTCAAATAATCAAGCTCACTCGTAGTAAGTTATCAATGAGCGTAAGGATATTCTACAGCCGTTAACTCGTTTTGGGTTAATGATTCTGTATGTGTGTGACTGACCTGTCCATCCTGGGTGAGGTGGTGGTGCAGCAGCTGAGAGTGGGGCTGCTGGTGAGCAGGCAGGATGTGGAGGAAAGGAGCTGGGGCGTATCCAGGGGCACCCCCGGGGGTCAAAGGCCCAGTACCCCCAAGAGCCGAGGGAAGGTTGAAGGGAGGAGGAGTGCCAGCATGGAAACCCTGTTTATCAAAGGACTGCAGTCATAGATGGACAAAGATAATGAATCACACAGAGCTCAGGTACTGCACGTGAATGACAATCAGTAAAATCAGCAACACAACATTAACCCAAGTCGTAAAGCAGTGTTACCTGAGTCTTGTTGTAAACAGTTCCACTGATGTCTGGCACACCAGAGTTACTGGACGTCACGGAGACGCCTGTGGACAGTGTAAAATGGTCATCATTAAATGTAAAAAGAACTTAAAAATGTGTGGGTTATAAATCCCTCGATCCCACAATATCATTTCAACCTCCAAAATAAACGCGTTACATCACCTTTCCCTGGACCAGAGGCAGCAGATTTGGCCTGTGTCTGAGAGGAGTTGCTGTACCCTTTACTGTATTCCGCTCCCGCTGGGCCTTGTGTCAGGTCATCATACCCTGAGCAGAAAGATAAACAGACAAACGTGATTAAGTCGTTTATTTCAGTCTACACCTACAGGTGGCCAGTATGACCATGTTATAATTATCACAATAAATTACATCACAATACGCTTTTCTGAGTATAACATATCGGCAGTATTACTAAAATACTGAACATTTATCTTAGGCTAAATTTAGGCTATAGGTAAAAGTGGCCTAAATCTGTCTGGTTGTTTACATTCTTTTTCATGTGACCTTCATCTGATATTAGTCTGAACTGACCCACACGTGCAAAAGAACACTAATCCACCCTACACGCTCATCCAACAGACTGTCCACTACATTTCCTGTAGATTAACAGATTCCCATCATATGACACTAAACTTGTGCAAACTGATACTTTAAACTAGGAGGACAAATGGCAGACACCTAAACCACCACGCTAGACAAAGTTTACAGAAAAGAGAAGAAACTGAATTTCCATGCTGGTTGTATTTGTGGAAGCCGACCACACAGAGAAATATAGATCAGTTTATTTAGTTTACCTGCCTTGAAGAAGAATGCTAGCAAAAAGGCGCAAACTAGGAGCCAAAACAGCGACATAACGTGCTGCACAAAGAAACTTGATCTGCATGAGGCTCCTTTGGTTCTCTCTTGTACATATCACATATTCTATACATAGACATATGTACATGACCAACCTGAGCTAAAGGTGTGCTGGCCATAGCCACTGGGCTGTTGGAATGGTGTGGAGGGGTTGCTCAGGCCCATGCCATGCTGCTTGGCAGAGGCAGGGGGCATGAACATGGTGGGGCCGTACTGGAACGCACTAGGGACTCCAGGCACTCCGGGGTAGTAGGGCAGGCCTGTGTAGCTGTAGCCAGGGGGCAGAGCAGGATTGAGGAAGGCCTGCTGGGTGCTGTGGTGCCCCTGTGGCTGTGGCTGGCTCTGGCCTTGGCTCTGGGCCTGTGGGGGCTGCGCTGCCTGGGGAGTGTGAGCAGCTGACAGGCTGGTAGGGGGTGCCGGAGAGGTGGAGTCGCCCCTGCCAAACTTTGGCACTTCACCTTTAAGAGGAAAAGAAAAAAAAGAAAGAAGAAGAGAGAGCAAGTCTTTATGTGTCTGGTTGCTAAGAGGGTAACACAGTGGTCTACAGGAATGGATGAACATATGCTGGTCATAACCATGAAAAGAAAATTAATTTATTCACTTAATTAGTTTCACTAAAAACAACAAATATTATGGTGTCCCTGAGAACCCTCAGGCTGCAGCTTTAGCATTAGCTGAAAATAGACCATAATTTACCCTAGCTGGTTATATTAGCCTTGACAAACCATTAATGGTGCAAAATAATAGCATGAAGAGCCACAGAGGAGAAGTTTAATTATTTTGCATCTTAATTTCTTGTTGCTCAGCACCAAGCATATAAACACATGATAATGGGTAATGTGGGCTAGATCTGAAAATCACTGACAGACAAATCACTACAAAATTTAAAAATGTAATGTTGGATAAAACAAATAAATTATAGACCGATAAAGACAATCTGAATTTATTATAAAAATGATGAGGATGAGATTGAGGTTGCGCCCGTTGTAGTTTTATGCAGAGCTCTGATGTCAAGGATGATTTCAGGGTTGGCACTGAATGGCACTGAGACACAGGACAAAGTGGTACTGGGTTACCTGAGTAAGGATTATTGGCTAGGCTTCCATCTCTGCCAGACAACGTTGCAGTGGGCCCTGGGAATGTGATTCCATAATAATCCTGCAGGATGACAAGAGCGTAAAGTGTGATTATAATGGGTGAATTCTCATAGTTCACCTCTACTTTCAAAAGACTTTACCCTTAATTTGCTTTAATTTTTCTTGTTACTTTATTCCTCTTTCCCACTTTCATTACCTTATAATAATTTTTAAATCAGGCCTGCTGGAGTCACCAGTCTGTGTTGCTGACAGAATTTAACACTGATGTCCGCAAGATAAGAAATTGGATGCAAGGCAAATAAAACAGGCATCAATTCAGAAGAGTACTTGAACTGTACCTGAGAGTGCAGCCAACAGAACCTTTATATTTAATTTGTTTAGCAATTTTTCATTCAATGCGTTATAAGCAATATATTCTATGTAAAGAAACAGTGTTTTAGGATTAAACAGGAGAAAGCCATCGTCCTCCTATAGCACTGCCACAGTGTGAGAATGGCACATTATGAAAAGTTCATCCAGACTAAAATCCTTTGGGTTGCTCTAAAGCATGTGTCAGGCTCCAGTCCTCACAGTCCAAAACTCTGCAGACTTCAGCACACTGCCTTATTAAACCCCCTGATTCAGCTCATCAGCTAATCAGCAATACCTTTATGAACTGAATTCAGAGGGTTAGATGAGGGTAAATTCTACTCTCCAAATCACTTTGCATCGAAGGTCCTTAGTATGAGATGCCTGCTCTAAAGCATTACTTGATAAATTTGTTAAACAGGAATTTATACTTCTGTAGGACAACTGATTATTTTACTGTCATATTATTTTATGCAATTTTTTTATTTAATTTATCTGTGATCCAATAATATATATTGTCTCTAAATGGTAGTTTAATTAGCGCCAGCATTTGGAATTTCAGGTTTTATTTGATAATGGGCTGGTTCAGGTCAGTTTCACACAGACATTTGTTGGGCTCGGGTCCGTTTCAGATACAAAACAAAAAAGACAAAGTTCTTTATTTATATTTGGACCAAAATCTTATGCTCTAACAAGAACTCACCATTGGTAGTCTGGACTGCAGCATGTGGAGGTCCTCATAACCATAGATTTGCTGTAAGACAAATAAACAGGTTCAGAACTCATATAGGCTTGTCTCAGAGAGACAGCAGACACAAAATAATCTCACATGCAATTCATAATTTACATTTGGAATTACGTGCTATGAACACAGATTTATCAACTCACAAACATGCAAATTACAGCAGTAGTTTTGGCAATGCATTATCACTACCACTCCAGCAACAATAATAACACTCCACTCCACTATATTTAACACAGACAGATATTTATATGCATGTGAGTCATCTCTAAAAGCACTCAGCCCAAAAACAGAAACACAGTCACACATATACAGTCTACTACATCACTGTTCATGATCCCGGTCATGAAGTCTACACAGGCCTGCACATTTTACTGCTTTAAACACTCCAGTTCAGCTGATTCAAATGAGCCCTTCCAGAGTTAAAGTGGATGTATTAGAGCAAGGAAGAAAGTAAATAGTGTAGGGCAGGAACAGGATGCTTTAGGTGCTTTAGGATTTAGGCGCTACCTAGCTGAATTCCAGACACTGTCTATTCCAGACAAGTGAAAGCTGATCTGATCTGTTCTGATATAACAGGGCTGCGTCACTTACTGGGTATGCAGGCAGCAGGCCTCCAGGACCCATGATATACTGGTTAGGCAGCAGCGGAGGAACCCCCTGAGACAAGTTAGGGGGAGCTTTTCCTGTAAAGCAACAGTGAAAAACCCCATTAGCCAAAATTAACACATCCACATAAAAATGATAAAAACTTGATTAGGACATCCTTATACTGGGGTCTAAAACGTCTGAAACACAGGTTGTGTCTCACCAGTAGAGGAGGATAGCAAAGGCGCTGTCCTGACAGCAGAGGGTGTGGTGGTGCCATTGCCACTGAGCCCCAGAGATGTGGAGTGCAGGCTGCTGTTACCGCTACCCACACTGCTCACACTGCTGCTGGGCAGAGCTGACACTGACGCAGAGGAGAACGCTACCGAAGACGGAGCCAGAGAACTCACACTGTCCACACTAGTATACTACAGGTAAGAATGGCAGAGTGGATGGAGATTAGAGAGCGAGAGAGCGAAAGAAAGAGATTATATACAGTTGCATATGTTATTTTTATTTTACACTATTTGAAAATACCAGCTTCCTTTTATATTGTGTGAAAATTTTATGAATAGATCAACAGAAATCATACAAAAGTACTTGTAATATAATTTTTTTCTCATCCTGAAAAGTTACCAGTTTGTAGACACAAGGTTTTGTTCTAACACTGACAGCTTACATAATGACTAAGTATGTGTGTTACTGTTATGACAACATTACACTCACCGTTAGCGAGGAGCTGGTGCAAAGTGCTGATACTGAGGAGTGGCCACTGCTCACATGGCTGCTAGGGAAAAAAGGTTGCAGAAAGTACAGAGGCTGTAAATTACTCATGCACATTAAGGCCCAACCGAAATTTTGAGGCCGATAGATTTTTGGGGGCTAATAATTCTAATAATAAAATAACTTCACAAAATTTGTTTACATTTTAGATTTCAATTTGATACTTCAATAGTTTGAGGTAAACTGTGCTTTACTGACAATTTTCAGTTCTCAATTAACTTCTAAACGCAATTTAACATGAGAAATTAGTCTTAAATAGCATTATGTAACCCACAATGTACTGCACTTTGTTTCTTTTTATCACCTTATTTTCAAATTTTTCCATTAATTCTCTTCTTAAAAAAAAATAAAAAAGTAGTAGTAGTTCATAATATTCTCATGGTAAATATTCAAAAGGTCTGGATGCATTTTGTATGTTTTTCTAAAACTTACTATGATCGTGCTTTGTGTTCAGATACACCACTTCAGCCTGTTTTACTGTCATATCATTAAACAAAGAGTTCCTCATGCTGAAGTGCCCAGTGGCATACCTGCTACCACATCAAGTCTAAATCCCAACAGGACAAAAGATGCTAAACACTGGCACACTAACAGTGATATCAGCTGATACCAATAAAACAGCGGGTCACTAATATCAGCTAATATTGTCGGCCAGTTGACAACAACAGCTGACTTTTAGGGGCTGAGAGGAGAGGGTGAAAGGGCCAAACAGGCTCACCTGCTGAGGGGTGGCAGGCTGGCCGAGGGCAACTCAGGGGCCAGGCTGGAGAGAGCTGAGCTGTGGGGGGTAACTGAGGGGGGCAGCAGAGATGAGGGGGCAGAAGGGGCAACACTGGTGGTGCTGCTGCCCAAAGAGGGAGACTCTGGCTTTGGAGTGGAGGAACTCGATGTGGCTAAAAACAGGAGGGGGAGAGAAAAGGTTATGGCATGCTAAAACAGAAAGCAGCACACAAATCTTCAATCACAGCTTTAGATTAGCATGTCAGAAACATACAAACATGTCAAGAACTCATCAAAATCCTGATCAAAATCACCAAATAAAAACTTCACTTACAATCTAAAGCAGCAGAGGTCCTCACACCATTAAAACCGTTCTGTTAGAAAGAGAATTAAAAAAAAACAACAATGGGCATCCATCTTCATATAAACTTATTTTTCTTACATAGACCTTCAATTTTAGAATACTGTGCCAGATAATGTTATCATTATTGTTATCATTATTTTATTATTATTATTATTATTATTATTATTATTATCATCATCAATCATCATTTTCAAAACCAGATTATAAAAATATTGAGATTAGAATATGCCTAGTGCATTGCTTTGATTTTCTATAAACTTAATCATTCTGTCATTTCAATATTTTTTCATTTAAAACCTAGAACTATTCAGCTTTTCAGTGTTTTGCTCATCTTTCTGCATAGAGCACTGAGAATTTGCCTAACCCTAACTAAAATGAAAGGTTCTACATTACATAACTAAACAGTTCTACTAGCAATAATTAGAAAAAGAATCATTATTATTTAATAATAATAATAATAATAATGATAGTTACAATAAGAATATTATTATTAGTAACAGTATTTTTAAAAAATCATCCAGAAGCCAAAAAGTATTACTAATATCAGAAGTGTTCATCACATCTTTGATGGCATTATTCAATGTCTAGCTGATGGCCTTAAACTCTAACTCACAGTCACAGGTCCAGAGGGCTCCTTGTTCTGAGAGAAGGTCAGTCGTGAGTGTGGAGCCACTCCACAGTCAAAGCTGTTCCCAGCAGATGAGGCTGCTGAGGACGATGAGGAGGAAGAGGAGGAGGCGGGCACCGTGGCAGCGCTGGGAGTGGTCAAAGAAGGGGCTAAGCTGGGCAGAGCCACGGAGGGAGATGGGTAGATGCTGTCAGAAGGGGCCAAAGGCGGCAGCAGCAGCGGGACAGGATTGGCAAGAGATTCACTGCAGGGACAGACATGCAATACTATTGATGTGCAAACAGAATCATGAACCAGACATGATTTCATAACAAGAACATATGTCTGAGGACAACGTGTTAAACCTTTGATGTTGGAATATGGTGAAAAACAAGGGGACACTCCCTCTAAAACCCCTCTAACGCAGATCGAGCTAGCAAGCGAAACGATAATGTAATGACAGGTCTGTTGTCCGTTGGATAATGCTGACGAGCATATGGCCTCCACAGATTTGAGCATACGTGAAGATGCACTTCAGTCCAGAAAACAGAGCTGAGCAGTGCATATTTCTATCAGAATGTGCTTGTAGAGAGCAATGTTTTACCCTTTGAACCCTAGGCTCAATAATTAGTTATTAATCTTAAGACTTCAACTCCTGAAAGACTACTTACAGTAGCTACTATGAATTGTTCAGTAACTACTATGAAACTAAGCCAGTTTACAACTTGCATTGTTTTGTGTGCAGATTGTATTTGGATATACTCTGGATGGATTCCATCTATAATTTTCTCTAAAACACGTCCCAGGGAAAAAGCACATCAGCACATATGCTGTTTCCTTTTTACTTTTGATTTTACATCATTTACTATGATTTGTCTCCGAATGTGGTTTGCTTGATCCAATCGCAATCCAAACACAATGTGTCCTGTTTACACTCAGCATTTCATGTGGTCCGAACCGACTTTGTTGTCTTTGCTGTGCATCTGAACTTAATCTGATTACCAAAAACACATTTTAATTCAAGGTGTAAGTAGGCCCTACAAACATTATGTATTACCTGCATTCACCTGTAGTACACACTTTTAACATACCAGATGTCAACATCAATAACTAGTTCCAACTGTCCACTTCTTCTGACTGACCTGATAGGTTTGGAGTAGAGGCTGCTCTGAGTCTGAGGAACAGGTGCAGCCTCTCGTGTAGCTTCACTGGTGCAGTTCTCTGGCTGGCTGAAATCTGGCAGTGCCGACTCGGAGCCGAAATCCAGAGCGCCAAACTGCACATTGAGCCCAGATACATCCGCAGAACCAGGCATCTCCACCGCAGAGGAAGGAATCTATGCAAGCAAAGGTTATTTAGAACCACATGACTGCTATTGTAGTGTACTGAAAAAACAGCCCTATAAGCAGCAGTGCACAGTTTAATTTCCCAGATGGTAATACAGCTGGTTCAACTCAACTAATTAACAAGCTCTTTGTGAACTCAGCTACATCGAAGTAAAGTGCATCCAAGACCATAGAGCGCTGTGGATCTCCAGGGAAGGAGTACAGAACATGTACAGCATTTTACAGAGATGTTCTCATAGCTATAAAATTTCCTTGCCTACTCATTAAACCATGTAACAGGATACAGGTCTGCATTACTTTTCTGATTGACAAAAACATCTTTTTGGATGCCACCCAGCCATCTGCATTAAGATACTAGACAAGTGACAAAAGCATAAAGCAGAGAAAAACGCACTCTCACCTTGGATGTAGTAGGTATCCTTCTTTTCTGTGTCTTAATCTGGCGGTGCTGTGTGCTGCTGGCTTGAGGGTCTGCAGCTTGTGTGTGGGCCATGGGGGGCTGAGATGGCTCTGGTGCTTTGGAGAAAGCCTCCAATGGACCTTGGGTGGGTGAGGGTCCACTCAGTGGAGGAGGGCTGGGCTGCCTGGCCAGAGGCAGAGGGCTTGTGTGGCTCAGAGAGCTCTGCTGCCGCTGGCTCAGCTGGCTTAGCACCAAGGAGGGCTCTGGTTGCATCTTAAACTCCCCTAAAGTGCAGAGAGGACAGAACAGATGACATTCTGTGTTTCAATGGCTTTGGAAGAGTGGAATAGTCAGAGAAAGGCTAGGAGGAGTGCAAACAAGAGCTGAAAGATATGGTGTCATGTGGTATTAACACGTGTAAGAGTGCCTCTAAAATGGTGCATGAGTGAAATAGCCTGGTACTTACGACTGAATTGGGAGGGCAGTGAGGCAGAGCTCTGTGTTCCAGGAGGTTTGATGTCCCAGGAGGAAGAGGGGACAGATATCCCTGTCCCCGCCAACCCCCCTACAGGGGTACAGTTGGCCCCTGTACTAGGAGGCTGGGAGGTAAGCTGCCCAAGTCCTGGTCCCTTCAGTTGCTCCAGTATCTGTTGTCCGGCGGTCTGCCCAAGCTTAGGACCACCCAGCTCCCCAAATCCAGAACCCAAGACTGAGGACTGGCACAAAAACACACAGAAAAGGAGAATTCAATCCCAAAAAACACTTTAAATGACAAATAATGTTCTTGCACAACATACAAATCTCATTTACAATCACAGTCTCAGTCACCAACCACAAGCTAAATATTAAGTGAGTGGTTTCACAGACGCAGATTAAGTCTGTGCCTAAAGTTTTAAAATTACAATTGGTGATTCACCATTGGCATTGCTATTTAGTCCAACACTAGACTTAATGCATGTCTAGAAAACCAGCTCAAGATCTTTCAGCTAGAGAACTATCCGAAGACCCAACAATGTGAAGACCCAAAACGTTGCCAAAGCCTCACCAGGGTGGCATGTGCGTAGCTGGGAGTGCCAGTGGTGGTGCCTCCGTTGCGGGTAGGCTGGTGGTGGGAATTGGTGAAGACCAGGCTATGGCCAAGCCCCTGCGAGGAGGTCGGCTTCATATTCCCCAACTCCTCCCTGCCAGCAGGCTTCTGCAGCAGAGACGCCAGGTCCAGACTACATGGGACATCAACACAAAGACAATAAAATTACAGGCAAAAACAGTGGAATGTTTACTACAGGCTGGTTATAACACATGGTCATTAAATGTACCACCTTTGGCCAGGTGTGATGTGGTTCTCAGCTGGAGGTGCACATGAGGAGGTGAATACTTTAGTCTCAGAGAGCTATAAAGAGAAAACCAGATCATGAGGCATGAATGATCATCTCAAGTCCCTTGCTACAAAATAACCTGATTAATAACTTCAAATACATTTCCACATCAATCAGGGTGACAACGAATAGACTGCTTGACTTACACTCACATCCTCATTCCATTCTTCAGCTGTCCAGTCTTCTAGAGTGTTCCGCCATGCCACTGTGCAGACATGATGAAATACAAACAGACAAGGGTAAAAACTGGGAAAACCTCTGCAGGACTATATAGTAATTCTTCTTCCTGGAGTATGTGTTTTTTACCTGTCCCATCTGTGGTGTCGTTGGCCCCCGATTCCCACACGTCAGCATGCGAGTTGGTCGTGCCACTGTCCGTAGTGTAGTCCGCTGGGTTAAAGGTCCTGCAGATGGAGAGTAAAAATTAGGGATGTAGCAATTCAGTCTTTTCACTGCTGATCTGATTAGAGTCCTTTAATACTGACCATCTCGTGACAGAGTCGAATTCAATGTTTGTATTTTTTGGAGTTAGTAACATTTAAGTTCAACTTTTTTTTAGTATGTGCACAGTGTGACACTCTGAGCTGATAAAATAAGCCAATAAAACTTTAATGTATCAACTTTTTAATATTGACTAATGATCTTATTTGACTGACTACTCTGACGACCTTGGCTAACAGTTGCCTTAAAATCAAACAAAAATTTTAAACATTATTTACATTTTGTACACGACTGCCATTTTTTGGACTACTTAGGAAAATTAACCATTTTATAGTGTCATAATTAACAAAGAGTACAAGAGGGAGTGTGTTCTCATTAATAACATTTGGTCATCACAGCCATAATACACAACCTCCAGTGTTCTACTGCATTTATACAACCGCAAATTGAAGAAAAAAAAGCAAAGAAATACTTAGGATCTGTATATCAGGTTCAGTCCAGCTTTTTCAATATTTGTCAGATCTCATAGCCTATCTTGTTGGCTGAAAAGTATTCAGTTCATCTCTGGTCAACTCTAGTTTGTTTAGCTGCTCCCCCATCAGAGCCATCAACAGAAAAGCTTGCTTAGGGGCAACGACAGGTTCAGAACTTGATGTAGACCTGCTGTCATGCACTTTATAAGATTGGCTGCAGGTCAAATACAAGATTGTGTCGTGGGAACTAACTGTTGTATAAATACGCAATAATTTCAAACTGTTTACAACAGCTGGTTGTAAAACCAGTGCAGTGCTTCATGGCCAGTAAAGCAGAACATTTCAGTGACAATTTTGTTTGTACACCAGTTACAAGTAGAAAAACGGAGTGTGAATCTTAAACAAAGATCAGAACTGGGTCAAGTCCATACCCGATCCATTAAAACATGCCTGGATCACTAGTGGATATTCAGAAAGTAGTTTCAGTAAGGAAGAGATGGGTAGCCCATTACAGAAAGCCTCCCTCTTACCCCATTCCCTGCGCTGTAAACCTGCTGGCCCCCGGTGCACGGCCCCTTCCCCTGCCTCCAGACACTGCACACACATACAAAAAACCATATAAACACCAACAAACCGCCCCCACAAAAAATGGAGTGAGCATGCATGAGAGTATGGGTGTGTACCTTTCCCTCTCCCCCTACGGCTACGGTCAGCTCCTCTCTCCACAGGTGCCGAGTCCACTCCATTCTCCTCAGCCCTCGCTGACAACCGCAAATTTATGCAAACACACAAAAATATAGGCTCTGCACATATGTATTTACATAAGCAAAATAAAAACCAAAATAACTACACCTGTATTTTCCAAAACTGATGATTATCAGTGGAAGCAAACAGATGAGTGTGTTTGTTTATATAGACTCTAAGCACACATTCTGAATGGGAATTTTACAGCCATAGTGTAACACCCAAGCTTTCACTTTGTCTCTGTCAATTTCTGCCTGGCTCCACAGCTGAAAGCAGTTTTCACTTTTAATCTGGAACAATCAGCATCCACTGATAAACCACATGGGAAGTTCAACACATGACAGGAAAACAGAAACACCAGTTATTGACAGCAACAACAGAGCTGGCCAATTACTAAGTATTTTGTTCAAGATCCATGTCATCACCCATGCATCCAAACAGTCTGAAGCAGCTGAGGGCCAGACCTCATTAAGGTAAACAAAGTGAGAGCTCGCAAGTTTGTTTGAGGCTAAATGAGAATGCATGCTGAGAGACTAGCAGGCAAACTCCAGGACACACTTCCTCTCAGAAACCATGGCTTTCCTTACCCGGCCCCTTGCGACTGGCCCCTTTCCCTCTGCGGTTTGCTCCTCCACGCGCTTTGCTGCTTTCTTTCTCGCCTCTCTTCTCCCGATTCTCCTTGTTCTCCTTGCTCTCTGAGGAAATGCTGTCCTTTCCTAGGCTTTTCTTCTTTCCCACTGTTTCCCAAGAGGTCTAGAAAGAGGCAGAGACGAACAACCCTTCAGTTTATTGATCAAAAAAGGGATAAATGAGCTCCCTGCGAGATGTTTGTAGAGTCTGACTATGAATAAATTAAATAAGGTGGACCAGTATTGTACAATCGGTGTTGTAACCACAAATAAAGTACTAAGAATGCAGCACTGACCATGTAAAAACTTCAACGGGCCTAATCCAGTTACGCCATTTCTCCCTCAAAAGTTCCCTCTTCATTAAACATAAAAAAAAAGCCTTACCATGTAAAACAGTTTGAAAAGTTCCTTTGTATACATGGTCTGTAACTGTGAAGGACACTAAACAGATCATGCTTCAAGAGCACGGTGCAGGCAGGGGCCTGTTATGACATAGGATTATCCGGCGATCACAGAAACGACCTACTTTCTATTTTTGAGTTTTCCTAGAAATCACAAACGCATAACTATAAGCGTGTCCGATACTCACACAATGTCTGTTGATGAAACAGATCAGTGCCAATCCAAAAAGAATTAGTTACAAAGGCAGTCGGATAGTACTCCACTTAATTAAACAGTGCTACACAGTTGTATAAACAACAAAATACAACAAAAAATATTTCTTCAAATAGTATATTTTTTTTAAGTGGTAGTGGTGTTCAGGTTGTGAATGCAATTATTTTAAAGGCTCTTTCTTAAACATGGTGCAGAACAAACTACAGTCAGATGGCAAAAATGAGTGCAGTTGGTTTGCGTCTTACTGTGTCAGAGGTCCCCTCCAGCAGGAAGTTGATGGCTCTGTTGACGTCCTCATTGCAGTCATGGAGAGCAACCATGCACTCATCTTGGTTTTTCCCCGTCACCTCCATGAGCTACGAAAGCAAAGCAGACTTGAGAACAGTGTAAACAGAACTATCAATTATGCAAAAAGAAAATCAGGCCAATTTGTTGCTCTGCAAACTACTTCGCAGTACTAAAGTGAACAACCTGAGCAAGTATTTTTAAAATCGCATCTCACCTGGTTGACTTTGTCTTCAAAATCCGCATCATTCTTGTCGTAGATCATCTGGGCAAGTCGGATCTGTTCGGCTGTAGCCTGCAAAAGATGCACAAAAGAAAAAATACAACAGTGAGAAATTTCCAATGAGAAATCGTAGTAAGAAAAGCCAAAGTTTGAGACTCCCTTGGCTAGGCACCCAGACCTTTTGAGCTATAAGTCCAGAAACAGACTAATACTAATCTTGGACATTTTTGTCTATGACTAGGTAATATTTCTAGAAGATAAGGCCATAAAAACAATGTACGATATCACAAATTAGACCTAGAGCATTTCAAGGGTTTTGTAAACAGGTCCGTACGCACCTGAAGCTGTTTCTGTGGCTGTGTGATCTGTGTGGTTGTGGGCAGCACCTTGTCCCGAGTGCCCCGGGCTCGATCGCCGCCCAGCGAGGTCATCATATACAGTATATACAAAACAATGTATGTACAAAATAGAAAAATCTGAAAAATAAACAAACATAAAAAGGGGTCGTTACTTTTGTAAAAGGCTACTTTTTTACTATATTTACCATTTTGCAACTTCTCTTTGTCCCTTAGACAGGCTGTTTATACTGTGCCTTTAAGACTAATATATGTAAATGATCTTTGTTCTGATTGGCTGCCTTGTACTGTGTCTTATTAAAGCAGCATGGTTCGAAGCTCTCATATCTCAATAACGTCAGCATGAACTAGTGGAGCTAAATTCTGGATGATATATATAAATGTGCCAGTTTCTGTGACATCACAAAAACAGAGAATTCAACATAGGCTCTTTCTGCAGCTTAGTTTCCATATTTGATCTGTATTAAATGGGGAGTGAATGGTACATTCTGAAACTCTGACAATGTTTGCATACAACATCAAACTCTTACTTCAAAAAAGTGTGGAAAATTCAGTTTTCAACAACATGGACCCTTTAATAAACAAAATGACTGCATGCTTCCTGAGTGTTGGTAGACTATGCTAAATAAATGTCTTACAAACCTGCCATAACTTGTTTTTGTTCACTATTTTATGTTTTCTTATCTTACAATGTCCTCACACAGCACTTTAAAAGAAAGGAAACATTATTTATTAAGTTTTATATATCCTAAACTGTCTTTTCTAAAAACAACCTGAAACACCCAGCAAATTCATCAAAGATGCAGTCCATGTACTGCTGAAGCTCTTCTGTGCTGTACTTCCACAATGTGGCCCCTGCAGGGTTAAAACTTTGCTAACTGCCAAGCAAACACACAAGGGGCCATATCAGATTCCTTCCCTCTTAAATCCAGTTGGGCAAGATTGAGCAATCCTCTGACCACCAGGAACACTTATAGGACACACATACATAAACACACATACACACACACAAGCTTATCACTCTCCTGGCCTCAACTGAAGCCAAGCAAGACTGAACTGGTGTCCACTTACACATCACAACTGCAGGCCTCACTGTCCTAATAACACACACTATAATAGCAAACCACATATCCACTCTTTCAGTGCAGCACATCTGACTGTAAGTAGAGTTAAGGAAAAATCTCTGACTCACACTATTGAAAAATATGACAGTGTGTTGTTAAACTAAAAACCACATCAAGTCAGTGCCTGCATAATCAAAACAGTACTAAACAAAAACAAAAAGATTACGGAAGGGAAATTCCACCCATTTTTCTACATTTTAGCATAATAAACTGTTAAAATGTCAGAGTGATATGATGTAAAATGCTCCATTCTGGACTCAGAACTGTTTACAATGTTAGGATTGGAACCAGACATCCAAAGCTTTTAACGTCTCAAAAAGCAACCTCACCGAAAGCTATTTCACAAAATGAAAATGAAAATCGACCGATGTCTTAGATTAAAGACAAGAAGTTTTGGCCTAAAACATATTTTTAAAACCCGTTCATGGCAGAGATGCACATGCAGGATTTTATCAGAAACATAACATACATAAACTCAGAAGACACATGTAGACATAATAAAATCAGAGTCTTTCTCTACAATTTACAGTTCCACATCAAAAAACACTAAATGACTTTGTTTACACCACCATAATTTAAATATGCAGATATTGAGAAAAAAAAACATGAAATATCCATTAATGAATTTTGAGGACAATGCGCAGAAAGTTATGTATGTTGTGTTAAAATCTCATTCATAAAACATGAGACCTGCAGGAAATATATTACCAATTCACTACCAGCGGCGGGCGAAACAGATGGCCTGTCCGAAGCAACACTGCATTCAGCTTAAAGCCCTAATATCACACCAAACTTTGCAGAACATCTTGAGGCACTGTTTACACAACTGTCTAAAATAAAGCTCAGCTTGTAGGGGGTTCAACAACCCCCACATGGAGCACAGGTGGTGTTAGCGATTTGGTTTTCTTTACTATTTCTTAAACTGGACCAGAGATGAGACAAAAACATTTAAAAACGCACCTTTTGCTATAATGACAGCTAACAAGTTAAGGTCTGTTAGTGACTGAAGTAATTTTTATTATATTACATTATTATTAATTATAATATTAATACTTAATGTTACATGGACCAATTATTACTGCACTCCACTGTTACTGCACACAACCTCTAAGAGTGGCCTGCTGCATGGAGGACTAGGAGAAATAACCCACTGTACAGATTTTAACCCTTCAAAGTCACATCCTACAATAAAAGATCTATTACACTGATTTTGACATAAATAATAATAATAATAATAATAATACCAAAATAATGGTAATTTTGATAGGTCCCATTTTGCAATAACCTGTATTTACATCTCAGAAATGACTCTTCGGGGAAAAAAGAAATTAGGCCAAAACTTTCTCTCAAAACTATTGCAAAACAATGCCTCAGGCATCAGGCAACAACTGAATATATTGATGATCACTTCATGCAATAACACTCTGTGAGGTAGCTTGCAGAGGCATCGAGTTTCGGAGGTCTGGTTACCATCAACACTTTGGAAATGTCTCTAGAAAGGCACATATCACATCAAACCACTCTGAACGACACTGTCTATATCCTAACAACTGAATTATTCAGTGATCTGTGAAATTCCCCTTTGATGCGACCACCAACCAAACAACTCACGTCTCTAAGTATCTGTAAAAGTAACTTCTCCAGTTTAATCATGACCGCCATAAAACACAGAAGACGTTCCAACAGCTGACTGCAGTTCTGGATCTCTGGTGGTCTGTGTGGCCATTCCAGAGACCCCCCAAAGAAAAACAAAAAGAACAAAGCCTGATGGCAGGCTCTGTCATCACAGCTGATCCTTTAGGTTTACTAGCTACATGCACGTTTAATGTGTCCAAACATTACGCCAAATACAGTAAAAACATTATGGATTTAAGTGCTGGTGTACAATTTCCATTAAAAGGGAAAAAAGGAAAAGAAAAAAGCTGCCAGCGCAGATTTATTACTCACTGCTTTTGCGGATGTTGGAGAAAAAAAGAAAGACGCGAATTATAGACATACAGATTAATAACAGAGCTACATAATCATTATTGCAGGAAAAGGATGAACCAAACTAGAAGTCAAGTCAAGCTTCAAACAATAGGGCGCAGTTGTTGTTGTTGTTGTGGCTTAACATTTAAAGGTATCTACTTCAGCAGGCTAACTCAATCACTGGCAAGCTGTCCATCTGAAAGCCAATATCCGTTCAAACACACAGATGTTTTGTTAGTTATAAGAGATAACGACGCTTGGACGTAAGAGATCTTATATTATCTGCGACTTAAGCTACAAACACAAACCCTGATCAACTCGAAGACGAGCGGAGCGAAGCGGCTAGCTAGGTTAGCTAACCAGCTAGCTGGATCTCAGGACCCTCTTTGTCCTAACTGGCTAACTTGCTGTTGCTAACTGCCTCTAAACCCTTAATTTCCCCTCCGTGCCTCTCCTGAAGTCAGCTTGTTGTTCGGATTTTCCCGTTCCACCTTAAATGCTGCAGTAGGTACATTCTGGCGCTCAGACGTCAGAATGTAACCGCCGCACCATTTAAGGTGGAACGGGAAAATCCGAACAAGAAGCTGACGAATAGGAACTTCAGCCTCGTCCATCTCCCTCTCAGTCCGGGCAATTGTTGTAGCTTTACTGGCTAGCCGACTGAGTCAAGCAGGCTAGCGGGCTCGTAAATCCGCAACCGGCCGTTAAAACGTTCCCGCTCTCGAACTTAAACCGAATTAACAGCATAAGGCGTTAAGCGCAAAAAACACACCGACCCCGCTGCCGTCCGGTGAGCGTAATATTGAGAAAATGGCCACATAGCAGAGCTAGCTTAGCCTAGCCTAGCCTAGCACAGCTAAAAGCCCGAGCCGGGAAACAGGCTAAAAAAGCCATACAAAGCAAAATTTTCGTATTTTCAGCCCATTACATGGTGAACGACACTCGAACGAGAAACAACAAATAAACGAACCGCCTCCGTTTCGATATTTCCAAATCCTAAACGCTACTTTCAAACACGAGTATGAGATTTGTGTCTTTTTGTTGTTTTTTTATTACCTGCTAACACGCTTCACACTCAGCCAGCAGCAGACTCCGTCACGTGACACGCAGCGCGCCGCCGAGGCAGAACAACAGCGCAGGGCGCGCGCAACGGGAACGCGCACTGCATAGGCAAACAATGAACCTGCGCGCTCACGCCTCGCTGCCCTTCAGGTCTATATATATATATATATATATATATACATATGTGTGTGTGTGTGTGTATGTATATATATATATGTATATATATATATATATATATATATATATATATATATATATATAATATATATTTATATAATGATTTAATTGCGCTTCATGGTTTCTGAGCGAGAACTTAAAGGGACCCTATCTCATATCTGTCTTGTATTTTATCTTTTTCCCCTGAGGTTTACTTATAAAATTTGGATTAATGGGCTCAAAACAGCCATAACTCATTTTTACATCACGATGTTCTAACCTTTCTGTATCCCCAAAAACAGGGGCGTCCAAACTTTTTTTTTCGAAGCGGGCCAGATTGCACTGTGTCAAAATACCAGAGAGCCGACATTCACAAATGATTCAAAGTGTTGTGTTCAAATGATCAGCACATGGAATCCGAGCTGTGTGCTGCCGTATCTCCTATCACTATGTAAAAGATGCACGTGGCTTCTTTCATTATCAGGTTGCTTAGAGCAAGTTGGGTCGGTAAGTGCTTATAACAAATAATTAAATCGTTTAATAGTAACAATAAATCATGTCTAACCTATTACTTATATTCCTGTTCAATTGTTCACTCGTCAGAAGTATCATGTGTTAGACAAACTAAACAGAAATTAATACATGTCAGTTTTGTTAAATAATGTTCTTTACATAGCAAATAAGCGCAGCAGGCGCATTAAGAAATTACTTAATTAAATATTAAGAGCGGATTAAATATTAGAAATAACCACGTTTTTGTTCGGCCTTAAAGGGTTTATAATTACTGAACTACTGAATTTGCTCTTACCTGCTGCCACCATCAGGTGAGAGGAAAGACTGCAACGTACCGGCTGGCGGACCACTTATAGCGCCCTCTATACCAGAAGCCACGGGCCACCTTTAATTTCCAGGCCATAATTATTATTATTATTATTATTATTATTATTTTATTAAAAAGGAAATTAAAAATGTTAGATATGGACATTGAATTTAAATGCTCAGGGTTTTGCTACCTTTGTTTATTCACGTTTGAAGGGAGTAACATTCCCTAAATTGTGGAAATAGCTTTAAGGGAGGCGAAATATTAGGGGGAAATGCTTTCTCTGTCAATGTTTTTCTCTATATTCGCTGCTGATTTGTGTACAAATACTTTTTTGTACGGTTACTCGCGCAGTGAAGGACTGTGGACGCGCATTTCCCCTCTGCAGCTCCTGCACCGCACTGTCTGAACTGGAGCCCCCTGGCGGCTACAACCTTACCTTTTTGACCCATTCATGACCATCTACAAAGTTTAGTACAGCAAGAACTGCCACAGAACTTCTTTTCATTTGTCTAAAAAGATGAAATATAGTCGTATAGAACCACCTCAAGTGGCCATCTAACAGTGCCCATTAGATTTTCTTATAACATATATAATATACTATAATAAAATACAATGTTCACACTTTTATTCTCAAAGTTGCTTTTTTTCAGTTTTCTGAAAAATCAGCATTCCCCATTTGAGTCACGTGACCAAAAGGTGAGACCAGTCTTAAGAGAATTACTAGGCTTTTTAGAAAATTATTTTCCCAGACATATATACACACTGCTTATGAAAGGTTATCTTAAATGACACACAACTGCAGACATTCTTAATATTGAAGTCAACAATACAACCCCTAGTGACCCCGCACTGACAATGACACACAAACCATTCCTCAACGAATCATCATTTGATCACAAGTTCTTCTAAAATATTCAGTGACTATCACACCCTGCAGGACTGGCCTTGCGCTACCAGGCGGCAATCCTGGTGGCTCAATGTCCCGGTTCACATATTTCCAGAAATTGTGCAATCATCATGATTAATAATATACCTCTCTAAATGTGTCATGGATATCATCCATACCTAATAAACACTTCATTATCTGCACGTTGCATTACAAATAAAGCATAGTCCTGTGCAGAACAGTGTGTGAAATGTTGAATAGAAACTAATGTACCCAGAGTTTTTGATGAGTTATTAAATGCGGCACTACCAGTGCATTCAACTGTGTGTCAAAATATTGTGATGTGTATCGTGATTTTTTTTGTCTGCCACCTTTAATTTCCAGGACCTTATAATTTTTTTTATTTTGCAGCTGTCTATATATATATATATATATATATATATATATATATATATTATATATATATATATATATATATATATATATCTCAGGATGTGATCGTGATAAAAACTCACTTTGTAGCCTAAGGTTTGAGTAAAAATCTTCAGATTTACGCTCAAGCAAGCTCAAAGAACATACGGACCAATAGAAATTAAAAATGCTAGATATGGACACTGATATTTGAATGCCCTCACACTGTTTAACTCCAATGGGGAGAAACAAGGAGAACCTTAAAGAAAAGGTTTAAAAAAAAAAACGCACAAAGCAAGATCAAAATGGAAGAAAAATACATCAATAGACTTTTATTCATTTTTTCTCTTTAAACAATTCCTTGGGTTGTTTTTTGTTGCTGTTTTTTGTTGCTGAAATTGTATGTTTTCAGACTCAGTAATTTGTAAAAACATTCATGTAGTGTGTATAAAAAAAGAGGGCACCACCGAAATAATGACTGTTAGTCCACACACGCGCACACACACACACACACACACACATCCTCAAACATTTACATAAAATGTGTTCTCCCTCTATAAGATTCCAAATACGTATACACACATTTATATATAAAATACGCTTTAAAAGTGATGGTTATTTGTATAATATATGGTCATATCACATCTACTCTTTGTTCTATCAATTCTTTTTCTGCTTTTTTTGCAATGACTATGAAGGTTTCATGTATTAAAAAAAAAAAAAAAAAAACAAATCAAACAAAACACACAATGTCAACCTGCAACAGTCTTTCACAGAAAGACTCGGGAAAGGCAACAATGTCACTCACCACTGCCCTGCCTCTGCTCAATAATAGAGGAAATGTAGATGAATAATCTTCCCCTAATAGAAGTTCAGAAGCAACACTACAAAATGATTGTACCTGAACACCATGAGTGCTAGTGACACGCAAGGGGAGAAAATAAATTATACTCAGCATTGAAAAAGAAAAAAGAGCATTTCTAACGTTATTCTCACTCACAAAGCAGGACAATCAAATTAAAGTCGTTCTTCAATACAGGTCAGTGTCAACCACAGAAGCAGAATCGGTTCCTGTGGTGTTAACTTTCTGAAACTGTCATCATTTCTTCTCACCAGCAGAGGAAACAAAAGAAAAACAAAATGTCTGCCACAGTCTGAGCTCAAGTCCATGTTTCGTTCAGACGTTTTCTCCAGACACGTCCGCTTGCCGCTCTGTGGACCCTGATCCCTTTGTGACCATCATGGCATAATATGGCACAGTAAAGCTAAGGTGGATCTCTTCTTTCAAACAGAGTGAAGTTCCACATTAAATCAGTCTTTTCGATTGTACTTCAGTCCAATGCCAGCCAGAAAGGAACAAATCACAGGGTCAGCAAATAGTCTGCACTAAAATAACAGACTTTCTCCAAGCCTTGCCACTAAGCCTCGTTATCCTCAAGACACACCACTCAGAAGGGCGGAAACCAAAAAGCATGAATTGGATGAAAGAATATCCTGAAAAGGCTGTTAAATATTTTAATACATCTTTATAAGCAATCAGAGTTCTCAGAGGCAACGCCACACCGAGCACCTCACTGCCAGTCAAAGCTCTGCTTTGTCACAGACATCACAATTAATGAAGAGCTGAGGAACAAACAAACATAAAGAGAAAAAAAGAGGCAGATGACACCTTACTATGACAACAGGACACAGACATTATAGAAATGTGAAGAATCATATTTACTCTCCTGAGTCCACTGAAAACAGAGAAGACAAACTGAGGGATGAAAAAAAGAGTGAAAGAGAGAGAGCAAACATGGAGTGGAGCAAAGTGGAGCGATGATGACCGGTGTGTATACTGAAACGTGTATGATGGAGAGAGTGGGAGCGCTGAGGGAGATGGATGGAGGAGGCTAGCTCCAGAGACCAGCGTAATTTCCGTGCAACCCAGAACACAGAGGTCCTCCAGCCACAAACAGCTTGGTGCCAGAGTCGTCGTAGCAATGTGTGTAGACGGCGTTGGGGAAGGAGCTGATATCCGAGAAGTAGCTTCTCCACGTCTCATCATGGTTCTGAGGCACAAAGAGGAAGACAGCAGAACTGTCATTATAACAGCAACATTTCTTTCATAAGCTTCATCTCATAAATAAGGGTGAGTGTTCTTATTTAATAATGAACACTAAACAATTCTTCTCAGTGTGATTCCCTGTAAAATATTAGCATCAAGGTAGCGGTGCCTCACATTTATGTTCCCACACTGAGTTTAATACTACTTAAGGCAGATATACCAAAAACTGACATCTGAAGCATGCAAGACATTAAATTAACATATTCTTTACTTTTATACTGGAGTTTCATAATGAATAGCCTGTTAGCAATCTGTTTACTTAACTATAAGCTATATTTTAGCTTATAGTTAAGTAAATAAGTTGTCAGCTCCTCTGTTTAAACAAAACCAGGCTCTTGCTTCATCTATCAATACACCCTGTGGTTAATGCAAGCAACCTAACTGTCCATTCACAGCATAATGGTTTTTAGCAACCTGGCACATTAATATAGTATCCAACTGATACCGCAAAAAGAAAAGTATGTGACATTCTTTGTAAAAAACCACATAGGCATGGTATGGCAATGTTTGGTGCCCTGTATTTGCCATTGCACTTACAAACCTGATAACTCAAAGTAGAGTGTCAACCAAAAAGTTAAAATTATTCCCCCAACTACATCCCATTATGTGAAAAAAATAAATAAATAAATAAAATAAAATAGAGAGTGGAAACGTATCTTGCAGTGTCAATGTATCATACAGACATTTTATCTGGTCTCTTAGCTATTTGTAGTCTTATAGAACCCAACCCATCTGAGGCCTGGAAGAACAAATGGCATCTTTTCACTGAGAATTTTACCACTTTTTCAAAATCACTAAAAAGGGACAAACAGGATCAATACAATACTACAATCTGAAAAAGAGCTCTACCAGCCAGCCTCTCCCTGTGGCGAGTTTAAGGATTCCCTCTGCACTGGACTTCCGGTACCCGCCGGGAACATTGGATGCACCGTCAAGGAAACGCTGGGCCCTGATGTCGTAGAACAGCAGGGAGCCTTGGCCTGTGCCCACTGTCACTATGTGTTCATAGAAGCTGACAGAGCGGATCCCTGTTCAAAACATTACACATACAAAATGAAGTGACAATACAGAAGATGTGATGCAATAAAGCAGTAAATTACAATGAGGAACAGAGTATATTTGTGGAACACACCACTGCCACGCTCCCTGGAGCTCACAGACTTGATGTTCTGGGAAGATTGCCGAGGATCAAGGAAGGACACGTGAGCCTGGGATCCGACAGCATACACAGACCAGTCCAGTCCATATGCCAGGCACACATTCTCCTTGCAGTAAGGAAGCTTAGTAGACAGCTCCTGAAAATCAAGAACAACGCAAGAAAAAGAAAAATATTTATAAAAATGAACCAAAGAAAGACACAAGTACATGGCAGAAACGTACACTGGTTTCTTGCCACTTTACCTTACACAGGTTGTCTTCTGCCTTCCATAAATGAAAATATCCATCTAGAGACACTGCACCCAACTCCTGATCAAACAGCGAAGAGAGATATGCATCAGGAATATAAAAGTGTAAAACATCATCTGATCTACATGCATTTATACCAAGTACCCAAGGGGAGGACAGAAGCAGACCTTATGGCTGTTATTGAAGGCTAGGGCGCGCACTTTGCAGTTGTATGGATGGGTGTACTCCTTAGGGATGTCTTTAAGGGCACGATGAGAGATGTGGGCATAGCAGGGGACTACCTCCTCAGCCTGCTGTTTCTCAGCCAGGTTCAGCACCTCCTCAGACACCTCCCAGAGACCCATGGAGCCATCCCGAGAACCTAAGACAAGAAAAAAAAATGAAGAAGAAGTAGAAAAGAATACACATATAAATGCACATGCATACACACACACACACACACACTCTCCTGGTTAAAAATGACAAAACATTAAGCGTTTAATGGTCTTAACAATAAATCACTAAACAAATACATAAATGGAGGAGGAAAGGAAAAGAAGGGAACAATAACAAAAAGTAGAGAACAAAAAGAGATGGGGAAAGGTAAACTGCAGTTACAACAAGCAGCAAATAAGACAAAAGATATTTGACCCGAGCTGTATGATGTGAGAATGACAAGAATAAAAGATTCAAGCACACTGTTTTCAATAAATATGACGCAAGTGCATGTCAGCATACAGTACAATACAACGCAATACAATATGTGCTATACAAAACAATACAGCCCCTTTCAAACATGTACTTTCACACAACACTGGGAAATTTGACCAAAAGTGGCAAAAGCCTTGATGCAGTAATCAACCTGCATGAGACCTAGTTTCAAATCAAGCTAGGTCTACACATTACTAGGAAAGATGGTGTTTTAATTACAGAATTTGCCTACAATGTAGGATGTATTCAAAATATTGATACAGCAATACATTGTGGATAAACGTGACAATGTGTATTGTGTGCTGGTTGGCATTAATGAAGTGAGGATCTTTTACAAACTGTTGAAGACACATATGATCATTGTTGGTTGTGTATTCAAGTTGGTTTTACTTTTACAGTTTAGTTTGCAGTTGTTGCGAGTTATTCATTTGTAGCTGCTGTGACAGCACCTAGTCGTTAGTGTTTTGGTTACATGTTAATAGAGCTGCTTTGTGTTGTAGCACTGTTAAAAACTAAGCAGATGTATTTGGTCTGCATGTAATCAGTGGCAAAAATTAGTTAACAAACCATTGTGCTTCTACCAGAACGTTAAAAAAACCAATAAGGTTAGCATCAGGTGTAGACTAAACACTTATCCTGCTGCTCTGGACAGCTAACCAGCAAGTTCATTCAACGTAAATATCTGTGTTTTATTATTTTCTTTTTAGCACTCTATGTACACAGGTGTAACTTATATTTACATCTGGTATGAACTGACAGCTAGTTTAACATTAATGTTCATTTTTTAAATCTAGATCATAAACGTGTTGACTGTGGTGTGTTTAATCTGCTGTCTCTTTGCTCAAGAGAGATCCCATTACTGCCTACAAGCACAAGATAAACATAAATCTAAATATTAATTCACTCAGACACTTCTTATGGCTGTACCAGTTAAATTAAGCTGGATACCGAGGCGCATTATATACCACCAATGGTAGTGCCAAGTAAATCATACATTTAATAGTCAACAGCATACAGAAATATGAGATTCATAACAAAAATTTGGTGAAAATCAACTGAGTGATAAGGAAGTTATGGCCAATTTAATCATGAAAACTCATGTTTCAATACACATGTATTTGTTTACAAGCAGATCCTTATCACTACATGGCGGACATGCAAATGCATCGCTTGAGAACAGACAACGCGGCATCCATTTATTTATATCTATGTAACCAGCACCCCAGAGGAAACCACACCTATAATTTTGATTGACTGACTTAAACATTACATCATTCTCCCCAACCATATGTAATGACTCATTATTACTGCAGCAGTTTTCAACAAAGTTTAAAGTGAAAATTGACCAAAAATGTCTGTTGTACATTTGGTGTGTTATATTGCTGTAACGCTCGTACTGTCATGTGTACCAAGTTGGTGACGATATCCAGCCCTACTACAAAACACTGAGTTGGCAAGTAATAAAACAATAGCAGACTGAACTGACAAAAGGAGAGAAAAGCCAAAAATCAATGAAGAACAGGAGAAATGTCTAAAAATAAAAGTAATGAAGGAGCCACTGGCCATTTGTATTGACATCTTACATCATATGGAATGGGACATTTATGGCAAATGTGACTGTGTATCCTGATAAAATACTATTTGAGGGCTACAAGTAAAAGATATGCTGATAACATCTCGAACCTTAAGCGCAAAAACACTATTGAACAGAATACAGTACTGTGCAGTGCACAACATTGGGAGGTATACTGGATGAGAGAGAATACAGTCCAGCACATAAAAGACAGGGGTCACCATTAGTTGTTCAGAATTCTGACAGCCTGTGGTAAACAGCTGTCTACGAAGTGGGAGGTGTGCCCCGTCATGCTCGTCTCTGCACATCTCAGCTGTCTGATTTTAACTGTCATGTTTTCACAATATCTTCACTGGGTCTGCCTGCTGTAGCAGCAAGATGTTTCTGGCTTCAATGATGACAATTAGGTTTAGGTTTGAAGTTTCTACATCTTTAACTTTGTAGGTTTAACTCTGTCTTCTCAGCTGCCTGATTTTAACTCAGTTTTGTCATCTTCTCTGGCAGGAGTGTCAGATGCATGCTTTATAGTGAAGCGTGCTGCAGTGTTTGTGTTTAAGTCAATGCAGCTTTCTGGTTGATCACTATTGTTTTGCATCAGGGCAGAAGCGTTGGAATAGGTAGGGTTATAACTGCACTGCTGTTAGGAATAGTGTTTAACATGATATAAAGATGCTGCGGGACATTAAAACATTTGAAAACTGTAATTGCAAAGTTGGCCTACCGACTTTATGTGTGTGTGTGTTTTTATCCAGCAATCAGCACAGAGTTTTCTTCTCCATTTGTTTAAGAGTGCTTGATATTCTGCTTGTAGGCAGGATGCAGAAGAGCAGAAGAACGGTCAGATTTTCCAAATAAATGGACGTGCAGTACAGATCGGCAAGATTTTTAGAATCACATCCACGTCCATCTGGATTCTTTTGAAAACAAAGTTTTTACTCTGTATTTTGGCCTCTGGTCCATACAAAAACTGGGTTTTAGGTCAAAATCTTTTTGAAAACACTCTCCAGGGTGGGGATATTTTAAAACTCTTTTCAGCATTTCTCTGTGGACATGGAAAACACAGCTTTTTAAAAATGACACCATTAACCTGTACATGGTTGTTGCTGTTTCCCTGCCTTCTGAAATATGGCTCACTACCATGTGCCCTGCGATTTGGGGATTGATCACGTTTCTAACACCATTGTGTGGAGGCGACAAAGTACTGCACTTAGTTCTTTTAAAGGAGATGTGAACTAGACTGCAATTATAAAAAAAAAAAACTCAATTAAAAGATGTTACCTGATGATTAACTTGAGTCAGGACTGAAAAATAAATCCTGAACCACAATTAAAATGGAGTTTAAAACATTGCTAATGTTCTGATATTATCCTTTCATGTATACATTAGATCCAGTTCTCACTGTCCAAGATCATCTTCCAGGTGTCACTTAACTTGTTTACAAATTTCAGAAGACAGCTCATCCCATGCAGCACTGACATTCGGCAGAATGTAAATATGGTTAACAGAACTGAAGAGAATTCTCTACGAAGATTAAACAACTGCCACCTGTCTGTACAGCACTAATGTGTAGGACTGTATATTTCATCATCATTGCACAACATATACACACATAAACGTTGCTATGTTACAGTCAGTTCAGTGTAGGTAAGTTAAATACCATCTAGTGTATTAGGTTTCAGTGTAGTCTCTGTGAAATGGGACACACAGTATTCCTGCGACACCTACATGTACTAATGAAGCAATTAAGTTCATCCAGTTCATCTCCAACAGACTGAACATTAGTCAGCAGGATACTGGCAAAGGGAGATCAAGCAAGATGGCAGCTCAGTCTGACCAGGACGTCAATATGCCTCACTATTTCGGTGAGGTTCCTGATGTTTGCTGTTATTCAACAGATCTAGAATAGTCAGAGAATGTCTTGTGGTTTTGGACTACACTGAAAAACAGGGCTAATAGCTAACAATATTTGGCCATTGTGCACTAGAGCAGGCGATGATTCATGAATAAAGTGTGCAAAACAATAAAATGAAAACAAATGCAGAAGCAGGTAGCATACTGCCATAGGATGACATCACCTTAGACGGTGGCTTTCAGGATTGACTAAATAGTTTAATAAAGCTCACTGAACAAAAACAATAACGTTGCACAAAATCAAAATGAAGGCCTCTTACCAGACACAGCCATAGTGTCACTGATCCAGGCAATGGAGAAGATCCAGTCATTGTGTCCATCCTGCCATAAGTAAAAAGACCAGTTTGCATGTCACAAAAACAAAGAATATGATTTGTTAAAAGAGCACTAAAGTTAACATAAAGTTGACAAAAAAAAACTAAGATGATAAATTACAGATATACTCACATCCCCCACACAGACAGGGTCTAGAGTGGGCAGTCGGTAGACAGCCAGGCTGTTCGGGTTATCTCCTCCAGTAGCCAGCAAGGTGCGTGAAGGGTTGAGCTCAATGGCATGGATGCCACAGCCCTGCTGGGCATCCAGTCCAGCAGCTGAGCCTGGAGCATGAAAAAGTGGGCCCAGGGAGCCCCCTCCCCTTCCTTCTCTGTCCTTCAGCATGGGAATCCGGGTAATCTGTCCTGTTAGGACGTCCACCACGAACAGCTGTGCATGCAGAAATAACAAAAAAGACCTTTCCTCATTAGTCTGTTGCAGCATATATAATAGAATATGATAAAAACAAGAACAAAACAAATCAAATGTTTACAGATCTTTAAAATCTCACCGTATTGCACTTGGTCCCACACACCACTTGACGATGATTAAGCCACTGAGAGGCAAACACTTTGTTGAGGCAGCCCAGGGAGAACTCTCGCTCTCGGAGGATTCCAGGGATGCGGCCGGCTGCAAAGCCACGCAGGCTGCTCTGGAACCTCCACTCATGCTGCTGCTGTGGGCGGAATTCCCGTCCCCGGATAGCGCAAACCACTGACTGACGACCCTGCCACCACTGCTGGGCATGCCGCGACAAAGACGATATACGGGCACGCTTATATACAGACTGGCACCAATCAAGCTGTCAGAAGAGAACATACAAGCTCAGATAATAATTGTTTTCTTAATAAGAAATAGTTTTAAATCAGTACACACACATCTTTCCTTAAAAATTGGTTTAAACAATGTCATTGATGGCAAAAACATGCAAACCCTTGTATTTAGCATCTAATGCACATTTTATTGGTAATACCCTCAAACACTTTCTGTAACTGCTGATCCAAATTTCTTCTGTTTGAGCCACTCTATTCTTGGGTTACTCCTGTGCTCTGGACTACTGTCACGCTGTCTGACAACACTTCTGAGTATGAGATCTCAGACTGCTGATAGAATTTCTTAGAATGCATTGTACTACAGATGTCCCAATCTGATCCATAACTACTGAAGCCAATCTAGGCTTGTTGTTAATGGATCACATATCGTTAAACCCAATCCACCTCAGATTGCACTCTGATGCACTCTGATCAGAGCAGGAGGTGAAGAAAACTGGATTGGCACATCCCCAAAATTTGCCAAAATGTTAAGCTTTTGCATAATCATACACAATCATTTTCCCCTGTATTCTTACATCCCTCGAACACTTACAATCAGTTTCTTATTGTTACATTTCCTGGATGCCACCCTAGGGTGTAATGTTCATCATTTCAGGATTCTATGGTGTGCCCTTGCACTGACCATTGTAGGATGGGCTCTCTTAAGGACAATACCAAGGATGCTGAACTTCTTGCATTTGCCTGACTGTGGACTGATGGAGATACATGTCTTTAGATTTTTTTTGTAACCCTCTCTAGTTTTATGAACTACAGAACTTTTTTCTAGTGAAATCTCTCTTTATTGGGCCATAGTGCACTTGAGCAGAACTTTGACCATGTGAATAAAATAGTCTGTGCGTTCTTTATGTTGTAGGGAATGTTAAAACTAAGGCTGCACAATAAATTTCACGTTTATTGTTTTGCGATATGAGGTTCTGAAATAAACACATCATTAGAGTGGCAATGACAGCTACAACTACAAAACACACACTCTGAGACATTAAAATATCGCATATAACTCAGCTTTAATGTAAATTTAACTCAAAACAGAGTAGCAAAGGGGACAACAAACAGCACACAGGCTAGCTCAGGTTCTACTGTTTTCCTGCTAGTGAGTTGGGCTACCTTATGCCCCCCCCAGAGTCTTTCAAAATAAGAGTGTTTCAAAGTTCTCACAACTGACCTACACAAACTGGTAAATTAAATATAACAGGGTCTAGTTTTATAGCTTCTTAAACTAGTCTAAGGGCTAAGACATCTTATAAACCAGACTGTTCACTTAGACACTTAGAAAAGACAATACCTATCTTAATTCAGAAATTTTATTTTATCTCCAGTTAGCAAATCTTAACCTACTTGATCGAAGTCGACAATCAACTGTCAAGTCTGTTACTTAGCAACCATACTCGCACAGCTGAAATGTAGACATGTGATCAAAATAATCTTTAAAATACAAGTTAGTTAGGCAGACAGTTACCATTATCGATGTAAAAAACGTCAGAAAAACTAAAGTGAGATAAACGAAGTTACGAATATTGTAAGAGTGCCCCCTGCTGTTTATCAGAGCCTATCCCCAGTTTCAGTTTCCATTTCCACCTAAACATTTTTACTCCTAAAAAACATTCAGCCCTGTCTCATTATTCACTGCCATCACTGTAATATTTAACATTAGCACCCAAAGGTAACAATTTTTATAAGAAAATCCAGAAAAAAAGAAAAAAATCACAAGTGAGGTCACCATTTCGCAATGTAGATAAATATAACATTATTATGCTAGTGATAGTGAACTATGCGGCCTGCCTTTCTTATTTGTAGTTAGTAAGTGGTGGGCAGCATACCGGTATGAATGTGAGTATCAGTATGACGTTCTCTAATGATATGAATTTTGCTGTACCTTGGATACTGTGATAAGCCCAAACACAGTCAACCACAAAAAGTGCTGCCCACCAAACAAACTAAACATGAGCATTAACAGCTTAAATAATGCTTATAAACTCAAAGAGAAAGAAGCTACTAGAGTGTGTGGTAGTATTTACTCAAAAATACTTTTTAGTTGCTGCAATAATACTACTAAGAATAATACTAATAATAATAGTACTAGAAATAACAGTGGTAGTATTAGTAATGGCAATAATTATTTTTGCAGTTGACAAATAACTGCCAGTTAATTGTGGTTGTGATGTCACAGCACATGAGTGTTTGGTTGGTTCTGATTGGTTCACAGGTTGTTTACAAGCTCTGTTATTAGAACAAATTTCCTAAATTTAAAATTTAGGGTTGATAATTTAGGCCATAATTTCAGCCCTAATCTTTCATATTTCTAAAATAAGAAAGGCAGGATGTGTTGCTGAAATTGCATAATCTTGCAAAACTTCTAAACCAAAAGATATTCACTTGTTTTATGGGTCTATCCCCCAACCCCCAAGTCAGTGGACATTGGCCCTACATTACTGACCTAGATCCTCACAGTCAACTAGGTCAGGGAAGGATCTTAGCCTATACACACCTTCAATCTGAGGGCTCAGCCACAAGCACAACTGTCTCAGCAAACAAATATCTATTCATGGTTTATATACTATACTCATTTATATCTAAAAAAAGATGTAAAGTAGAATCTCCTGGTGCAAAATAGTGATCCTATAAAACAATGCAACTTATCATCGACAGTCATTCCAAAAAAGGCAAATCACCACCAAAAGAGCCCAGGAGGAAAACTGCCAAAACAATTTTTAATTTCAATAAACTGTTTCAAACGCTTTGTTGACACTCTGTTGAAATCATTAGACTGTTAATATTCACACAGAAAATTAGATTCAGAAACAAAAAGTAGGCTCTAGACCAACAATCGGTTTAAGAAATGAATGTAAACCCTTCAGAACAGTCTGAAGTGTGCAGCCAAGGGGCATATTACAACCAGGGGTGAATATCTGACAATTCAACATGATTACAATTATTTAAGAAACAAATGCACCATAAAGTTTCAAATTTCAGAATAACTCCAAGTCACTTTTTAAAAGTGCGCTACATACACAAATGTGACTGGAGGAGCTTTTTACATAGAAGTGAAATACAATGAAAACAAAACCCAAAGCTTTTTTTTCTAATATAATCGATTTGTCAATATATTTATTGTAAACTACTCTTACATTTCAAAATGTACACAGGTAAACATCTCAGAAACCACCAATTATCTACACACAGTGTTGTGATGAAGTGGGGAGCCTGAGCTGAACTGAATCAGTCTGTTCAGTTCACTACTGAATGACTTTTCACAGTTCATAAAACAAAACAAGCAATGTGTGTTTTTGTGAGATTTCCACATCAAAGCAAACGAAGAAAAAAGTACTTGTGATTATACCACAGAGAGATTCTTCTTCAAATAAAAAAAAAGTGTGCGTCATTGTTGAGAACAATGTAAACCTTCAGTACCAGCCTGAAGCCCCCTGCGGTTCACATCTGGGAAAGCAGGGAATGTGCTTGAATTAAAGCAGAGAAAAGGTGAGGATTTCTAGTAATCCAGACAGCACAAACAGAACTGTGCAAAAGTCAGATAACACCCTCCATTTTTAAAAAATAAACATTAAACCTTAACAACTAAATTAATATAAACAGTCTTCGGTATTTAGTGTGTCCACATTTTGCCTTTATTATAGCTCCCAGTCTTTTAATAGAGGGATATTTGTGTACACACTTCCAAGATTCAATCTTAGAAGTCGGTTGCATTTTCTGCTTCTCACAATCCAAATTATATCAAACACACGCAGTGATGCTAAGGTCTGGACTCTAGGGTTTTATTGGCCATTTCCTTTTCTCAGTAACAACTTCTTGACAGCTACACATCCTTTCAGACCCACTGCACTGACTTATCTTCTCACAGTGGAAGGATGGACTGAAACACCTGTGGATTTTTTCAGATCTGAAGCAAGAGTGGAGCTTGATTATCTCCTCTTTCTCAGAGGTACTCTCAAACAGTACTTAATGCTTATCTGAAGGTGACAGTTTTGGTGGTCCACCAGGTCTTGCACGGCTATCAGGAGTCCAATCTTTTAATCATTTATTGAACTCTAGCTTTAAATACTGTTTAAATACCCCCCCCCTTACTAAAAGTCTGGCAATACTGTTTACAGAGCGTCTGCGATTCCTTAAAAATGTGTGTGTCAAATGGCATGCCCTAATAATATGTATTAAACTAAATTTATATCATCAGATTTTTGGATATGTATGGGTGTCATTTGATTTTTTTGTGATCGATCAAATGTACACTAAATTAAACATTTAATAATACAGGGTCACTTGTACAAAGCAGTGGCATGAATTAGACTAAAGTCACCTGCTACTGAGCTAGTCTACACAGAGACACATCAATAAGGGCTAGAGTTCATTTGAAGATTGTTTTATATCCGCTGTATCATTGCAAATTTAGACTTAATTTGAAATGGCATTTAAGTATTAGGAATAAATGCTCATACATGGTCCAAAAGCTGAAATCAGCATATCATCTGAACAGTCTTAAACTTAACTAGAGATACTGATTTTCTACTTCGAAGAAACAACTCTATCAATTCACTGAACTTTATCATAGATGTTGAGATAAAAACGTTCACTAGATATGAACAAAGCAGATTAAACAATCACAATAAATTATGGTCACAGGTTAGGATCTGAAAAAGCAAGAGTGACACTGCATTACTCAACGTCCCTTACAGCTGTACTTAGTTCAGTCTGGTAAATGAACTGGCTGACATCGCTTTGCTGTAACACACACTGCCATTTACTGATAACTGTCATTGTCTAAACACAGTTTGTATTCCTGGCCAGCACATTTAAAGAGCCCCTACGATGGAAAACCACATTGTCCTTGCTTTTTGGAAATAAAGGAATTTGATGTAGTATGAAAACATTCATTCCCCAGTCCATACAGTTCATACAGAAGTCGAATCTAAAAGAGTGTTCGAAAGAAATTTAAAATACTTCAATGAACAGGCCTTCTTTCAAGATTTATAACAGAGTGACAAAGAAAGCAGAAACCAGATTTGGCTTAACTTATCTTAGGTCCCTATTCCATTTAACTGCTAACAAACATGCTCCCTATAAATACTATCAAGTCGAAGCCAAGACAAACCTCGGTTCTCTACAGCTATCTGAAAGGAAAGTAATGTTGCTTGGTCTAAAGCTTGTGCTTCCAAATTAACCTCAGACTGGATCAGGCTCAGGTAGATTAGGAATAGGTGCTACTACATGGTCAAGCCTACTATTTGGACAGTCTTAAAAACAGTGCATCATCACCTACTAAATTCTGGAAACGTGGTAAAATCTTTAAATGGCTCTGGTTCTTCCCCTTTTCCTAAAATTTTAAAAAGATACAAAACTCAAGCTACGACACTTAATAGCCATTCTGCTGTAACAGGTCACCTTTTTGATAACTGGGCAAAGTACTAAAAAAGGCTCCTTTTGAGATGGACAGAACCCCTCAGCCTCAGACCAGCATTATCATGCCTAATATATTCTCACTTCAGCATTTTAATTCTTTGGCTGTCTTAAAAAAACCTTGACTCATATTGATACCAGAGTCCGTTTGTGCAGTTGGTTTAGACGCCTGTCTTTTGCGGATGGCTGTGACTGTTTTAGCTAAACCTTTGACACACTGTTTTAACATAATCTTACACTTAGGACAAATCCCTGAAGTTTGGGAAACTCCATAAGGATGGGTACACTAGTGATTTAAAAATTCTACCAATTTCAAAGCTTTCATGCTTAGCTAAAATTTTACAATCACTTATAAATGACCAACTAAGCTCCTTTGTATCTCTCAACTGTGTGTTAAAACTGGGGAAGCCATAACACAGTTTTTTTCAGGCCAAGTAGAAGTATACGTTTTTTAAGTACTCGCCTATACTGAGTCTGATACCATACTGAGTAACCTACTTAGAATAAAGCAGTTACTAATGTAAGTGTAATGTACTGTAACAGTTAAGTCATTAACATCTAGCTGATTTTAAATGACAAGAATTAGCTAGCTAGGCTACATTTACCTTGGAGTGAGTAGCGCTGCAGTGGAGAAGAGAGTTTTATTCCTCGTCAGAAAATCACTTTTGTACAGCTTCAAGTGAAGCATGTTTCATAGGAATGAAACCCGATCTGTCTCTTTAAACAACCATCTCTGTAGCACAGTGACAGCATCCAATCACATCCAAGCCTAATCCGAGGAGCTCACTTGTGGAGTTATGTCTGAAATATTTTGCTTGGCTAGTTAAGCTGTAGCTAAATGCCCATCTAAAGCCAGACATACACTGTGATTTGAGAGATCTTGTTCTTTAACTCATACTGTATGTTTGAATAGACCGTCATATACAGACAAAGCCTACGATTTATATACTCACACTGTATGAAAATGCTCAGTCAATTCTACATGAAACGCAGCCCTTACAGACAGCTTTGTCTATGAACAACTTCAAATAGAGCTGTTTTCAGAGTACTGAGCATAAAGAAACTGAGCAGCGCTGCTAACACCGGGCACTGAAGCTAAAGCAGACAGTAATTCACACAGTAGGGCAATACAGTCTCCCTAAAACCTGTTCAAAAATCACTGTATTAACATTTATACCACACTATTCAGTCAAACAGAGTAAAGTCGGCATAAACAGACTTTGGTAGGAGATATTGCCTTTTTCCACTTCTGTTCAGCTGTTCAGCTTCATGTCTCCATCCGTACTGGGGAAACGGCTGCGACTGTGTGTTTAAAACAGTCTAAAATCACACAGTGACCTGGTGGGTATCCGCTAAGGCAGAATGTATAAGGGGACTGATGGCTTTGTGTCTGACTGAGACAGAGTTATTAACACTTCTCTGTGTGAGCAGTGCCTCCTTCTCTGTGTTTGTTCATTAGCGCAGCAGTGTACACTCGGTTTACGTCACCGCTGTTATCAGAATGTTTGTAAGTATGATTAAATGAGCACAGTATTGGCCCGTTACTCGATACCAGTATCGGTACTGATGCATCCCTAGATGAAACCATATCAGCCTGGTCCGCAGTTTCACTAGTTATGAATGACATTCTGTCTTCTTTGGACTGTAGACTTAGCTCTGCTGCTTTATTTATTGATCTTTCTAAAGCACTTGATACTGCAGATCATTAATTGCATTGAAGAAACTGCCCAGTATCAATCTGGAAGAAAAAAGCATATAAATAGTTTCATAGTCTTTCGAATAGAACTCAGTGTGTTGCTGTGGATGATTTCAGGTCTCAGTTTTTAGAAATTACTAAAAGAGTACCACAGGCTTCTATTTTAGGTTTCTTTATTATTTATACATAAACAATATTGGAAACCATTTAGTAAGACAACATCTATATGCTGATGGCACAGTTCTATTAATGCTTCCTCTGTAAACGTAGCTGTAATAAGTCTACAAAGAGCTTTCAACACCAGTCAACATTCCCTATGGGAAACTGAATGTGTTTCAGAACAAAAATACCTTGGAATACAGCTGGATAATAAATGGTAATTCAGTCAACATGTTCAAGAGATAATCAAGCTAAGCCAAGCTTAATTATTTGTATAGAAACAGATCATGTTTTTATTTGAGAATATACAAAAGATGGTTCAGGCTGTTTTAAGACCTGATTTATTAGTTTAATTAGATTAAAAACTGGAGACAGGCGTTAAACCAGAATTGGGGAAAAGCTGTTGTTTTTAAACACACCTTCCCATTAAATACTTTTAAAGGTATAACTGATTTAATGTTTTCAGATAATTGTGAATGTTAGAAATGTATACTATTTGTCTCTCTCTTACATACGCATATATTTACAATACTTTTAATTGATAAACTAATTATTTTTTATTAACTGCCTTAATCATTTCAACTACTTCATCTTTTATTTATCATTATTTTTTTTCTCCACCTTCTTTCTATTTTATGTAATTCTGATTTTGTATTAGCGCACCCTGCAAATGAGGTCTTTATAATTTTATAAAATATTCAATTTCTTGTTCAAGTAAGAGATTTTGCCTGAATGCATGTTATGTAATATTCCTACTAACAGTACTACTATTAAGTAACAGAACTTAAAAAAGGTTAAAAAACATTCATTGTTTTGTGTAATAAAGTCTTTTTTTCCTCTAAAATTGAGTTCATTGAGCTCATTTTCTCTTAGCCATCATAGGCATTAAGTTGGATCCCTGTTAGTGGAGGAAATGTTCATCTTGAGAAAAGAGAGAGAGAATTAAAGTTAACTTAAAGTGGAACCGATTTTTCTAAATGTCTGCATAACTCGGTGGTTGATATGTAAACAAAAAATCATTCAGTGGTTTAATGTGAAATTGAGAAACTGACCGGCTCAGATTTCTTTACAGCGGTGGTCATAAAAACCCGGGGTCATGATGTCCACAACACAATTATAGCCGTTGGATTTACCATCCAAAACCACCAGTGAACCTACACGCCTTCTGAGCTTTATATGTAATGTTGATGGTAAAACAGTGATAAATCTAAAAAAAAAAATAATTCTCTTTGGGGACTATTTTGTCTCACAATATCCTCCATCTATCTCTCTGGATTTATTAAAATAAAAAAACAGCCTAAAATCTTAACTAACATCTTAAAACAATGTCTAATTCATATTGTAATGTATTTGTAAGCGATTTGTGCACAGACTTTCTGTGAGGGAGCCTTTACCCTGCTGTTTTCTTCAAATGTACTAATATCTTTATACTTGGGAACAATTTGAAAATGATAATAATTAACACTATTACCCAAGTCTGTGTGTCAGGTATCAATGTGTCAGTCATTTATTTAGAGACAGTAAACAATTAATTGGGTCAAACTGACCCCAAAGATAGTGGGGTATAGAGGGGGTATAGAGATGGACGTCTGTTTCCTGTCGTCACCACCACTGTTGACAATTTTGATTTGGTAATTTTCTGAGCATTTAATATCGAACCACTTCGAATGACTTGTTCACCATGCATTTGTGCAAAAATCAGTGGGGTTCCCTTTAATGGGTTAAGTTTACCAAATATCCAGAACCCTCTGAGCCAGTTGTAGGTATGTATTAGTTATCGAGCTGTTAACTGCAGCTCACAGGTCTGGTGCACCCCTGTGTTACACCATCTAACGTAGGTTAGCTACTTAGACATGTTTCGTTTGGCGCTAACCACATTAAAAATGCACGTTAAAATTTACAGAAAAATAATGATAGACATTTACGTTTATACTTTCCTTGTGACAGCAAGCTAGAGTATCTACACAGCTCAAACTGCGGCCTATTTAACAACACTTAACCTTAATGTTGTAACACTATAAATAGCTCGTTAGCTAAACAGCTAAGTTATAACGTTGCACAAAGCTGAAGTCAGCTTCTCACTCGAATTTTCCCAGAATTAATCGATGAACCATTTAAGGTGGAACGGGAAAATTCGCACAAGCAGCTGGAGAATGAGAGGCTGACTTCAGCTTCGTGTTACACACACCACCGGGCTGTAACCTTGCTGAGCTAAACCAGACAGCTCAGCCAACAAATCCGAACCACAACACCGCCAACTTAACCTAGCTAAATGCGAGCTGGTATCATCGGCGAGACGGTAACATTAATTAGCTAATGGGTTCACAGTAGCTGTAAGGTCGTTAGCACGACAGCTAGGTTTAGCTTAGCTAGGTTAGCAGAGCTAGCTAACTGTCGCCGTCGCTAACCAACCGAACAGCAAATCGGCTCAGGACCTACCTGTTGTTCCTTGAGCTCCCCTGCCTTCCTTTTCCTGCTAACTGTTTTTCTCGCCATAATCCGAGACACAGAGGTCCCTCACCCACATGGAGGGCAGTAACGCTAGCAGTGTCGCTGGGAAGTGGATCATATAATGGCGCTGCGCTGGGTGGGTTTAGCCGGCTAATCTGAAGCTAAGTTAGCGCTCGGTCAGTCGGATGGAGCGGGTGCTTGTCGGCGAGAACTGAAGCCTCCCCTCGTCAGATAAGCCGCTCTGGTGGCCTGGAGAAACTGTTTGTGTGGAGGAGCAGGCGGCTGTAGTACTCCTCCCCTCCCTGTGTGGTCGGGCTGCTGGTGTTTTTCACCTTCCTCCTCTATCCGTGCCCCTCTTTTCTCGGGCGAACGCGTCATCAACGGCGAGCGCAGCCGCACTCAACTCAAACAACAACAACAACGACGAAAACTAGTGATGCGGAGCCGATTCCAAAAGAATCGATTCTTCGACTCCAACAATAACTGCCTTTTACAAACAGTTTTATAATCCTTCCATGACCAGTTTCACCCCGTGATACTTATGAGCTGTTTGTATTGATGCGGTTCACCATTTACATTCAGCAAATCAGTTATGGAAACCAACCATACCGGTCTTTTTAAAATACAGACTCATTTTTATGTAAAATGAGCTGATTATTCCATAGAATTAAAGTATAAAGGGGAATAAAGGGTAAATTCTTGTTTAAAGGTAATTTTCCGTGCTTCTAGTGGCCGCTTGTAGACGTTTGCTAACCTTACAGAAAGTTTATTATGCTTAAAAACACATGCAAATAAAAAAAAAATCAACCCCCCCAGATTTTTTCAAGAATTAAATCGGATATATAAAACCAAAACGAACTGGTATCACCCAAACAATGTTTAATTTAATTATCCTAAAAAATGTGATTAACAATGTGGAAATCCATGTTTAAACCCCCGTCTGTATAAGGTCTAATAAACTTAAATATCATTAAGTCTACAGCTGTACAAGTTTTGCCGTCAACATACAGGGACAAAGCGGGATATATCACTCTAGAAATACCCTCCGCCTTTAATAAGCCGCGCTCAACACAAACAGCAACGAAGAACTAGTGATGGGGGCCGATTCCAAAAGAATCGATTCTCCGACTCCAACACGTCTGGGAGATGGGGTCGACTCTTGGCCAATGACTCTACGAGTCGAAATACTCGGAGTCGACTCTTCGACTCTGTGTTTTATTGTAATTGGCTCCTGGGATATTTTGACGGAGGAGTGTGTAATGAAGGAAAGAGTCTGAGTTTGAGTAGTGTGAGTTTGTTTAAACACCAGTTTTAAACTCCGCCAGCACCGCTGTAAGCACAAACTCTGCTCACAAAAAACATTCCCAAACTCTTCATTTTATTCGTGCTGAAGGTTTCAATAAACAATGACCTCATACGGTACACGGAACGAAAACGAAAACCAAAAATGAATAATATTTTTTCACTGAACGTTGTGGAAAAGAGGATCAAAGTTCCGATCCACCTTAAATGGCGCTGAGGTTACGTCCTGGCGCGGGCGCACCATTAATGTAACTGCTGCAACCCTTAAGGTGGACCAGAAAAGTCGACTAAGAAGAAAACTTCAGCCTCGTGAAAAGAGGAACAAGATAATGTGGAAACATTTTAGATAATATGAAAAATTCTTTAGGCTAATTAGAAGTTAATATAATTATAATCCTGTTATATTACATATATAATATAATCATATACTGCACGGCTCTCTATGTGCATGTGCAGCCTTCTCCCTGTGTGTGTGTGTGTGTGTGTGTCTGTAGGTGACCCTGAGTATGTTGCAAACTGCAGTGGTGTGTGCCAAGTAGGCCTCATCTAGGAGGGGGACAGAGAAGAACCTGTTTGTTCCAAATAAGTATTAAAATGTCTTTATATGAGAAAAGCACGTCCTTAGAGAGACTCAATTGTAACCATATTGAATTAAAGTAATACATGAAGTAAATAAGGTTTAAAGGCCTAGGCTGACTGTGACCTTGGCCTGTGCTTATTTTTTTAAAATATGTTACTTCTTGGATTAGAAATAAAGATAGAATTCTTGATAAGAAAATATGATGATGTTAATGATGACGATAATAATGATGTATAATGACGTGAAAGATAATGAAAGAAACAATGTAAGGTTTGGAAATAATAGTGTAAAAATCTAAATATATATAAAATATTTGGGAGAGTCAGGCGATGACCCCTCTTTGTCCAGTAAAGAGAATAAATCATTAGGTTTTGTGGGTTGGTCTGTTGTTGCCTGGGCCAACTCAGATTAACGCCTTAATCTTAATAGAAGAAATTGTGCCTTTTCCTGCCTATCCTGGTGTTTTGAGTTGTATTTTAATTTTAAATTTTTGAGCTGCCTATTTTGCCACAACAATAACATTCAACTCCAAGTTTCCCCATCAACCCTTATTATGTGATATAAGCTTCATTTTCATCATATCCCTACAATCTGTAGCTACTCAAAATGTTTAGGATGGTTTAATCTCTGCTGTTATCTCTTTAGTACCAGCTCTGGCCTGTGGAGCGGATTAGTTGACTTGATCCATTCCAGTGGCAGGAGTCAAGAGTTGGAGTCGACTGTAGAAAACCCGGGATCATGCATCACTATGAAAAACTCCACAGTAAGGGGAAGTTCGATTCACTTCACCCAACTGATTCTTTTGGGACTGAACATTGATTCAGTTTAGCGAACCAACACTTTAGTCCAAATAGGACTGAGGCTATTTATACATACATGCACTCACACATAACTGGACTACTGCACAACCCCTATACTCCTTACATACACAACACACACTATACATATAAATACATATACATAAAAGTATTTATAATATTTATTGACCCATTTCAGCTCTGCTCTTGCTCATTTCCACACATATGCACACATCTGCACTTTACATTACACATATCCTTATGTTTTATTGTATCTCTACATTTTTAGATTTATGTATTATTATAAATATAAATATAAATATAAATAAAAAATATATATTTTATTTATATTCTTGTATTGTATTTTCTGTTTTTCATGGCAATGGACAGTCATATAAGCATTTCACTGCACGTTATACTGTCTATGGCTGTGTGTGACCAATTAAGCATGATCTGATTTGATTTAAAACAGTGCACTATGCAGTGTGTCAGCCATGCCGCTGTGTTGTTAGATTTACCATAGAAAACACTGCACAGTGAGTAGTGAATGAGTTCAAAAGTGTGCCATTCCGAACACAGAGAGATTCTTTTGAATCGGCATTCGATTCAGTTTACAGATTTGTTTTTGTTTTTTTTTTTCAAATTGCATTTCAGTAATGTTGTTAATAAAGGCTGCTTAAATAATTTGCATAGCAGAAGAAAGATATAAAGTAGAAATTTCATGTTTCTTAGCATACGTGTCAGCCCACGCTACAAATTCAGGAACTGCTTGAACTGTATTTCTGGCAGCATTAACACAAAGATATTAATTAAACACAGAGAAACATCTCATTTGACTTGTGCATTCGTCGACCCCAAAGGGTTAAAGAGCATAAGCTTGATTTTATGTTTCTAACGGAAACATGGTTAAATGAAAATGGCACAGCAACTGCACTTGAAGCTGCTCCTGAAAATTGCAGATGTATGAATATAGTAAGACAGAGCAGAGGAGGAGAGGCTTGTATTTATAATGGTGACTTAACTGCAAAAATACCACCGTTGATGAATTTAACTCTTTTGAGTATGTTGCAATCAACTTTAGCGACACTAATTAATGTTATTAATTGCAATATACAAATAGATACAATTGCAATACAATAGACTTCTACAGGGAGATTCACTCGAAAGAGGCCCCGAATATTCTGTTGTAACTCCCATTAGGATGAAGCAATCTGAACCAAAAAAATATACTACATACCTTGACGTATGTGTAATCGATTGTATTATATGCAATGCTGGAAGTGATTTCTGTTTTCTGCCAGACACATGAAGGAGTGCGGGGGTATGCACCTGGAAGTTGCAAACGGAGGTTAAACGTCCTGACGGCTGTCCGGGGCCTACCACATCGCTCTGACGCAGGGGCATCCTGGCTTGTTCGAAGCTCCATATACTGAGGAACACATTGCAAGTTGCTTTGTTCAGATTACTTCATCCTAGAGAGAGCTATTACAGAATATCCGGGGTCTCTTTCAAGTGAATCTCCCTGTAGTTCTAGAGACATTTGATTTGACGCAGCACGTGGGCAGCTCTACCCACAAGCCAGGTCACATCCTAGATCTGGCAATTACTAAAGGTTTGAACACTACCGTGTCCCTCATCTCTGATGTTTTCATATAAGATGATTTCGGTATTTTCTTTCAAGTCAAAGAAGTAAGGAAGAAAGTGCCTGAAAATAATTTTTAAAAATGTTACACTGACTCAGAAACACTTAAGATGTTAAAGAATGTTTACAATAGTGCAGCAAATACAGCTCTGACTCCTTCATGTAATGATCTGGTCTCTGATCTAAATGCTGCATTAAAGGAAACTCTTGACATTCTCACATCAGACAAATGGAAGAAAAACCTGTGTACTCATAAAAATGCGTGGATGAATGATATTGTCAAAGAGCAGATCTCCACCTACAATAATGCTATGAATAAATCCAGACAGTCATACTTCGGTAGTGTAATTAGTAAAGATAAAGATTATACCGAAGTCCTTTTTTCCACCACAGACTAATTAACCCTCTGCTAGTGTGTCTCATGGTAAATTCTTCTAAAATTTGAATTTCTCCTAAATAAGAATTTATTTTCAAAATAAAATAGACTTGATAAAACAGGGTGTAGTTCAGCCGACTGAAACAACCTTCTTTATAAGCCACCTAAATCAGTGATGACATCTTTCTCTGTTATCTAGTATCAGGAGCTTACAACTGTTATAAACACATTAAGTTGGTCCACATGTGACCTTGACCCTGTTCTTACTTCACTCAAGAGTTTTTGATTGTGCTCAAAATGAAGTTTTAACTATTGTTAACTGTTCTCTGTCAACAGATTTTTTTCCAGATGCTTTTTAAAACTGTTCTAGTGAAGCCTCTACTAAAAAAGTAGCATGGATCCTTCCATACTCAGTAAACTTAGACCAATTTCTAACCTTCCTTTTGTGAGCAAAGTCTTAGAAACAAGTTATATGAAAAGGTTTAATCAGGATTTCATTCTAACCATAGTACTGAGAAAGCACTGGTTCGCGTTATCAGTGACCTCAAGCTCAGCGCTGATGCACAAAATCCTTCTATTTTAGAGAAGCTTGGCTCTTTTGCTTCGTATACCAAACCTGAAAGACGAAACCTGGGCGTAACCTTAGGCTCTGCATGCTGTTTTATCCCGTACGTCACTAAAATCACTGAAGTAGCTTTTCAGCAACAAAAACAAAAGAAAGAGCTCATATCACTCTCGATCTGCAGTGGATATCTGTATCGTTCAGGGTAGAATTCTGTTAGTAGTTTTTCAGGGCTATAAATCTATATATGACCTTTGAGACTTTTAAGAAACATTTGAAAATGTACCTCTTTAACTTAGCATTTCATTTAAATTCTATAACAACTCTTCACTATTTATCTTTTTAATTTGATCCGTCATTGTCTAGTATGATTTTAATTAATACTCATACTAATTTCTATTACTGTAAAGTTTTATCATCTGTCTGTAAAGCACTTTGTGCTGCCACTGCTATGAAAAAAGCTCTATACATAAAGATGTTCTTAGTGTTACTATACTAGTTACTGAGAAGGTGGATAAAAATAACAGGCCTCATTTACCAATCAGTCTTAAGAACAAATTTCTTCTTAAAACCCACTTTTTTTCGAAGACTCTGATAGTCACTAATGTTTTCTTATTTGTGATTTGTTGTTGGGAAACAACAGAATCTACACACACTCAAGAGCACAAATGTGCAAACAGTTCTGCAGTTTTAAAGCACATCTTGAATCTGACAGACTTTTTCTTAGGACCTTCCTCAAGAACAGATTAAATGAAAAAAATTAGGAGGATATTGAATGAGGCCCATCGTTTTTATTTGATTGCTGAGGACACAGCCTTCCCTCCACAGATAGATGGTGGGCTGTTCCAACTGGCATGCTTGCATTCTGCATATTGTTACACTGAATGCGTTTACATGTACTCATAATCAGATCACAATCAGATTTCTGCAGTTATCTGATTATTCAGATGGTCATGTGAAACCAGCATACTCCGATTTCTTAGATCGGAGTAAAGTCTAGAATATGATTAAGAAATCTGATAAAGAGAGCTGGATTTTAGCTCAGTAATCAGACTTCTCAGTGCATGTTAACTCTTACTCTGATTTCTTTCAGATTTCTCAGTCTGATCATGTGCGAAAATAGACAGCAGAACCAGAAATGAGCAAGCAGCGTTGTCGAGAGGTGGCAGAAAAACACTTTTGGAGCGACGCGGACACCAACTGCATGCTTGAAGAAATAAAGGATTTAATATTCTTCATCTTCTAGATGATGTATGTTCATATTTTCAGTTAAAGTGGGGAGTTTTTATTTTTAAAGCCGCAGGACAAAGTTTGAGTTACGTTTATGTCTTCTTCTGTGAGCTTATTGGGTGGCTGCAAAGCAGAAATCCAATTATTGCCTGACTCGTGTTTTCCCATTATCAGATTACTTATGTGCATGTAAATGAGTTGACCGGATATTGACAAAATCTGATTTTCTGCAGTTATCAGATTATTGAGTGCATGTTGACGCATTCACTAGCTACTGCACTCTAATCAGAAAACAGCGTGGCCATAGTTTAATTTTTTCAAAATTTCTACATAATTAAATTGTTGAGATGTAAACAAAGTCGTTCAGAGTGGTTTGATTTGAAATGGTTCATTGTACAAATTCAGAATGTTTTACAGTGGTGGTGATAGAAACCACAGGTCATAATGTAGCCATTTTTTTTTGCTATCCAAAACGATCAGTCTACCTACATTTAACATTAATTAACTAAAATAGTAAAATGTTTTTTGTAGGGTATTACCTGGCCCTGTATGTACATGAGTGTATTTTAGAAACAAAAATGCAAAACTGCCATAAAGCAATGTCTCAGACATCAGACTGCTTTCATAATTACTCATTAATTTTCTGTGAGGTAGCTTTTAGTTGCATTAAAAGCTTTGGATGTCTGGTTCCTATCACCACCACTGTGAACAATTCTGACTCTGCAAGTTTCTCTAGGGCGGAGCATTTCACATCAAGTTTGACATGAACCCCTAAACCCATAGTTAGCAAGCAGAAGCTGTTATTCTCTTTTCACCATGGTGGTCATCCAGAAAAGTGGTAAAATTTTTTCGTCTTTATTGCTTTCGTTACAAGTCTGTCCACAAAAAAGGACAGAAGATGTACTTCCGGCAACTGTAAGTCGCTGCAGATTTGCAGATATATTTCAGACAACGGTCATAAACACCCCAACATATTTCTACTTATGACCAACAACTATGACAGTCTTGATCTTTAAAAAGATGAAGTTTAATCATACTGAACTGCCAGGTGATTTAGGAGGAGACTGAACATTTAAAGTCACATTTCCAGATTGACACACCTCCTAAAGGTGCTTGTTGCCCGGTCCCTGGTAAAGGACGTCCAAAGGGAAACATCAACGATGAAAGAAAAGTTTAAGCTTTGCTCTGTCCAAAAGAAACAATCTCCTGTCAGGAACTGTACTGGCGATTTTTATGCGTTTTCACTACCACATTAGGATGTGGTCACCTCCAACACCTTTCTTATCTCGCTAATCTAACTCTTTTTGTCTCTAGTTTTTTGTACCTCACCACCTACAATGGTTTGAAATGCCAATGGTAAATTACAAAAGCAGTAGAGGAATTACCCTGTTAACACCTTGTAACACCTGTCTAGAAATCTAAGGAACAGGAAGTACCAGCGCATTAAAACTGAAACATGAAACGTGATGATGTCATCTCAAACATAAAACCCGAAACTGAAGTTGTCTGCGAACCTAAAACCTATGACTGTCAGGAGAAACTGATCTGGGCTGGGTTTTCCAAAAGCATCTTAGTACAAATTTGATTCTTAAATGGTCCAGCAAGCATCACTCTGAACACTCTCTCACTCCAGTTAAGATGACCTTTACACTTACATGCTTTTAGGGAAACTGGACTCTGGACACCTGCGAATGTTTAGTTTCCCAAAAGCATATTAATGTTGAGGTCAGCTTAACTGGAGTGAGATAGTGTTCAGTGCGATGCTGGCTCTCTCACTCCAGTTTAGATAACCTTAACACTAACACTACCTTTTGGGAAACTGGACTCTGGAACACCTGCAATCGTTTAGTGAAGCACCATTTAATATAACAGGCCAGCAGTCCCACCTCAAAGAAGGAAACCATCCATTTGCTGTCAGTCAGCAACTCATTTAACTCATCATGTCACGTCTTTGTGATTAATATGAACTTCACAGTGATGAAAAGTGCTTAATGCCGTTTCAGCTGTACCAAAGTTTGCTTGTAGAGTTTTTCCAGTAAGCTTTTAAGCCAATATTACATCAGATAACTGCCTCTTTTTTACTGAAGGAGTAGAATTGTGTGCAGATGCCCACTTTCTTTCACTCCATTTAAGATAACATAGCCCCATTTAAAATAAAAATAAAACCACATGAAAGTGTCTGGCTGCTTAACTATGAGGGATTAAAATATAAGCCTCAAACAAAAAGTCCCAAAATGGCATAACAAGTATTGGCCCAGCTCAACAGCCACTATGAATGCATGGCACATCGACACAGCTTTTGCTGCCCAGAGGTCAACAGTCCAAATTATTGAGCCATAAGAAAAGTGATTAGCGTGTTACACAATTGAAGCACAAAATACATACGAATAAGCTACCGGAGTGAAACTGGTTACAGTAGTTTTGCAGTCATTTCAGCTTAGTCATCAACATTCTTAACACACCCCAGTCAAGAAATGCAAGCATGGATGCATATAGTGATCAGCTTCTAATGGGACTCTAATTACCCACCAAGCACATGGCAAGACTTTACAGCCCCAACCCTTGATCTGTCTACCGCAAAATCGCGAGACGTTTTCTTGAATTAACCATGTTGACATGAATTTCCATATACTTGTAACATCCACTGGCTAATGGTAAAGATTTTCTAAATCTTTATTATAGATTGAAAGTGTCAGTGTATCCTTGAACAAATTTAAATAAGTTTATATTAATATCTGTGATTCGGTGTGTCTGTGCAGTATCCAGACTTGCATGACATTTGGAGGAAAATGCTTGGAGAAAAATGACGTTTTAAATATTGCATTTCCAGAAACACTTCGGCTCTTTCCTTTCAACTTAAATGTGCTGTCCATTCCAGTGCAAAAGCCATCTAGGCATCTTTTTCTTATTTGTTGTCCCCAACATACACTGCGGTAATTAGTCCGGTTAATCAAGTTCCTATACCAGAGGGCAAAGAAACAGAATCTCGAAAAAAGGACAAAAATAAAACAAAATGATTTCGTCTGTTAAACAGCTCAACAAATGAACATATGCACAAACAACAACAAAAAAAAACAGCAGAGACAGATCAGAGAAAAAGAAAGCCAGTCAGTAGCAGGAACAGAGAGGGCACTTCTTTGAGTTCTCTGTTCAGACGTGGTGTGCATGAGTGTATGTATGTATTAAGTTCCCATCAGTTCTGAAAGCCTGCGTTCAGCAGCGAGAGATGGCAGCGTTGTAGCTGGGAGTGAGTCCATGTCCTTTGGAACTGAGCTCCCACTGGAATCCTCTCAATTCCATCTCTTCAGCACCACCCCAATGTTCGCCAGTTACGCCTGCGCGGTGATGGAGAAACAAGCCAATGCTGCTCCACTGACGAGGGCTCAGTCTCCTCCCACCCACAACCACTCTAAGATCACTTAACAGGGTTATAGCTGAGGCGGGATGAAGGTGACGCTGCATGGTCCAATTCAAACCCTACCTCAAAGGGCTTATGTTTTTTAAGGGGTACATATTTACTTATCCTGTCTGAGGCACCCTCAGCCTACACCCCTACCTCCGTTTCCTTCACATGCTCTCACCCACAAGCACTCTCTCACTCTCATTCTCTCTGTGGTCGCAGTGTTGAGGGGCAAGGAAGGGGTGACTCTAGGAGGAGACACTGCTCTGGTTCAGCTTGCAGCAGCACGAGCCATCAAGTCCTCCAGAGCTTTGTCCTGATCATTATTATGCACTAACAGAACCTCTTTAATGGCATCTCTTTCAAAGCCCATCTCACCAAACTGGGACATCAGCTGCAGAAACTGCAGAGCCTGAAAGAGGAGAGAAATAAACATATTAAATAGTGATTATGGTACTTTTCACCTAAATGTGATATTTCTGCAATACCATTTAAGCTTGAGCTGACTGATGCTTGGGCCATCAATTGCCCATAGTTTCATCTATTCTGCTTGTCAATTGAGTCGGATGATTTAAATATCTGAAAACACCTCATCTATGGCTTTAAGACACATAAAAGTAATTATATTTTTCTCGCAATCTGTTTTCTTTTAACAAATGAAACATTAGTACATGTCCCGAATCAGCCCGGATATGTTGTCTGTTTTTATTACATTCTGTTCCATCTCAAGATGGATCTATTTACCCCCAAAGTCATACTTCTTAAACTGATAAAGCTGTGCAGAAGCCTTCCATGCATAAAGTGGCTTTCCTCACGAGACATGAACTTAATAGGAGCTTAAAGGATTTTCATGTTGTGATAACAAAAACGACAACACGTAGCAATTCTAACAGCAGCCTTTAGGCTACTTTCCATGTTAAGGCTTGGAAGGCATGTTCTATTGTTTCAACAAGAAGTGATTCATAGGCTGTAAACATAGCTGTTAATAAACCTATAGTAAAACCTACCAAACCAGTATCCCACCACACCAAGAACAACACAATATCAAAGGCCTAAAGTTGTGCTGTTGTATCAATTACACTTTACATATAGAAAGTAAACTTAAAAAAGTATTTGCAAATATATACAAAATATATTGAAATATCCATCTACACTGAGAACCAGAGAGAGCTGTTCTATAATAAAACATTCATGTTACAGTCTTCCAGCAGACAAACCTTTTCCTCAGAGCACTGGTACATCTCCAAACACTCTTCCACAGTAGTGGCGTCAAAGCCTCGCTCACACAGTCGACTGTGGACAAAAAGGTACTCCAGAACCTGTAGGTGAGGACATAGGACAAAACCTTTAGACAATAAATTGCAACAATAGCAGAATAAAAGGCCTTTGTTCTACTTTCTGGTACCAACTCCTATTATTTCTGCAGCAAAATGGCATCCCATTCATAAACTTGTCCCTGACTGCACCAGAACTTTCAAAAATAAATAATAACAAACCTGTTCAACATTTTGCCCTTGCCTCTGCATGGCTTTGAGAACCCCCTCGTAAGAGTAGCCCATGCCCACTATGGTCTCCACACATTGCCGCTCACTAGGAGAAAGACTGAGCAGTGCTTCACTAGCAGGTGTTGGGTGTGAGGGAGGGCCAGCTGCAGGGACAGGACTGGACTATAGGACAGAAAAACAATAATCAACTTAAGCCATGGGACATTAAGCACTAGCTTGAGTATCATAACATAGTGATAGTGAAAGCACACCAGTGTTTAGGAAATGAGTAATGAATTAAACATTCAGCACAGTTAAAGGGGAATTCCACTGTTTTTTGCCACTTACCATAATTTCGATTAGATATACAAAATCATTGAGTGGTTTGATATAAAATGCTCCAATCTAAAGAAACTTACCGAATGATAATTGTTCATAACAGTATTGATAGGAACCAGATGTCAATACAACAATGCTGTTTTACCTTTTTTGAATATTTTTAATTTTCTTGCATTTTTCTTGCATAACTTGCATTTTAATGTGAAACAATCCTGGAAGAAAACATTTTTTTCAGAAATATTTTCACTAGTTTACCATTATCAATACTACATATACAACTTGTTTTGGATACTAAATGTCACATATTTGCATTGCAGACATTGTGACTCCTCATATCACCACCACTATAAAGAATGCAAGTCTGTGAGTTTCTCTACAATTAAACATTACATATAAAAACAGGCTCACTGGTCATTTTGGATAGCAAATGTGACCTCTGGTTTCCATCACCACCATTGTAAAAAAAATTTGACTTTCTACAATGCATTTCACATGAAATCATTCTTAATGACTGCGTATGTCTCACCAACTGATGTATGCAGAAATGCATAATTAGTTAATAACAATCAGTTTATTACCAGGTTTTATTTGTGTTGAAGCAGTGAAATCAGCAACCTGTATAGTCCAGTACCTGCTTTGGTGTTCCATTCGGAGCATGGCCTGACAGTTCTCCAGGCATCGAAGAATTTGTATGTGGTATTGATCTCAGCAGTGATGGTGGCGTACCATTAGGTAGGCTGCGTGGTGGAGCTGCTGGGTACAAGTTGAGGGGTGGCTCTGAGGGTGAATCCCCTGGGTCCGACAGCTTGGGAAAAGTCAGAGAGCGAATGTTGCAGGGACGTTCAGCATCAATTTGTCCTCTGGTGGCCACCACGCCCCCGCCACCTGGCCGCTCCAAGTCCAACAGCCCTATCAGCCCATTGGGTTTATGGAAGAGGGCCGATTTGGCCTGTAGAGGTGGGGTGTTGCTCTGTGAGGCGGGGCGAGGTTCTGGAGGAGGGGGCTCAGGGGCTGAGATAGATGAATGAGGCTGGCTCTGGAGGATGCTGCGCAGCTCCTCTTTATCATCCAGCGTTTTGAGCTCCAGCTTGTCAAAAGGGTCCTCCTCTCGCTCAAAGTCAGCCAGGTTGAGGCTCTGAGGGGCTGGGTTGTTGGGTGCTGGTTGTGCTGGTCCAAAACTTGGGGCAGGAAGTGGGGTCAGGATGGCATTGTGCCGGAGGCCTGCCAGGACAGGATTCAGCGCAGGTGGGAGGAGGTCCTGTTCATCAGTAGGATGGGCTTTCTTTCCACCAGCCAATCCAGCATCACTGTCCTGTGAAGCAGCCTGTCTGTCTTTCTCGGATTCCACCCGCCTTAACTCAGCTGCTTGAGCCTCGTCAGCTCGCACCTTGGCCAGGCCCTCCCCCCAGCACACACTCCGTTTCTCCAATGAGAAGTCATACTGAGACAAAGATAATGTGCAGTTAATACCAAGAGAAATTCGATTAAATGATTTTAGAAATTAGCAATGTGTAATCAAGTGATTTATTTCAATGTTTATTCTTTCACCAGACTGAGCTCTTAACTGAGATTCTTTTACTGTAACTTAAATAATATTAAGCACTCAGACTGACCTGCATGTCTGACAGCAAAGAATGACAGTCGGGCAAACAGAAGCCAATGGGCAGACCCACTTTTGCAGGGCAGCGAAATTTGTCGTTGAGCTTGAAAGGAACATCATCAAGGTAGCTGATGGGTCCTAGATATAAGGATTAAAAGAACGGAAAGAGGAGAAAATAAATTCATAGCCAAAATTTCAGGGTGAGAAAACCAGATAAAATGACTATGTGACTCACCATTGTTGTGGATATCTGATCCAGACTTCCTCGCAGCCATTTAGAGTATCTAAAAGAACAGAAAGACAACATTTCAGCGTTTCAAACCTAAGAGTGTGCAGATTTGCATTATGTCTTCCACTGAACACATACAGCGTCACTGCTTTTTACTTCCTGAACTGGAATGGCCAAACCTCACTAATGTCAGCACAACGCACCTGTTTGACCTTAGAGCAAAACCCCAAAATGTCACAGACAAAGGGGATGTGCTTTTACAAAACTGTACCATCCAGTCTGTTACACAGCATTCTCCTATCCTTATCACATGAACATGTGAGGGACAAACAATCTCAAACATGTGAACTATTTGTAATACGTCACTTCAGTGGATGATAACAAAATAGGTTTCTATTACAACCTTCAAGAGGAACTAAACACTAATCAAGCATCTGATGGTCTGTTTGCAGATATTCACAATACACCACCTGATCCACTACCATCTACTGCATCCGCTTTATCGCACTGGCAAATCCCAAATTGATTTAAGAATAAATTATAGCTGCACAAAAAAACCCACACACAACAGGTCTTAAAGGGGAATTCCACGATTTCTCAAAATGTCTGCGTACTTAAATAGATAAGATCTAAAAACAGTCACTCAGGGTGGTTTCGTGTGAAATGCTCCATTCTTGAGAAACTTAACTACAGAGTCAGAATTGTTCACAGTGGTGGTGATAGGAACCAGACGTCTGAAGAGTTTAATACCTGTTAAGCCTACCTCAAACAAACTTATTAGATAAAATGATTAAGACTATGCTGCCTGATGGCTGAGACAATGTTTTATGGTAACTTTACTATAGTAAAACTTTAGCCTAAATATATATTTTTAAAGGTATTCACGGCAGAAGAGTGCATGCAGGATGATGTAAGACAAAACAGCCCCCAAAGAAAACGTTTTTCAGTTTTACCACTATTTTAACATCATCAAGATTACATATAAAAACTCAGAAGAGTTCACTGGTGGTTTTGGATAGTAAATGAAACGACTGTATATGTGTAGTAGACATGACGACCACTGGTTCAGATCACCACCACTGTAAAGGTATCAGAAAGTTTCCCAAACCACCATTTGTCAAACCACTCTGAATGTCTTTGTTCACGTCTCAACCGCTGATTTATGTAGAAATTTTGAAAAAATCGGTGGAATTCTCCTTTAGGTAACGTTAGCTAAAGCCAGCGCTGCTGCGAAACAAGAAGTTGAGGCAATGGCCCTTTTCTTAAGTTCCTACGAGCCCTGACAACTGAAAGTCAGGTGAAACTTTAACGACAAAATAGTGAATATGACAACAAGAGCTAATGTGACTCACTACCCTGACTGTACAACACAGAAGGCCAGATCATCACAGCTCAGCTAGGCAAGCTGGTTCGACTTGTTCACTTCTATTTGGTGTAACGGTACCATTTTATATGGACACAACAACCCTTAACGTCACCACAACATTGGTAAAACGGGGTGGAAGTAAGTACTAGTTGTGAAGGTACTCTTAAAACTGTATCAGCTGCTCAAACTGACAGCTGACTGAGTGACTTTTGACGCGAATCAAAGTCCAAAATCAGCAGCTAAGCTAAGCTAAGCTATGCTACGCTACGCTAACTCTCAAATACAGGCCGTACAGACTGAAAGCCACCGCCCCGGCTCTAAAATCTCCGTGTATCATTCGCGCTTTTACCAGCATCTGCTCTGTCCTGGGTCTCCAAAAACTCTTCTCACCCTTCTTCCAACATACACCGTCCGACCGAGACTCTCGACTGAGGAATATTACTGAAAACCAAATGTGTTTCCTGCTTCATCGCGGGTCGCCATCTTGGTCGGAGCAGCCTACCCTCCTCTGGTTCCTGGGTGACGGACACGCCCACCGCTGACGGACGTCGGCCCGACCAATCACAACACGAGAGTTTACAGCGTCGGAGAGGAGGCGTAACCCTGCACATGGGTCCATCCGAAGATCCAGGTTGTCAAAATACAACATATAATATCTCAGAATGTAAGTCAGAGCTTTGTAGAGCGAACCCAAACTAAACTAAAGCGCTGCTTTAGTGAAATAGGGACTATTTTTATATACTGATGCACACATGGCCTGAAATAAAAAAGCTCAACAGTACTACAGATTCTGCCATCAACATAATACAGGGGAATTAGACAAACACACACACACACACACACACACACACATGCACACGCACAGCGATTAGTAACTAACTGTTAACGACTAAAATAGAACTGTGTTAAAAGGAGTTTCGTTTCTTCATACATACACCGATCAGGCATAACATTATGACCACATCCTTGTTTCTACGCTCATTGTCCATTTTATCAGCTCCACTTACTATATAGGTGCACTTTGTAGGTCTACAATTACAGACTGTAGTCCATCTGTTTCTCTGCATGCTTTCTTAGCCCCCTTTTACCCTATTCTTCAGTGGTCAGGACCCCCATGGACCCTCACAGAGCAGGTACTATTTGGGTGGTGGATCATTCTCAGCACTGCAGTAACACTGACGTGGTGGTGGTATGTTAGTGTGTGTTGTGCTGGTCTGAGTGGATCAGACACAGCAGTGCTGCTGGAGTTTTTAATAATATATCAACACTCACTTCAGTCATTTGACAGTATTGCAAAGGACATGTAGTAAGTTAGTAGTCAACAGTTAATATGTATAAATATTAAATGTATTGACATGTATACATAAATAATTTAAATAATCACTATTATTATTATTATTATTATTATTATGATTATTATTATTATAAAAACAAAATTCTGATCAAGTCACTCACTTTCGTTCTGTAGATAAGCAAATTCATGTAATGAAATGCATGTGTATACATATAATATATACTTCTATTGCAACAAGCCTGACCCCGTAACAATAGCAGAACCCTCTTTGGTGCTATATAGAACCCTTTCAAAAAGGTTCAATATAGAACCATCTGTAGCACATTCTCCATCAATTTGAAGAACACTTAACAATCCAAAGTATCCTTTAATTATGCAAGGGTTCTTTGAATGTTCATGGTTCTATAGAACCATTTCTTTACTAAAGAACCCTTGAAGAACCATTATTTTGAAGTGTGTAGTTTTAATTGTGTTAGTTTGTTAGTCTACTTCAGCCATACCTAAAAAAATGGCTTTTGTTTAAAAATGGCAGATTTTATAAAACATTATTAAAATGCAACACTTGCCAACCAATCACAATTCCCAGCCCCACTGCTCCCAGGTGCAGGTTAGCAATAGCTGTGGAGTTAGCTAGCAAAATGGACAAGGCACAAGAGGGTCACAGTGGCACTTACTACACACAAAGAGGGTCTTAGACTAAACAAGTTTGAGAACTGCTGTACTACACAGTTCAGAAAAATACAAAGTTTATTTATTTTGATCACTGGCAGTGGTTTTCATGAAAGACAACAAATGAGATATGCTCAGAAGAGCTGAGAGGTGTATCTGCAATATTGCTTTAAAGTTCAGTGTGCAGTTTTGAACATTTTTGTCCAGTTTTGTTGTGCAAGAAGACTTTTAAAAGTTTTGGTATCTGCATTGGCATCATCCTTGACGTTATTTTGTATTGGATAGAAAATGAAATCAGTGGTATTGTGCAGCCTCTGATGAAAACAGAACAATCTTTTTGGGTTGATCTCTTTTTAGACTGAAAAAGAAAGATTGGTACCCTTAAAAGCCACACGCTTTATTTAACCCCAATGAGCACTTTATAATAAACTTGATCATGTTAATGGCTAAATTTTATAGACGATATTTGTCAGAAAAACACCTTCACATATGACCTTTGTACACAGATCTACGCAATTACATATGTACATCAGTGAATTTTCGCCTGCAGCAAAACAAGACATTTTGTAGGTCTATTTGATTGCTGAGTAAAAAGTTTTCCAGTTTATTTATTTTCATTTATTTTCTCTTTTTCTCTGTTGATGTTTCACAAAAAATTCTGTTTGATGCGTGAATGTTGGGCTTTAATGTAGTCTATAGTTTAAAACAGTGGTTTAATGGTTCAAAACAAACAAACAAAAACAAACCATGTAGTCGTACAAAAAAAAAGAGAAAGAAAGAAAACAGAACGATCTGGCTCAGTGTGGACGTCGTGACGTCACGGCGCTCGGACGCCAGGCGGAAGCGTCGGCAGGGTGACGGTTGTGGTGAGGATGTAGTTAGCAGCGGTCGGTCAGCTCGGTTCGGTCCGCTCAGTACGGGACAGTACGACTCTTCCAGCCAGAGGAGTCCAGCGCGGAGAGGAGCTTTCGCGGCAGCAGTTTTGGTGGCGGCTGCTGTGGTGCTTATCTTCAGCGAACTGTTGTTTTGTTGTGTTTTTCGAAGGCTTCGTGCAGCAGCAGCAGCAGCAGCGCTAGCGGAGCTGAACGGATGTAAACAAGCGGAGCTCACGGACGCAGACAGACGAGGCCGAACCGGAGATGACAGCGGATAATATCAACTCATAAGCATAATCTGCATTAGAAGACTGATATTTGTTGCTGTCGTTTCGTACAGACGTAGCTACATTAGCTGGAGCTTTGGCTCACTACGGACTCAGTTGAGGACGCCTCCCTGCAGCAGAGAGGGAGAGAGAGAGGTCGCTCGCTGGCTCGGCTCTGTTTTCCACTGTAGCTACAGGCTAGCAAATTATCAACCTGCATTCCTGCCCAGCAGCCCCAAAAACTAGCTCATTACAAACTGCCCTTCGCGAAGAATTAGACTGGCAAAACCCTCGTTTTCTTCAAACTTCATTCAAACGTTTAAGTACATGAGGAAGGAAGTTTGACACACTCATACGTCCTGTTTGCTGGGAACCGTGTAAAGTATAAAGGTAACGTTAAAGCACAAACTGCTCCGGGGACGGTTGTGTTTTCAAGTGTATTTTATCTCGATTCTGTTGTTGTCGTCACATGTAATATGTGAAGTTACTCAGCGAGAATTAGGATTTTGCCTTGGTTTACAAATAGACTCAAAAAATGAAATCGTTAAATAATCTTAACTCAATTATGCCACGCATTTCCCTTCAAACAAATAGAGTTTGAAGTATACACTGACTGACTTGAGTTTCATTGGAACAGAATTCGCTTTGGATCAAAATAAACAGTTTTAATTCATTAGAACGCACTTAGTAAACTTTTGTCCATTTTCCATAAAACAGTTTCTTAAAAACAATACAAGTCATTTGTTTAATGTCAGCATATTTTCAGTTCGTAAGCCCAGCAATCCAGTTGGTTCATTTTTTTAACTTTTAAAGATATTTTAACTAGTAGATTCTCTGACTATAGCAGCAACCTGTAATTCACTGTCTTAGTGTGAGTAAGCGTTCATATGTTCTGAAGATATTTCTTTTAATTAGTGGGCAAATGATAGGTAGTATATAGCATGACAGTGAGACATGCACTAAATATATACACAGAAGTTTAAAGGCTCCAGCTCTTCCAATGTTTTTTTTATGAAATCAAGTGTATTAATAGAGAGTTTTTCCCCTTTTTTTGTACAGCTTCTGCTCTTCTGGGAAAGTTTTAACATTAGATGTTAGAATATTGCTGTGATTATTTGATTGCATTCAGAAGATCGCAAAAGCTTCAGTGAGCTCAGGCGCTGATGTTTTTAATGATAAGTTCTAGACCACAAACTCCACTCCAGCTCATCCCAAAGGTATGAGATGGAGCTCCATCACTCCAGAGAATGCAGAGCCAATGCTTCACAGCCCAAGGCTGAGGGGCTTTATAGCCCTTTAGCTGATGTGTGGCATTGGGCATGGTGACATGTGGCTCATGTGCGACTGCTCCAAAATGTCCCATTTTAGTGGCAATGCTTTTCTGTGGAGATTAAAGAAGTAGTGCTTATGCTTTTCAATGCCCGTGTCAACAATGGGCGCTCATTAAAGTAGCTGAATTCACTAAAGGTGCCTTCAAACATTTGGAAATGTAGGGTAAAACTCTTAAAACAGAAGATGTAATTTGTGATAACAGTGCAAAAATGACCATCATTAAAGATTAAACTTTTACTCTTACAGGTGAGGTTGCAGAAGCACGGCGGTCATGGCACATCAGCAGATGCCCAGCTCGCAGAAGGCCTTGATGCTGGAGCTGAAGTCCCTACAGGAGGAGCCAGTGGAAGGCTTCCGCATAACTCTAGTGGAGGAGTCTGACCTGTACAACTGGGAGGTGGCTATCTTTGGACCCCCAAATACTCTCTACGAAGGGGGCTACTTTAAGGTCAGTCCCATCAAAACATTTGCACAATCAAATGGTGAATAAAATGTAGAGATGTGAGGATTGAAATTTCATTACTATATTGAAAAAAAAAAATTACATGTTTCAGATATGTACATCGGTCCCACACAAATGAAACATGTTACATCTACTAAGTAATCAATTAGGTAAGTTAATAAAGTGGTACATTGGTAATTTTGTTGGTGTAACATGTTTCCTTCATGTGAAGCCAGTGCACACAATTGAATCATGTCAATGTAAAGTAACCTTTAAGCAACCTTTTTTTCAATGTACTTGTGGTCAACTAATTTTGTTTTTTTTTCAAATGGTCTTTCTTGTGGATATACTATTTTTAACTGAATGCCAAGATATGGCAACAGAAATAGTAACGAATGTCGATGTATTATATAAAAGCAGAATTTCTTTGTAATTGATAAAAGCTAGGGATGAGTATCCAGCTTATAACTGAATCTACTTGGTTTTACATTGGTTTCAGTTTCACACTGGTGGTGAACTAATAAAGTGGCCTGCTTTTTATATTTAAAAAGCAGAGGCTGGTGTAGATATATTGCACTTAATTAAACACCAGGGCTTTTAATAAAAAAATGTAATGAATACAAATTTAAAGCTGAGGATGAGAAACTGTAAAATCATGCACTTGGCCCGTCATGATCCTTATTTGGTTTAATATATGCAACTATTAAAGTACAAGCTGTTGACACTTAGTAGCCCTCAACTGATGACAGATCGGCTTGAGCCCAGATAAACAAACATTACTAACTGCTGCCTTCTAAATGTGTTTATAGCACGAGCCAGAAGTTAGAACATCTGTTGACCCATGACGTGTCTCAATAAGTGTGTTCTCTGCTTTTTTTATTACACGTATTTGTGTAAAGTAATTGTGGTCAGCTCAAAATAATTGCAATCAGGCAATTGTGTAATAATCATGCAGATTCACCTCTGGCAGGAGCAGCCACTGAGGACTAGTTGCACAATCTCAGGATGAACTTTGTGCTTTGACACTTGGGTAGATTGGCCCTAAAGCGGTGGATCAGCTGACTACTGGATGTCATATTGACACAAGGGGGCAGTATCAGTTTGATCATCTCAAAAAGCTTTATTCAGTTGCTTAGTGGTGCCTACTGTCAGGGGAATAATCACACGGGTGATTCAGTGTGTTCTTTGTCATAGAGATGTTGTTTCTGCTCTGTCATGTTGCTTAATGTGTCTTGGCACTAACCCCGCACCTCGTACATCTTCTCCTTTGCTCCATCTCTCATTCCCTCTCGTTCTCGTATCCCAAGTGATGCAATTCTTATGGCACTATTTATAGGTCTGACAGATATAAATGGCATCTCCATAGGAGAGCTGAAAAAGAGAAGGACATATTGAGTCTTTCCCAAGTTTCCCCCCGGTCAGTGTTTGTAAAGAATTAGTGCTGGGTGATAAATTGTCTTTACTGGTGTAAGTGTCACACAGCAGTATTGATTTTTAGTTTTAGCGGTATTTAATAGGATAACAAAAACTTTATTAAGTGCAATGTATGTCATTTGTTGGGCGCTGTTAAAATAACAGTATAAAGTACATGAAAACAAATTAGTAAGTTTCCTTACATGTGCATTATATAACATATTTATAAAGCTGTATTTGAATATTTATGCCAGTAAATACAAAATGACAGATGGCAGATGTTTTATGAGGTAAAAGACATTATAAGGGGCCTTAAATTAAAGTGGTGGTTATTTGTTCCCTTTATATATTGTTCCCTTCTGTATATATATATATATATTTTGTGCTTCAGATAAAGTACAATTTCTATTAAGCAAACCTGTCTGGGTGCAGAGACTTCAAAAACATATTCTTTCATCTTGCAATTAATGCTATAAGCTATTCATAAAGAATAAAATATAGGTTTATTCAGTGCTTAAGCATGTGTTATGAAGTCTCTGTTGAGGTAGCCTTTACTGAAATCCTTTTAGCGTAGAGTAGCAGTACTCAGGAAACGTGAGTTCATTAATTTCATTAATGCAAATAATACTGTGATATATTCACAAAATAATCATCATATTAAGTTTTATCAATACCATCCAGCACTATAATGAATGAAATAAACACTTTATTTCAAAGTGATGTCATTTATAAGACTGTGATAAGAGTGAAGTCAATGCAGAATTGCATAACAGTGATGTAATAGTCCTTAGAATTAAAGAAAACTGGGCCTTCAAGTAATACTGTACAGCTATAATACAGCCCCAGTGAGGCCAGAGTGTGGGAAAGTTTTGTGACGTAGGCATTGCTGAATGCTTGGATGTTGATAGTGGTATCTGTGTAGTAACAGACCTGAGCTCCTCCCATTGTAAATGTCCATGTAAGAAGAACAGCGTCATCCTGTTATCTGACACAGGGCTTTGTGCATTAGCGTTGCTCATGTAAACATTTTTGTATTCTTTTGAAAATATTTTAGTTATTTTAGAGAAATACAATCAAAAATAGACGAGACTAAGCAGATTAGACTTGATTTTGCTGTCTGTTTTTCCGAGCACCCCATGTCCTTAAATTGCTTCTTGTTCACACGCTATTAAACACACTCTGTAGTGTCAGGGATGAGCAACAGAGTGCCAGCTCCTCCTCTTGTCTGACACACAGTCAGCTCTCAGCATTGCTGGGGAAAAATGTTGAGTAAAACATTCCTGCTCTGAGAACACATCACACTAAGTCCAGCAGAGTAGTTAAACTGGACTTACTTCAGGCTGCTTTATTAATCCCTTAAATTGCCAGTTTTATTACGCTCTTCTATAACCTAAGAATAGCTCAACCAGTTTGCATTGAAGTCCCTGTAGTTACTGAATAATAAGAATTAGTATGTAATGAGCCTGGGATTTTAAGGGTTGATCTGATCTAATGGAGTTGGTTTTTGCACTTGGTTTAACATGTCTGATTATTTTTGAGTGTAATTTCCTTGCATCTTTATTTAATATAGTCTTGTTCTTGTGTATTTTACAGTTGAATATACACTTTTGCACACAATAGATTCTCATGTGGAACCAGTAATAAACACACACTTACTGTTTCTGATGTTCCTGTCTTTTAGGCCCATATAAAGTTTCCTGTTGACTACCCTTACTCACCACCAACTTTCCGTTTCCTAACCAAGATGTGGCATCCAAACATTTATGAGGTAAACAAAATAATATGACATATTTAATCTAATTAGATTTAGTAGTTCTTGAATTAAAACATCTTTACTGATCACTGCTCATCTCATTATCAGTCATGAGGCAGGCTTACTGCAAACTGCATGTGTGATGATAGTAATATTTTCGTCTAAATCCCAGAATGGTGATGTGTGCATTTCCATCCTGCACCCTCCTGTGGATGACCCCCAGAGTGGAGAGTTACCCTCAGAGAGGTGGAACCCTACGCAGAATGTCAGGTGACGCAGTACTTCATGATGCATATTGCATACCGTCATTGTCATTTCAAAATCTCTTACCTCTGTTTTCATTTCTTTACACCATTTGAAAATGTTGATTGCCATTTACATTGTGTGAATATTTCATGATAACTGATCCAATAGAAATGACTTAAAATTAGTTGTTTATGAATGTATATATTAAACCTCTTCCTATAAGGTTGCAAAGTTTTGTTATGACACACACAGGAAGTTGATAACAAATGTGTTTTTGAAATAGAATGTTAATGGTTATATTAAAAACAGCAACGTTAAACATACAGCCGTGTGCAAACGCACCCTCACAGGGGACACTTTTGCACATTTTAATGCACAATTACTGTTTGTTTGGATATTTTGTGTTTTGTGTTTTATTTTTTTCAGTATGTTAAACTCAAAACATGTCATTTGACCAGGGATGTAAACATTTTGCATATGAATGTATATAGATGATCTAATTTGATTAGAACCAAACAAATAGCTTTCTTTTTTCTATAGAACTATCTTGCTGAGTGTAATCTCTCTGCTGAATGAGCCCAACACCTTTTCCCCGGCTAACGTGGACGCTTCAGTCATGTTCCGCAAATGGAGAGACAGCAAAGGAAAGGACAAGGAGTATGCTGAAATCATCCGGTAAAAACAGTTTTGTTAAACAAATATAGTGTTCATGCAAACAAACAAACAAACTGCACAGATGTACACAGGTTCACATTTACACATTAACAATGGCAGGTCAAACTAATTTCAGATTCGATTAGTAGTGTTATAATACCATTTAATTTTTACAGGTTTATAACTGAAGATGTTTGTTTGTTTGTTTGCTTATTTATTTATTTATTTATTGATTGTCTTTTCAATCCACTGTATTGCCAGTTTATAGGTAAACTTTCTTTGTACCTGCTTTTGGTGGCCATTCAGATAAGCTTGCCATATAGTTGTACTGCACAATTTCTTAACCTGCCTCAACGCTGTCTGTCAATGAAAAGGGGCCACAATCAGACCACAGCTGACCAAGATCATTCACAGCACAGCAGTGACCACAACCTAGCAGTAGCATAGACAGTATCAGGCACAAAAACTAGGCGGCAGTCTAGATGGGTTTTCTTGACTGCCACATCATTGAAGGTTGTTTAAATCAGAACGGGCTCCACATTCTGACCATTTCAAGGATGCTACCAAAGCATCCTTCACGGTTTTCGGTTGGCCGTAATCCTTTTCTAGTAATTGTTCTAGTAATTGTATAGTAAGGAAAATAGTATACAGAATACTATATATAGTATAGTATAGTAATTTACGCTGTAAAACTACTGTATGCAATAAGTATGCTGTAGTTCATTTGATTTGTATCTTTTTAAGAGGGTGTAAATTGAATGCAGTATTAAATGCACCTGCTCTCAGTGAGTTAAACAGTTTTTAACTTGCAGAATAGCAATAAATTACAAACAAACATGTTGCATTTGAGGTCTGCACGGTCCTACTCCCACAAGATTTCATACCGCACCCAGAGAAAAGCTGCACCATATGTGCCACTTCCGCCCGCAGTTTAAACATTTTGGCTTATTTAGGCTATTCATTGATTTGTGGGATTTCCCCACACGTATGTGTTGTCTTGCTCTCGCCCTCACTGGTTTGGTTAACCGCCAGCTCTTACACATGACGCTGAAAATTAGGTCTGTCCTGCAAGATATCATGGTGGGTCCCACAGACCTCTAAATTGCATTATTCACGTCAGTGTTTTCTCAATCAAATTTATGCAACAACTCCTTTCCGATGACAGTGCAGCCTTGGTAGACTGTTCACTGTCACACATGTGCAGAGGACATTACTTTTACCGACATCACCTCATTTGGATGACGCGTATGTAAACATTTTACGGCAGTAATTGAGCCATAACAATACAGTTATATTCCCCAGTAGTAATAACGTGTATTTCTCACTCTTCCCTGCTTGACTGTCATGCTGTTCTACTTGTTTATCAGTGAAAACACAGAGCTTTAAGTTGTGATTATCTACCTGAGTGGTTTGGCTTTGAGTAAGATAGCATTCTTAGCTTGTATGGATGCTACAGTAACAATAGCATCAACAATGCTCGGCAAAATATAGGCTCAGTCTCAAATGGCTTCCTATTCCCTATGCAGTGCACACACATAAACATCAACAATGTATTATATGTCTAAATGAAAGCCGTATGTACTCAGTCGAAGCTGCAGAACATCCTGTCTAACATTTAGTGAACCATTTGGACATAGAAATCAAAGTTGCATGATTTATGTGGTGCACTATGTAAAGAGTAAGGAGCGATTTGAGAATCAGCCATTGATTTGCTCTCATGTGAAATCAAACTGATGGTAACAGCAGGTTTTTTCCATATCTCTCGCCTCCGTGTGCTCTAACCTGAATGTTTTTGCCCGTAGAGAAGTTGAAAATTAACACCAAGTGGTAGTAAACTAGGAAAGGGAATAAAGCTGGTTTTGGACTGGCTTAGTTTTCTGTGGAGAGGTGGGGTAATGGCAGTTTGCCACAGGATGTCTGTAATGTTTATTCACACAGGAAAATAAATCTCGGTATTACAGAGATGGGTGGGGCTACTCGATTTATGAAAACAGAGAAAAGAAAATATGTTAAAACATTTAATTTAGCTGTTTACCCTTACTATCTGTCTTGCTGTCATAAGTGCAGGGCTGGCACCACACTTCCAAAAATGGTGGGGCAAAACAGAGTGACAAAATGCTACCAGGCCACTGACTGACTAACTAAAACTACCTTTCATGTCTTGCTAGTAAGAAGTCTTTATAAACCTTTTCATTAGAGTTTTTGTGACATATCTTTTTAATTTGGTTCAGTTGTTTTCAGACTTCAGCTACAGTGGACCAAATTGCACATGGGGTGTTTACCACCATGAGAATATAAAAATATTAATAGTAAATAGAGATGCTTGACGTCTATCCGTATTACAAAACAAAGCGATAACAGCTGCTTCTTTATGATTGGTTTACCAGTTTTTAGGTCAGGTTGCTGATACTTGACCAAAAATACATTCTGTGATCCAGGTGCCAAAATTAAAAGTGTAACTTTGCTGTTATTTTACTGCTTGTCTGCTGTTACTAACAGCATCTCGTGATGCAAGACGTATATAACAGTCTGAAAAGAGTAAAATGTTAAAATGGACAGATTTTGTGGACAGTACAATGCTGATGTGCACTGAGAAAAGTAGCCTATGGTGTTGAATTCTCTCGCTTGATGTGGTCCGTCGTAAAAATGCTCAAGCAGGGGTCACCGGTCCACTTTAGCTGCCGTTTGGCGCCAACCTGAAAATGGGTGGAGTGTTGACACATGAAAATGGACAGAACTAAAAAAACATTTGGTCCACACCAAACAAAATAGGTATGACAGTCACCTTAGTATGGCTAGGTAGCAGTAAGAAATATCCAAACTGACATTTAGTAAATTCAAATGGTGGCCCAGTGCATTACTTAATGTGTTGCAGGCAAAAACATTTTTACCTAATTAGTGAGTTGCAGCTCCTCTCACTGATCACCAACTCATGAAGCCTTTAATGTTTGGGAAATGTCCCGTCTCCCGGCTGAAATAAAGATTTTAGTTGGTTGTGCCAGTGAGTTTGACTCACTCTCTGTTTATGTGTATTGGTCAGCGTTCTGCGTAGTTTTAATTTCTTTATGATGTAAGCATCCTGAACTCAACTCCGCCCCAGTACTGTGAAAAGTGGTGAGTCAAATCCCTGCTTGCCTCTTGGTTCCAGCAGCCCTGCTAAAGTGAATGCACTGTTTCATTAGCATCGCCATTAGCCTGGGAATTCATAGCAAATAAAATCTGTATAAAGTATGAAATCAAACTTTTTTTTCATTTTTACATATTCTGAGTTGTACGTGTGAGGTGAGACAGTAAAGTTACATATCAGCTTGGTTTTAGCCACAGAGAAACACAAGTAAATGCTTCTTTGAGTGCTTGAATACTTAAGAAACTTCTTTTCCACAGAATATGATAGCATTTTCACTAGTATGTCAACATTACTGCACCTCCTCGCGTCCAAAAATGGCTACTTATTTCATGGATTCTGCATTAAAACACTGGCTGGTGCATTTTCATGATTTGCTGATAATGAAATAAATCTGATGAAATGTATCCCCAAGCTAACCCGCTAACACTGCATTGTAAAAAGATAGATAGACATGTGGGATACAGATTAGGCAGCGTTTCAATGCGTGACAGCGTTGCGCATGCTCAGTGCAAAACAGACGGGACGCAGATGAGCTAGCGACATCCACCTCTCTCAGGCATTTGGAGACCTCATATGCAGTACTGACAGTGATATGTGACATGATCAGTCTTTGGGTTGTTTTGTGTACAGGAAGCAGGTGTTGTCCACAAAGGCGGACGCAGAGCGGGACGGGGTGAAGGTGCCCACCACACTGGCTGAGTACTGCATCCAAACCAAAGTGCCTTCTCACGACAGCAGTTCTGACCTGCTCTACGATGACCTGTACGATGACAACATTGAAGAAGAGGACGACGATGACGATGAAGTTGATGCTGGCGGCCCGGCAGGTGAAATGAGCGGAGACTGCTTTGGTGATGAGGACGACTCCGGCAATGAGGAGTCTTGACCTATCTCCACTTTTACCGTGACGTTGACCCCTCCCCCTCCACCATACTCTCTCACCGATACTCATGTTTCTGTCTGTCTGCCCCACTGTGTGTCCTTGAGTTTCTGTTTAGGCTGCTGATGTTTCACTATCTGTCCTAAAACCTCTGACCTTGAGTTCTTTCCCTACTGCATCTCCTTGTAATAGAGTCCTCTGTGTAAGCCATTACCATGCTCTGAGTTTTTAGAGCCCCAAGAAGGAATCACTGCAACAATAAAGGCTTTTAAGCAACAGCAATGCTGTTACACCATACATTTACCGCTCTGTTTGTATGTAAACTGGACAGTTCTAGTGATGCAGTGATGGTGTTTCATTGATTCCTGATTGGGGCTTTAAGATAAGACTCGGTCATAATAGTAACCATAGACCTGTCCTTGTCACTCTGGCATTCATCCTCCCCTGCCTGCCTCGAGACCTCAGGGCTTTTGGATACTCACGGCTCTAAATCCACCCTTAACAACTCAATGATTTCAAAGTGTGCTCTTGGCTACGATGGAATTCATTTTAGAATACATAACACATTTTTTTCAGCAGGGAATCGTTTTTCCTTTTTTCTTTTCTTTCTGTCTTTGTCAGTTCATCGAAATTCTCTAGCATCGTCTCCTCCAATGCCTCACCTTCTTTTCTGTTTACTTCCCTTTCCTTCTGTGTCTTTGTACCTTTTAACCACCCACACAGCTCACATGTCCTTTAGTGGTAACAGATGGCACTGTCTGTCCAGTGAGTGAATGCTTTCCTCTGTTTTTTATCTTGCACACCTCTTTTGCCTCCACCTCTTAACAAGCTAGGGCTTTTAAGTGCTTTGTTTTTTTCCCCCACCACCTGTTTATGACTGATTTCTCTACTGTTGTGTAGTTTGCCAGGTAAGTATTTGAGATAAAAAGAGGCTTTGGGAATATGTAAAGAAAAAAAATGTCATAACAGTCAAAACTCAATGCATGTGAGCTGTCACACGCAGCTCTTACCTTTTAGACCCCAAACACCTTTGATGAGTTTTTGAGCCATCAAATTGTAACATCAGACTACATGGCAATGAAGGTGCTTTCAGGTGCTACTGCAGTATACACTCAAAACAATTGCAGCATCAACATGGACACCAATGTCAGAACTACACTCAGCTACAAATGTAACATAAAGCCTTTAAGTTGCTATGTATCGCTGACTTAGAAACTATGGTGAACAGACTTGCTAAGAGAGACTTGCTAAGTTTAGACGCGATGACTATACCCCACTTTTGCCCCTGATTTTAGATTCTGTGATTATGGCTGATGGTAATGTAAGTGTGCTTCACTTTCAAGTGTGCACATGGTGTAGGTATCTGGTACAAGCTGTTTGTTGCACCGTGGAGTGGCTGAACCTAACCATCACTGTCTTGTTTTCTCCTCCTTTTGATTTTGTAACACAGCTGACTTTGTTCCAGTAGTTTGGCTATGAACTTGATTTTATGAGCTGTTGAGGTATGGGGTTTAAGATTACAGACTGCTGAGGACGTTTGGCTCATCCCCTACCTTAAATTTTGCTCTGTCCACAGGCCCCAGCAAAGCCTGCAGCTTTCAAGAGCATGCACGTGTGTTTGTTTTAAATGTGTTTTATATGATGTGTCATTTATTGAGTTGAGGCACAGAGCTGTGCCCTCACTAACAGGGGTGGGATGTGGTCTTTGATGCACATGGGGTCTCAGGTATACCCTTACTGTATCCCAGCAAAATCAGCCAAGGATGCTGACATACGTTCCTGTTCATAAAAACCCTGAAAAAAAGAGATGTGCACGAAGGACAACGCACAGCACTCTGCTAATGCAAGTTGGAGCTAATGAACAACATTTCAATTCTGAACAGATGCTCTTGGAAAGAAAAGGTATAAAAGGACTCTCACATTCGCAATGGGATGTTCAAACACTGGGAAGTGACTGGAGACACTGCGTATGGACAGCACTTAAAAACAAAAAAACTCAGTAATCCTCTGCATTTCTTATGATCCTTCCTTTCCCAGACAATGAAATACATCCCTGTACGCAGCAAATCATGGAAAAGACTTCTGATACCTCCCGAAAACTCTCGTGACTCTGACCAGCCGTGGATTGTCTCGGAGGATATTACTATTTGTGTGTCCTGGGTGTTTTGGAAATTTTCATCACCGTTTTAAGGATCTCTTATGCCACACAATAGGGACACGAACTTGCGATTCTTTACCATGCCTTATGGTTTTAAGGTGGATGCTAAATGATTCGGTCATTGTTTGCTTTAATTTCCTTTCATTTCTCTTGTAGTGTTGTAACAGACAGAATCACATTAAAAATATTCACTTAAGCAAGAAAAATCACTGCGAAAAGGATCTATATTATTATAGGAGTGCATTTTAATGTGAAGACTGCCCAGCATGGTCATTTAAGACAGTGCTTGTTTGATCACACTACAGTACATTTCTGTGTGAGTGATAGCATATCCTCCTCTGCAATTAAATCATTAGGCTACTCATTTTCATTATGGCTTCCATTATTCATTTGGGTGCCACTTTACAATAAGACTACCCTTATAAAGCATTTAAGAATGGTTTAAATTAGTTTATTAATGGTTATTAGTTAGGTCGTAAACATCTTAATAAGCACTTACAACACACAAATAAAAGGGCAACAGTGACCTGTTGCTTGCAAAATATGTATCTATACTGTTCAAGCTCAGAAACTGGTGGGTACTTATCTTGGTCTTCTCCAGCAGTCAGCATTAGACCTGTCAGCGTCATCAGATATTCCTATTCATCAGGTATTACGGATCATGTTTGCCCTTGGTTATTATTTGTTATAATTGCTTATTAATGATTTTATGAGTTTATGACCAAATTAATAACATTAATAAACTCAATTTAAACTATTCATAAATGCTTTATAAGGATAATCTTATTGTAAAGTGGTAACTTTGCTTTTTTCTTCTTTTAAATCTGTCAACAACTATCTCAGTTGAGACTAGCAAAAAATTAGGCTGAGAATCCACGAAAAACACTTAACATTACAAACTGCTGCGATGCCTTTAGAACACCATAAGCTAACAGCTCAATTTATACAGTTTTGTGCATTGTGTTTTTCTAAATTTGTAAATTTGAGACCCTGTGTGAATTTCACAGTTCAGTGTGTAAGTCATGAATAGATATGCGTTGCGTTTATTAACAGTATATTATTCAGTACAGGAAAGCTCCAGGAAACCACTTTAGGAGAGATTATTACTGGCTGCCTCCACTTTGATTTGTCGGTGCTAAGTAGATGAAAGTGAGATGTTAATGACTGTTACATGCCCTTTGATATATACACTCTTTCTGCCACAATACCACCAACATAATCCAAAAAATACAGTGTATATATATATATATATATATATAGTAGTGTTGTGCCCATAGAAGAATCACCCGTATGGTCTTAAAAGGGAATTCTGCCAACATTTCTGCAGAATTAAGTTGTTAAAATATAAACAGAGAAACCGAAATTTGTTTAAAGTGGTGATGATAGGCTACCTCAAGGAAGCAATTGTTCGACAATACTTCTGAGATAAGCTTTTGGTCTAAAATGTATTTTTAAAATACATTCATGACTGACTATTCATGGGGGACTGTTGTACTATAATACTATTACAAGGCAAATTAGTCCCCAAAGAAAACTCTTATTAACGTTCCAAATGGTGTAGCTCATTGGTCGTTTTGGATAGTAAATAAAACGCCTACATTTGTGCTGTAGAACTGTGGCTCTTGAGTTCCTTTAGCTACCACTGTAAAAAATTGGTCAGTGTGCATCTCTACCATGTAACATTACAGATTAAACCTCTCTAAATTATGTTGTTTACATCTGAATGATTTAATTATGCTGAAATATTGAAAAATCAGTGGAATTCCCATTAAGGTCCCGTTAACATTACACCATATGACCACATTACACCACCTGTTTAGTTCCACACTTCTATATCAACATGCAAATGACAGATTGAGAATGTCCCAAATGACAGTTGGCCATTTTCCCAAACTACTCTAAAATCGTCATGATGGCTCATAACAATAAAATAGTGACAAAATTCATGTGGTATGGGAGTTTCTTCTTTTCCCCATTACCCTAATGGAGGGCAAAGACAGTCCAGTGTGTAAAATTTCCCACAGCTAGATTGCCTATCATTATATATCATATTTTAATACAGTAAAATGTGGACCCAGCTTCACTGTTTCCCTTCTCCTTTCTCCAGAAAGTGCTGTACACCTTTAAGAGTGTCCTGTAGATCTTTGTACTTTGCAAGCCTGCATGCTTCCTCAAGTTTGGCCCAGCGGTAGTCTTGATGCTCATCTGACAGGGTGACGTTTGTACTGGGATCACGCAGCTCAGCCAGCCAGTAGAGGACCTCCTTCTCCCTACCCCGCACTTCATAATGCAGTCTCTGCAGAAACCCATCAACTAAACGCAGGTGCTCTTTACCCAAACCAGCCTCCTCCTGCGTCTCCCTCCATGCTGTGGTCAGGTCATCCTCACCAGGGTCAACATGACCTAAAGGGCAGACAGAGAACAGTAAGACAGCCATGCAGTTGGCTTGGCACAAAGACTAGTTAACATGACACAGACAACAGAGAGCAGGGGTTGAGCTGCACCTTTGGGAGGAGTCCAATGATGTTCTCCATAGGAGGTTTGCAAGAGAAGATATTCAATGCCGCCAGGAAGAGAACGCTGTGCCAGACGCCGGAATATTATAAATCCACATGCTCGCAATGCCATTATCTGGAGAAAACAATGCAGCATTACACTCATCACATTGTCATACATTTATTTATCATCACTGTACTGTCAGTCCCTGTTAATACAGGTGTAATATATAATATATAAGTTCTTTTGAGTATGAAAACTGCATGTTTTACAACACAAAATCTTTCAACTTGAGAACAAATCATAACACTAATAAGCCTACATACACTATAGGCCTATTTGCACTTTTATTGTGGAATATTTTTAAAATATGGAGTCCTCAAAAAATACCACAGGCCTCATCCAATAAACACACTTGCGTCTGATACTGTGATTTTTGAGCCAAAACAATCATGTATTTACTTTGAGATCCTATAAAGTAATTAAGTAATCAGTAAATTTGTTACTTAAATGTTGCTTAAGACTTAGATCTTACTTCCCATTTGAAAAGGTATGTTTTCTGAGCTAGTGGCTAAAGTTAGAGGTCACACAGCCAAAAGCAGACTGGATATTTTGGGCAATAAATAAAAAGAAACACTGAAATACTCGTCATAAAACAGCATTAAAAAGCATTATAGTTCTATGTTTATTTAAACATCATATAAACTATTCTTTCTGTGTTTATATTAGAAATTATTTAGATAGTAGGCTTAAAAAGTACTAAACCTACAAAGTGGCAAAACTTTACAGACATGTTCTGTTGTAAGTTCTTAAAAATAACCATTTCTCTGAAATAAAACAGCAGCTGGTCTTATTAGGAACACAGGCTGCTGGGCTTACACTGGCTCTTTTAAGCTTAGTCCAGACTTAATGGTTTCTGTGCTTAATTTATTTTTATCATGTGATTTATTTAATAAGTAAAACTAAAGGACAGGAAAGATAAAGTCTGGATTAGGCTTAAAGGGTCCCCTTTTAAGTCCACCTGCCTGAGCACAAACCTGAGATTAATAATTCATTCTCTTATGAGATACATCACTAAAAACATAAGAACAATATGTTTACATATATTTGGGTGGGATATCAGCACATCTGTCCTTCTTAAGCCATATAAACAAATATGGCAAAGTATGACTGTGTCTCCATTTTATAGTGCAGTCTGGTTTGGGCAAACAAAGTGCACATATTTATATCGGTACAGTCACTGGGGATCTACATTTGACATCTACTAATACATTTTACAAAGGTATACTAATACATTTTAATAAACATTTTAAAGGGTTAAAGGGGAATTCCACCAATTTTTTAAAATGTCTATTCAGGCCTTGGGATGTAAACATTGAGTGATTTCATGTGAAATGGTTCATCATAGAGACTAGACTAGAGATTTTTTACAGTGGTGGCGATAGGAACGAGGGGTCACATTGGGCCTCATTCACCAGTATCTTCCTAAGTTTTTTCTTAAATTTGTTCTTGAGGAAGGTCCTACGAAAAAGTCCACGTCAGATTTCATGACGTGTTCTTAAACAGCAGAATTTCCTGTACCTGTGCTCTTGAGTGTGTGTAGATTCTGTTCTTCCCTAAGAACAAATCCCAAATAAGAAAACATTGGTGAATGTCAGAATCTTCATGAAAACTGTGTCAGTGGGTTTTAAGAAGAAATTTCTTTTTAAGAACGGTTGGTGAATGAGGTCCAATGTTTACAACACAAACATAGCAATTTTACTCAATATCCAAAGCCACCAGTAAACCTACACATGCCTTCTGAGTTTTATATTCAATGTTGATGATGGTAAAATAGTCTTAAAATCTGAAAAGTTTTCCTTCGGGACTATTTTGCCTTACAACGCCCTGCATGTGCCCCTCCGGCATGAATGGGTTAAAAGGACTAAAAGACATTTTAAGCCAAAACGTCATCATAAAACTATGTGTCAGACATCAGGCTGCATATTTCTAACCAATTCATCTAATAGTTTTCTGTAAGGGAGCTTTCAGAGTCATTAAACTCTTAAGACGTCTGGTTCCTATCACCACCACTGTGAACAATTCTGACTCTGCAAGTTTCTCTAGGGCGGAGCATTTCACACCAAACCACTCTGCATGACTCTGTTTACATCTCAACCATTTAATTATGTGGAACTTTTGAAAAATCGATGGAGTTCCCCTTTAAATCCTAACGAACCACTCGAAAGTCAAGCCCTACTGACAGGCTGGCTGCGGGCTGAGTGATCTGGCCCCTCATAAACACCTGGCAACTTTCAGTACAGCGCACAGAGGCGCTGTTTTAAAGGGCGCTTCTCATCGATTATCCGCAAATATCCTTAAAATGTCTGCTGGGAAAATCAGCGCCGATATTTCTGCACGACTCCTATTCGGGACGCATCGCAGGGTCTATCAGTTACTATTTTGGTAGCAAAACGAGTTTAATCCTTTTTATCATGCAGTTTCCCGGCTGGTTTGCAAAGAAAATGATCTACTTACGTCAAAATTGAACAAGTAACTGCCGACTAATGTATTTGTTTTTGGAAAAGATGAAAAATATCTCGGCTAGATTTTGCACGTTTACCTCCGCCCAAGAGTTCCGGCTTCTGAAACGCGCACTGCGCAGCCGCAGCGAGAGCGCCTGGAGAGCCGCGTTCCGGTTGGTTGACGGGGGTCGTGACGTCAGCGCCGCTGCATTGAAATGCATTTTTTTTAACAAATCGGTGAATTGAATGAAATTAAATTCAGCGGCAGAAGAGAAATAGAAAAACTAGGAGGAAACTGGGTTTACTGATGTGCGATAAGTACGTGGAGAGATGGGGAAGCGGCGGTTAGGTTGTCTGAAGTTGCTGAATTAGTTGTTTCTGAGTGTTGAGGTGAGATAACGTCAGAGCCCGATCCGCAGGGCTGATAGGAGCAACCGCTCTGCAGCCTGCAGCGCAGATAAAAGACCACTGAACCTCCTGAGGGCCCACTTTCACTCACCAGGCCCTAGAGCAACAGGCTGAGGACGGACTGCTGCCTATTCAGAGGTAAAAACCTATGTTAACCTCGTCTAGTTAATACTTTGATGCCCATATCTGAAATGCTACGTTTTTTTTTTTATTGGAGTCATATGTTGTCTTTATCGCATAACCGATGACATAAAGGGGATCTCCACCAAGTTTTCCACAAGTCTAAATGATTAAATGGTTGACAGTCATTCAGAGTGGTTTGGTGTGAAATGCTCCATTCTAGGGAAAATTACAGTCAGAACTGTTCACAGTGGTGGTGATGGGAACCAGACGTCTGAAGAGTTGAACAGCTCTAGAAGCTCCCTCACAGAAAGCTTTCACATAAAATGGTTAGATATATGCTGCCTGATGTCTAACACATTGTTTTACGATGACTCTTTGGCCTAAAATGTATTTTAATCCATTTATTTTAATCTACTAATGGTGGAGGGGTACATGCAGGATGTGGTAAGCCAACGAAAACTTATTTTTTTAAGATTTATGACTATTTACCATGATCAATATTACGTATATAAACTCAGAAGAAAACTCAGAAAACCTACACAAGAAGTGTAGGTTCCCTGGTGGTTTTGAATAGTAAATAAATGGCTATATTTGTGTTGTAGACATCATGACCCTTGGTTCCTATCACCAGCAGTATAACGAAATCTGAGTTTGTAAGTTTATCTACAGTGCGCCACTTTACATCAAACCGCTCTTAATGATTCTGTTTACATCTCAAGGACTGACATACTCTGAAATTTTGACAAAGTGGTGGAATTCCCCTTTAAGTTTAGTCTTTTGGTCACGTAGGGCTACTGACTAAACTATAGAAAATCCAACTCTGATTGTGAATTCAAATTCAAATTTACATACCGTATCATTAGATAGGAGATTAGATAATCCAATTATTTTATTAGATAAACCAAATGTGTCACTTTTGATTGATCTGAACAAGTTCTGTAGCATTTTTTCTGGTCATATTAAACGTAATTTGTTGGACAGGAATGTTAAGATGATTTGTTTTTAAATATATTTAATGCACCTCTGTTATAGTAGACTCACATAAAAGGCCACTCACAGAGGATCCACTTAAACTGATCAGGCTCTGGTAACAAGCTGAGGACAGACTGCTGCCTATTCAAAGATAACAAGAAACTGTATTACTTTTGTCTAATTAACCCATCAGTGTCCATTTATGAAGTGTATAATTTCTCTTGGCTCATATATCTGAAGAAAAATGTCAAATTATATGGCTAAAAATTTTTTCAATCAAAGTTTTGATTGCTTAATTTATCATAAGAAGTTTAGTCTTTTGATCACATGGGACTACTGATGTTTTAACAAAACAATAGAAAATCAAATTTTGACTGTAAATTCAAATTCAAATGGCTAATGTTAGATTTCCATCCAAATATTGACCCTTTAGATCAACCAGAATAAGTTCTGTAGCATTTTCTTCATCATCATACTAAATTTACCTTCAGGTCGTGAATGGGTTAAAATGGATTTTTGAAAGAATAAATAGTCTATTTCTCCATGCTTTGTTCTCAAATAAAAGCCTAAGACCTAAAACTACTCTGGTAAGATTAATACTGGGAAGAAGTGTGGCTAATCTTAAACGTTCTTTTTTTCAAATGCTACAGTGGATGAATTTTATTGTGTAAAATGTCCACTATTTGGATACTGTATGCAGTAATGAACAGTTACAGTAGTACCTTCTGATTTTTAATAACTGACGTGCAGCCTAATACTGATGTCATTATGATAACTCACTGATGTCATCGTGATGTCATCACTGATGTCATCACCTAATACTGACTCACTGATGTCATTATCCATTTATAACCCCTAATTACCTGTAAAATATTCTGATAAATAAGTAACTGCTTTCAACTTGTAATGAGCTTCAACTTTCTTGAGCTTTTAATTGGTGTTTCATTTAAATTTAAAATTAAGTACAATTACGCTCTGCTATTTCTCTGTTAAATCACACTTTGAACCCGTTCACTGTAAGGCTTATACATATATATATATATATATATATATATATATATATATATATATATATATATATATATATATATATATATATATACAGTGGGGTGCGAAAGTTTGGGCAGCCTTGTTAATTTTCCTGATTTACCTTTATAAATCATTGATTGTTTGGATAAAAAAATTCCGTTAAATATATCATATAGGGGACAAACACAGTGATACTTGAGAAGTGAAATGAAGTTTATATGAATTACAGAAAGTGTGCAATAATTGTCTAAACAAAATTAGGCAGGTGCATAAATTTGGGCACCAAAAAAAAACCTTAACTCAATATTTAGTAGATCCTCCTTTCGCAGAAATAACAGCCTCTAAACGCTTCCTATAGCTTCTAATGAGAGTCTGGATTGTGGCTGAAGGTATTTTAGACCATTCTTCTTCACAAAACATCTCTAGTTCATTCAGGTTTGATGGTTTCCGAGCATGGACAGCTCTCTTTAAGTGACACCACAGATTTTCAATAATATTCAGGTCTGGGGACTGAGATGGCCATTCCAGAACGTTGTACTTGTTCCTCTGCATGAATACCTTAGTAGATTTTGAGCAGTGTTTAGGGTCGTTGTCTTGTTGGAAGATCCAGCCCCGGCGCAGCTTCAGCTTTGTCACTGATTCCTGGACATTGATCTCCAGAATCTGCTGATATTGATTGGAATCCTTCCCCCCCTTAACTTTAACAAGATTCCCAGTCCCTGTACTGGCCACACAGCCCCACAGCATGATGGAACCACCACCAAATTTTACTGTAGGTAGCAGGTGTTTTTCTTGGAGTGCTGTGTTCTTTTTCCTCCATGCATAACGACCCTTATTATGCCCAAATAACTCTATTTTAGTTTCATCAGTCCACAGCACCTTATTCCAAAATGAAGCTGGCTTGTCCAAATGTGCTTTAGCATACCTCAAGCGGCTCTGTTTGTGATGTGGGCGGAGAAAAGGCCTCTGCATCACTCTTCCATACAGCATCTCCTTGTGTAAAGTGCGCCGAATAGTTGAACGATGCACAGTGACTCCATCAGCAGCAAGATCATGTTGTAGGTCTTTGGTGCTGGTCTGTGGGTTGACTCTGACTGTTCTCAACATCCTTCGCTTCTGTTTATTCGAGATTTTTCTTGGTCTGCCACTTCGAGCCTTGACTTGAACTGTGCCTGTGGTCTTCCATTTTCTCACAATGTTTCTCACAGTGCAGACTGAAAGCTGAAATCTCTGAGATAGCTTTCTGTATCCTTCCCCTAAACTATGACGGTGAACAATCTTTGTTTTCAGGTCATTTGAAAGTTGTTTTGAGACTCCCATGCTGCGACTCTTCAGAGAAGATGCAAAGAGGAGAAAAACTTACAATTGCCCCCCTTAAATACCCTTTCTCATAATTGGAGTCACCTGTGTATGGAGGTCAAGGGTCACTGAACTTACCAAACCAAATTTGAGTTCCAATAATTAGTTCTAAAGGTTTTGAAATCAATAAAATGACAACAGTGCCCAAATTTATGCACCTGCCTACTTTTGTTTGACCAATTATTGCACACTTTCTGTAAATCATATAAACTTCATTTCACTTCTCAAATATCACTGTGTTTGTCCCCTATATGATATATTTCACAGAATTTTTTTATCCAAACAATCAATGATTTATAAAGGTAAATCAGGAAAATTAACAAGGCTGCCCAAACTTTCGCACCCCACTGTATATATATATATATATATATATATATATATATATATAGGTAAGTATAACCTGACAACCGTTAATGCAAATGAAAAAAATGAAATGGAATCCAGAAAGGAGCCAAAAAAAAGAATGAATTGCATTTCTGAGGATGATTCAGTGAGAGCAGTGGCCAACTGCATTTATTAATTAAGCCAAATGTACCTTAGCATGTCATTTCATGATAAACTGAGCTAAATGTTCCTAACATGTGCTGTGACAGACTCACCATGGCCACAGAAGAAAACGGAGTATCCGACAGGTCTTTCCTTGTGGGGAAGAAGACGGACCTCATTGAGGCCAAACGTACCAACATCACTGCGGGGGATAGGGACCTTATCGTCATTCATCACCAGGGGACCTTTTACGCAATGGACCAGCACTGCTATCGTGAGTAACCTGTGAAGTTTTGGGGTTTATATTTTGGATTAAGTGATGAATTGGATTGCTCTCATTTTCTCTACTTTTATCCTGTAATTCAGTTTCACCAACAGATGGAGACAAAGCTCTAGTCTTCCATATGATTTTGCTTGAGCTGAGATGTTTGTAAGCTGGTGTATCAGCAGCGTCCCTCTCAAGGACTCTCTTTCAGTGAAAGCCCATCAAGCTCAGGAATCTAAATAAATGATAAGTCCAGCTATTCAGATGGCCAGTGTGTCATTTTTTCATTATACTGACTAATGGTTGAACTTGTGGATCACACTGTGAGGCTCAGGTCTCAGAACTAGGTGGGAAACAGGATTCATCCAAAGCCCCTGGATTTGCATATTTGAGTAAAGCTGTGTGACTCTGTGCAAGATGTGCAGCTTTTAGGTAAAGAATGTCAGATGCTGGGAGGCTCTGGAGGAGATGCAGAGTGTCTTGCTGTGTGAGACTAGTGCATCAGGCATGTCAGCAATCAAAAATGAGCCTGAAGAACAAAAATGGCACTCATGTACTAATACAAGTCTATTTTCAACAGATGCAGGTGGATCATTGTTAAATGGCGATATTGAGGTGAGCACCATTTATTGCCTTTAAATGCCAAAACGAATGGAGTGAGAATAGTCTGATTGGCTGACCTGTATTACTTTTTATTCAAAAAGTGTCCCAGACTGAAACACTCCTTATAACTTCAGCCTGAGCAGCTGAGACTGAACTGGTATAGGTGGATAACTGTGCTGGTTTTTGTGACATTTTTTTTTTAGCTTAGTTTCCATAAATGGGCTGTATGGGCTGCTGAATGGATGCAACATTCTGAAACTTTAATATTGTTTACATGCTGTGTGCTACATCTTTAGTTTTAAAAATGTGGGGAAAATTCAGAGTGATAAGATATGAGCACTTTAAGGTGATCTAGAACTACTGATGATACCGATAATATATTCTGAAAAGATCACAGTAACAATAGCATATCGTCTTATTGCCCACCCCTTTAACACAAGAACAACATGATTTCATTTTGTGACTTTCCAAGTATGATGTTTAGCATCAGTCAGCCAAATGGAATATAAAGATGAATCATTCTAGCTGAGCCTTAAAACCATCCTGGGTTCTAATAACCCAAGAAGGCACTTTGCAAAAAGCAGTGATATTGATTGATGCATAATACCACAGCTGAACTGAGCACTTACAAAATATCTTTGTTTACACCCTTTTCTTTGATTTTTATTTTTTGCAGGAATTTAACAGCAAGCTGTGTATCTGTGTGTCCAAAGCACAAGTACAAGATCAGTCTGGAGGAGGGGGAGGGGCTGTACAAGGCCTGTAATCCTAAAGAAAAAAAACCAGCAGCCTCGCTGGTTTTCCAAAGGCATAAAGCAGCGAGTGCACAAGGTGACTGAGGTGGATGGGAACATCTTTGTGACGCTGTCTGAAGTTCCCGGGTGGATTGAGTCAGACTATTACCAGACTGAAAAGGGCAGAGAAGAGCTGAAGAAAGCGAAGGATTCAGACAAGGCTGATGGATCAAAATGCTAAATACCTGGCAGAACCTGAGGCGAGCCACAGAATGCACTGGGAAACTGAATATTTAAGTATTAATGCTGAGCGTGATTTAAAAAAAGAAAACAAAAGAAGGCAATTCGTTTTCAACAGCTGTTGCCTTTTGCACATTCTGTGTACAGTATATGTCCAAAAGTTTGTAGACACCTACTCATCTAAAGTTATGGTGAAATCAAGAGTATTAAAGGGCCCATATCTGGTTTTTACATTTTCCTCTGAAGTCCACTTATATAAGTTTGTGTTCAGTCAGAATTCATTTTTACATTATTTTCCAGCCTCTCTGTTAAAATTAAACAGACTTTTTTTTTGTTATTGAGCTTTTAAGGCTCATGTATGTAAATGGGCTCTGTTCTGATTGGCTGCCCTGTATTGTGCCTCTTAAAAAAAGCAGTCTGAGCTGAAACATTTGTTGTAACTTCTGCATGAATGGGTGGAGCTAAACTGCTGTAGTCCAAAAAGGCGGAAGTATGTAAATGTGTTCATTTTTGTGCCATCACAAAAACAATGAATTCAAAACAGGCCATTTTTGCCGCTTAGTATTCGTATATATATGGACTAAGAAATGAATGGTATGTTTTGATACTTTATCAGTGTTTACATTACTACATCAAAGTCTTATTTTAAAAAAGCAAGGAAAAGTCTGTTTTTCATGATGTGGGCCCTTTAACAGGAAGTTTATCCCCCTTTACTGCTCTACTGTTTTGGGAAGGCCTCACAAAAGGTGTTGGAACATTGCTGTGAGGATTTGCTTGTATTCAGCCACAAAAGCATTAGAGAGGTCAGGTGCTGATGTTGGATGATCAGTTCTGGATCCCTCCAACTCAACCTATAGGTACTGGATGGAGCTCCATCACTCCAGAAAACGCAGTTCCACTGCTTCCCAGCCCAGTGCTGGGGGCTTATACCCCTCTAACTGACACTTGGCATTACACATGATGTCTTGTGAGTTGCTGCTTTAGAATTCATTCAGTTGGCAGTGCTTTTCAATGGAGATTATACAAGCTGTGTGCACACAGTTAAACACCTATATCAGCAATGGATGCAGCCGAGTTCACTAATTAGAAAGGTGTTTGGATACTTTTGGACATGTATTGCATCATTTTTGTCAATATTCTGTACCATTTCTTACCTACTGCAACAAGGAAGAACCACAAAAAACAGAAATCTGTAGACTCAACTACACAATATGCTTAATAATCTGCGGTGAACAGCAGGAATAAGAGAAATAGCCATGAGGCGGTTTGTAGTGCAGTTGATAGTGATCATGTGCCATGTTGAGGAGTTTCTTTTTTTAGGTGCTAACTGTCTACAGCAATAAGAGACTTCCAGGATTTTATTCTACAGTAGTCGACAGGCTGGATCTACTCTGATAACCCGATCCAGCAGCCCCATTCATCATCGCCTTTCTAGAGAACACTGTTGCCTTCTTGGTACATAAATCAACTGACTGTGTTTTCTCATCTGTTCTTCTTACGTTGTACTATCACGGTCACTTTTCTAGTAGCAGAGTCTTAATATAACTGTGTAAGTTTCAACAACAAAACTATTCAAGCTGAAAATATTTAATAAAGTAATTATGAATTTGCCCTGTGTTAGATGAAGAGATGCTGCTGTTGAGGAACAAAGGAAGTATTTTTGCCAGACACTGGCATTTAATTTTGTCCGAGTCTAGACTATTAAAGGTGCCAAAAAGCGTTCTTTGGAGCAGTGTCATAAAACAGAGGTAATCGACCCTGGCCCCGGAGATCCTTCTTGCAAAGTGTAGTTCCAACTGCAGTCTGCAACACCTGCTCCTGCTAATTATTAAGAGCGCAAAAGGAATTTGTGAGTTCAGACTATGCCTTTAACATGGTGGTGGTAGTATGAGGGAAGACTGATTGAGGGAGGGGGGAGAACTCTGAGAACGTGGGCTGGAGTTCTGGGCAGCTTCTGCCTGTAGCTAGAAGGCCAGACCCCCCTCATAGCTGTAGTAGGACTGATGCAGCGCTGAGGAACAGGGAGGAGATGGGGTGGCGGTGGGCATTGCGAACCCTTCGTCACGGGAATGGAAGGTGAGGATGTGAATTTATAGGGCGTTAGATTGGAAGAAGGAGGCAGGTTCCTCCCCCAAACTTCAGTATAACAACTACTTTACAGTTACTGCATCCGATTTTTGTAAGGGGTCTGGGGCCTGTTTTGAATGAGCCACCTATCCGTACTGGAAGAATTACCCAGCTAACTAAATTAAGCTAATTGTGTTAGCCTTCTGTAAAATTATTTAATACCTGCCCAACAAGCCAACTACAGTGACTACTTAGCTGGCTAATGACTAAACCAGTGGTCAACAAGTGAGCTTTCAAAATGTGAAAACTCAACTGGTACACTATACATGACTACTAATATAACTCATAAAACCACAGAAAAGTATGAACAGTTTTACTTGGATTGCTGAGAGCAGGTCTAGCAGTTCACTTAACCATGTCTGTACCGTATGTGTGAAAAAGTGTTGTTTAGTGATAATGTAAGGGAGGAGGACTGTTTAAGCACACCCAAAATGACCAATAGAAAGGCAGTGCATGTTTTGATGAGCATTGACAAAATTGACTATGACAAAAACTATAAAGACCCAAAAAACTAGCTATAACAGTTCTCACTTGATAAGCATGCAGCCTTCTGGGTGGGCAAGGCTTCTGTCTGGGTGGGAAAAGCCCACCCCAGCACACCCCAGCACACACACCTGCCACAGAGAGCAAACTTAATACTCAGTGGAAAACTAATGGAAAAAGTCTGACTCTAGAAGTGTATTTATACTAGAAATAGGGCAGTGATGACTGAGGTGATGAGTGTCAAACAGCATTGAAATATTTCATTTGAATGCAAAATCTCTGACTCTCACCTGCCACTGCGTTACTCCTGGCTCCGTTTACGTTGGAGGTGAGACTAATAAACTGCATCTATGGATTTACTTGACAGTGTACAGTGCACTGATATATTGTACACAGTGACAGTTAGATCATAGCCAGTCTTAACGCATGTTGCCATATCTGGGACGCACCTGCAAGGGGACCAGAGAAATTGTCACCAGTAAAACTGGGCCAGTCTTACTTGATCTCATCATGCATGTCCAAGACTGGGCACTCTAAGAGCTGAGCTATGAAGGAAGCATGAGAGATGACTCTTGGTGGTAGTATGAGTCAGTAGAATCATCTGATATATGATGATGTTATGTTTACTCACCCCTGTCAATGAACATTTTGATGGTCTGCAAATACCAAAAATGACCTCTTGTTCAGGAATTTAACAGCAATGTAACGATTCATGTTTCAATATTGTCCACTATTAACTTATAATTCATAATGCTCAGCCACGTGATCAATAATGTGTGTCCATTTCTATACATCACAACATTCAGCGCTTTAACAAATCTGTCTATGCAGCACTTTACTGACCGAGTAGAAAGCTCATGAAATGACTTGGGCCATAGTGCAACTTCATTGATTATGAATTTATGAATCTAGTTAAGGGAGCACAGAGTCACAGCTCATAAAGCACAATGTGGACATACCTACATATTATACCACTACATCATTTCTCTCTTACACACACAAAAACTTAAATGTTGTTGCTGTCATAACAAAACCTTGTATCCAGTTCTCACAATTTCTTATATAGTTTCTCATCTATCTATCTATCTATCTATCTATCTATCTATCTATAGCTTTCCTTTTCATTGTGTGAACATTTCATGATAATTGGACCAATAGAAATGCCCTCATTCCAGATCAAAACTAGCATTCAGTATGCTAAATGTCATGTTATTGCAGTATTCTGTAGCTCAGCACTGCATCCCTCAGCCTCGTCAGTTTAACAGAATTCACACTTTTATATTGTTTTCATGTTTTCGTTCATTGGTGTTCCCACACTACAGTACCCAGTTTGTAACCACTGGGAATCCCGATGGTGTCAACCAATTCTGATTGCTACCAAACTAGCAATAGTGTAACTCTTACCTTTTCACCTTCTAGCCAGAGAAAAGAAGCCAAACTGAGGTAAGATATTGAGATAGTCAAGTAACTACCTTGCAAACTTTAGCTTCTAGCTTGTTGTCCTCCTCATCTGACAAGTTGTTTCTTTCGTTTGAACCATTCATATAATTTTATTTATAATTTTGGTATATATATATATATATATATATATATATATATATATATATATATATATGTATATATATATATATAATTTTGGATTTGCATTTATATATGTTTTCATTTTTCAAAACATGATATGAGTTAATATTATACAATTATGTATTAAACAGTGTATATAATGTTATGAAAAATGTATATAAATGCAAATAAATACAAACTCTGCATGAAAATTTGCAGGAAAATGCCATACTTAAGTTTGTTCCCTGTTGTGGATGGGGCAACTTCTTAACACACCGTGTAATTTGAGCAAACTTTTGCTTTCAACTTTATCTCCCTGCCTTTTACAACCTATAGCCAGCAAAAACAACAAAACATTTTAAACAGCCTACCCCCAAAAATCTGCTCCAAAGAAGTTGTAGTTTTTCAAGAATTCCTTCCACCTTCAAGATATGTCATCAAAGGGGTTTTCCTAGCCTTCAAACCAGACAATCTCATACAAGAGACTACTGCATCACCACTGTAGGATGCATGTAGGCATGTTTACAACAAATGTTATGAGGATTACATTTTTCAGTTTGGCCAGAGTTTCCCTTTAAAGAACATTTAACTTCTACTTAAACTACCATTTCAGAGAAACAAGTTTTTTTTAACAGTATTTATTATATTAAAATGTTAAATGTTAATAATATTAAAATGACCATAAAAGTACTAATGCGCTCTTTTTGTCCTCACTAAAGAACAATTCATTCCAATGTATACCAGTCATATTGAGGAATGACGGTAAAGACCCCGTGACTGAACAGAGGTGATGAGACTTTACACTCCACAAAAGTTAATATCATGTTTCGTGTGGAGACCTGTTGTAAATGTTTATGTCTCAGAACGTGCCACTTATTCTCCAGTCCGGTGGTGAATAATTATATGCACAGTTTGTGTATGATAATGCCCTTTTTCTTCCGCCTGCGGAGCAGCAGAGTGTAGTGGGCCGAGAATTTCTGTGGGGGGCATATGAATGTGCTCTCATGCAGAAATAAGTCCGCTCTCTACAGTAACCCACCATGCCCTAATGGAACAACTGCTCTTTGGAACAAGCTTACTAAAACTGACCTCAAAGAGGCACACAGACGTGTGTGCACTCACCATGCAGAGAGTGGGTCATGCCTAAATGCGCCACTACTAGAAGCAAATCACAGAGACTCATTTTACAATGAAGCTGATTTATCAAGTATGTTAAAAATAACACTATTGTTTGTGTCTCTCCACTCTTCAATAGATGTTGTCTGTTAGCAGCTCATGTCAAACAGAAAAGA